GAGCAGGGAGCTGCTTCTCCCTCTCCCTCTGCCTGCTGTTCCCCCTGCTTGTTTTCTCTAATAAAGAAATAAAATCTTAAAAAAAACCAACAACTCTATTTTGTCCAATATAAGTATTGCAACCCCAGCTTTCTCTTGACATACATTTGTATGAAAAATACTTCTCCATCCCCCACTTTCATTTGACAAGTGTTTTTAGGTCTGAAATGAGTCTCTTATGCAGCATATAGATGGGTCTTGGTTTATTGTCTATTCCATCACCCTGTGTCTTTTGATTGGAACATTTAATCCATTTACATTCAAAATAATTATTGATATATATTTATTGCCATTTCAGTACTTGTTTTGTAGCTTTTTTCTGATGCTTTCTTCTCTTGCTCTCTTTCAAGGTATGCTGGCTTTCTTTAATGATATACTGGGGTTCCTTTCTCTTTGTTTTTTGCATATCTATTACTGGTTTTTGATTTGTGGTTACCATTGGTCCGTACATAACATTTTCTGCATACAGCAATCTATATTAAGTGGATGGTCATTAAGTTTGAACCCATTCTTTACTTCTTCCCCCCCCAATGTTATAGATATATTGTATCATATTTTACATCCTTTTGTGAATCCCTTGACTGATTTTTACAGACATACTTATTTTTACTGCTTTAGTGCTTCCTACTTTTTTTTTACTCCTACTTAGGGTCTTTCCTTCCCACTCAGAGTCCCCTTTAACATTTCTTGAAGGGCTGGTTTAGTGGTCATGAATTCCTTTAACTTTTGTTTGGGAAACTCCTTATTTCTCCTATTCTGAATGATTGCTTCAATGGATAGAATACTCTTAGCTACAGGTCTTTTCCTTTCAGCACTTTGAATATATCATGCCACTCCCTTCTGGCCTGCAAAGTTTCTGCTGAAAAATTCACTGATAGGCTTATGGGGTTTCTCTTGTATGTAACTATCTTCTCTTGCTGCTTTTAAGATTCTCTCTTTATCACTACTTTTTGCCATTTTAATTATTATGTGTCTTGGTGTGTGCGTCCTTGGGTTGATTTTGTTGGGGGCTTTCTGTGCCTCCCGGATCTGGATCTCTGTTTCCTTCCTCAGATTAGGGACATTTTCAGCTTTATTTCTTCAAATAAATTTTCTTCCCCCTTTTCTCTCTCTTCTTCTTCTGGGATCCCTATAATGCAAACATTATTATTCTTGATGGAGTAACTGAGTTCCCTAAATCTATTCTTATTCTGCATATTTTTCTCTCTCACCTGTTCAGTTTGATCACCTTCCATTATTCTGTGTTCCAGTTTGCTAATTTGCTCCTCTGCATCCTCTAGCTTATTATTCCATCTAGTTATTTTTAATTCCATTTATTGTGTTCTTCATCCATGGTTCTTTTTTATCTCTTTGTTAAGGATCTCACTGATGGGGGCACCTGGGTGGCTCAGTTGTTAAGCGTCTGCCTTCGGCTCAGGCTGTGGTCCCAGGGTCCTGGGATCAAGCCCTGCATTGGGCTCCCTGCTCAGCGGGAAGCCTGCTTCTCCCTCTCCCACTCCCCCTGCTTGTGTTCTCTCTCTTGCTGTGTCTCTCTCTGTCAAATAAATAAATAAAATCTTAAAAAAAAAGGGGGGGGCACCTGGGTGGCTCAGATGGTTAAGCGTCTGCCTTCAGCTCAGGTCATGATCCCAGGGTCCTGGGATCGAGCCCCACATAGGGCTCCTGCCTCAGCGAGGAGCCTGCTTCTTCCTCTCCCTCTGCCTCTCTCCCTGCTCATGCTTTCTCTCTCTCTCTCTCTCTCTGTATCTCTGTGTCTCAAATGAATAAGTAAAAAAAAAAAAAAAAAAATTTAAAAAAAAAAAAAGGACCTCACTGATGTCCTCCACGATTTTCTCAAGTCCAGTGAGTACATTTATGATCATTACTTTAAATTCTCTATCAGGCATATTACTTATATCTGTTTCTCTTAGGTTTTGTACTGCGGTTGGTCCTATTCTTTCATTTGGGACATATATCCTCTGTCTCCTCATTGTATCTAATTCTCTGTGTCTGTTTCTGTGTGTTAGGCATGTCATCTCTGTCTACTGCTGTTGAAAGTAATGGCCTTATGAAGAAGTCCTATAGTGTCCTGTAGTGCAGTGTCCCCTGTTCACCAGAACCTGGCACTTTGGGGGTGCCCTGCTGTTGTGTCCTGGCCACTTTTTCCTTCACTGCGGTGTTCTGCAGAGACTCTCTTTGTCTAGTGTGGGCACTGTTTGGTCCCCGGCTGGGGTTGGGTGTGCAGTTTTAACAAAATGAGTGCTGGTCTGCTGCAAAATGAGACCTGCTGCCTCTGCCGGACTGGGTACCGCAAAGTGCATAGGTTGGGAGATGTGGTGTTAGGAAGATCTGCACTAGTCTTCTAGGGGAGGGGACTCAAAATTCAGGGACTGAGGCATATGTAACCGGGAAGGGTGGATCTGTTCAAGCATGGCATTGGGGAGGTGGGGAGGACTTGTGCAAGCAGTTAGGTAGTGTCAGTGCTACGGTGGTTCTCATAGGTGGCCGTGTGTTTATGCTGGGGGGGGGGGGATGGGAGAGAAATGGTGTCTGCCCACTCCTTTGTTCCTGAAGAGTCCCTCAGTGATCCATGACCTCCGGGACATGCTCTGAAATGAGTAAACTACTGTCCCTCCCATTTTCAAACTCCTGCTTCTAAGCTATAAATCTGAGGGCTATTTGTTGTGCTCTCTTTAAGGGCAGGGATTCGGCTTCCTATTACCCTCCAGGCTCTCCCAGAATGGAGCCTGCTGATTTTAAAAATTCCAGGCTTGAACACCTGCTGGTTTTAAGAATTCATGAAATTGAGCCCCTCTGGCTTTGAAAGCTAAATATGGGGATTCATCTTCCCCATGCAGGTTCCCTAGTGTGACATAGTTTGTTTCTCTCCCCTCTCCATGGAACTGCTGCTTTCTCCCCTCCATGTAACACCATGCTCTGTTTCACTTCCCACTGCATTTCTGCCCTTCTTACTCTCTTCGGCATGGCTTCTTCTCTACCTTTGGTTGTGGAGTTTGTTCTGCCAGACTTCAGGTCTCTTCTGGGTTATTTACACTGATGTGAGTGTTATCTAGTTGTATCTGTGGAACAAGGTGAGCTTAGGGTCCTCTTAGTCCACCATCTTCCCAGCCTCTTTTTTTTTTCCCCCCAACAAATGAAAGTTTTTATTTGCATGGCCAATTATCATCTGTACTCTTTGCAACTTTAATATCCCTTTAACAGGTTCCAAGCTTTTGTTGCACAGGGAATAAAAGCTGCAACACTGAAAACTTCCTTCAACAGCCACTCCCACAACACCTAAACATGAAACATGGAACAAATGACAACAGCACAAACAGAAGTACTAAGTTCCACCATTCAACAGTTCATCGGAAAAGGAGATAGCTCATCTGTACTCATTCTGTGATGCTTCCCAGCCTCTTCTTAATAGGCTACTATTGACTAGAAGCCTTACCAATAACACAGAAAGTCTGCTAACACATATTTTGTATACGTATTATATACTATATTCTTACAATAAAGTAAACTTTAAAAAAAGAAAATGTTATTAAAAAACCATAAGGAATAGAAAATACATTTACATTACTGTACTGACCAAAAAAAAATCCACGTCAAAGTAGATTCATGCAGTTCAAACCTGTGCTGTTCAAGGGCCAAATGTATATTATTTAAAACAAATATAGGTTTGATATGGTATAGAACAGATGTTCTCAGCATCAACTAGAAACCTGCTGCAAATATAAATTCTTGGGCCCCACCTAAAATCTGAAATTCTAGGCCCAGTAACTGTTTTAATAAACTCCCTGAAGTATTCTGATGCACCCAAATGTTATTAGAACTACTAGCATAAAGCAAAGATCTTGAATGGGTTTTAGAAACAGAAAGATCTGAACTACAATCTCAGATTCACTACTTACTAATTATAGGACTTTGGGCAGGTTCTCAGAACCTTCATTATTGTAAAAAAAAAAAAAAAAAAGGTATAGTAGTATAAATCACAGAGTTTTTGTAAGGAGTAACTGCAACTACATATATATGCATATACATGCATTCTATATATAAGCTATCTCTGTGTATATATATTGAAAAGGTAAGTCTCTTTCCTACAAAGATTTTTTTTTTTTTTTAAAGATTTTATTTATTTATTTGACAGAAAGAGATACAGCGAGAGAGGGAACACAAGCAGAGGAGTAGTGGGAGAGGGAGAAGCAGGCTTCCCACAGAGCAGGGAGCCTGATGCGGGGCTCAATCCCAGGACCCTGGGATCATGACCCAAGCTGAAGGAAGACGCTTAATGACTGAGCTACCCAGGCGCCCCCCCTACAAAGATTTTCATCGGTATTATTTCTAACTTTGTAATACTGAATGTAAATATCTGATAATTAGAAGATTACCAAAAAATGTATTCTTATATTCACTCAAACAATTTATTCACCGTTTATGTACCAGGCACTGGCCAGGTATGGAGGACACAAAAATGAAAAAATACAGACCTTACCTCTACAAGCTAGTAGTTTATAATAAGGGAGGTAGACATGCCAACTAATTGTAACAAACCACAAGAAGTGTCATAAGTCATATTAACTCAAATGATTTTATAACATTTAAGATTTTTTAATGTGAAAATTATGACACAACAAGGGATTTAGTTTTGAAATCAGATTAGGTGGAAAAGATAAAATGCAAATGAGTATAAAACAAATAAGTATGAATAACCAAGAATAATTAGTAGAAAATATGGACAAATTAGATCCATGTTTTAGGTGATGGGGTCCTAAAGAATAAGTTTTAGTGCTACTGTAGTATCGATTTAAATTAAAATTTATTTTTAAGATTTTACTCTTAAACAAGACAGAAAATGCAATGTCCTAAAAATAACTGATTAGTACAAAGAAAGAAGAGAAAGGTAATAGATGTAAGGAGAAATCATCTGCCCAGCCCCTTTTTTCTTTAAAGGTATTTGGCTTCTCAGGGACACTCACCAGTTTAACATCTATGCTTGTGGCACCTGCATCCAAGGAGTTTTCAATGAGCTCTTTAACCACACTGACCACTGAAGTGATTATTTGAGAACTTGAAAGGAGGCGCACTGTTGCTGCAGGCAACTGTTTCATTCTAGCTTTTAGTAGAGTAGCTAAAGATAAAATGTAAGTTGTAAAAATAAAAACTGTTAAATATTTCTAACAGATCTGATAGCAACAACAATAATTAATCGCAGCTCACATTTACTCAACTTCCCACTATGTCAGGCTCTACTGTAAGCATACACAGTATTAAATCATTTATTTAGTACAATATTTTTTAAAATAAGTGGCATTATCACTTCCATTTTATAAGACTGAGGCACAGAGAAGTTAGCTGGTAAATCCATGCTACGGTAATAACTAAAGAGCAGTAAGAAAAATTGTGCTATAATGATATGATATATGATCTACCAGGGTAGGTAGGAATGACCAGGTGATGCTGATCCCCCTGGGATGTGGATAATGTCAGTCAGTCATGAGTCTTAATGGCAATCTCAAAAATCATTAGTCATCTATATGTTTTGGCAAATTACAATGTCTTTTTGAATTATTACTTTACTGGAGTTAGGGCACCTAGACCCTAGCATTACTGTTAATCTAAACTAGTCAGACATCAGACACATCACACAGCTCTATCTTCTATACTACTGTGCCTAAAATATCATTCTAATCATGTGGCTCCCCAAGATAAAGCTCAAACCTCTGTGCTGGCATTCAAAGTCTTTTACATGCAATCCAACCTTACATCCAAAATCTCTCTGCCACTAATTGTTTTACCGAAAAAAAAAAAAAATCCTTTGTCTAAAACGCTTTCAAACAAAAAAACAAACAAAAAAATCTCATATGGAAATCCCACGTGTAAAACATGCAGGGAGCGTGTTTACTTTTGCCTTAATGCTTAATTTCAGAAAAGATTTCAGGATAATAAAAACACTAGGTTGACAACATGAAATTCCTCTACAGATTCAAGACAAAAAAATGGGGAGGAGGGGAACCCTAGGTACTTCTTTAATTTACCATGACTCACATGCTCACATGATTTGATCCTATGGAATTTAAATCAAAACAAAACAGCAATGCCAAAGACAAAGAAAGTAAAAAGATATCCATTTAGGATTCTTTCTCAGGCAAATTAAGACATAAAACAGCAGAGTCATATAAAAAAATAGGTAAGAAATGGGAGTATAGCCAATTAATAATTACAGAGGAATTTAAGGGATGCATTTCTGGGACGAGATCAACACACTGAGTTCGGAGTGATATTAACTGGTGACAGTTAATAAATATAACTATGTTTTGCTTTGTACAAGGCAAACCTGATCAGCACAGTAGAAAAACATACCAGACTGGAGTCTAAAAAACAGGTTTAGAGATTCACCTTTAATACATGTAAAATGAAGCAAATCACTTAAATCCCTCTATAAAATCAATTCATCACCTCTATAATTGGAGACAGTGCTTCCTAGGTTTGTTGTGAGGATCAAATAAGCAAGCACATATAAAATGTTCTGTAGGGGTGCCTGGGTGGCTCAGTCGGTTAAGCATCTGCCTTTCACTCATGTCATAATCCCAGGGTTCTGGGATCAAGCCCCGCATAGGGCTCTCCGCTCAGTGGGGAGCCTGCTCCTCCTCCTCCTTGCCGCTCCCTGTGCTTGTGCTCTCTCTGTTAAATAAATGGAATCTTAAGGAAAAAAAAGATTAAAAAATAATTTAAAAATAAAATAAAATGTTCTGTAAATGATAAGGCTATATAAAACATTCAGTATTGTGATGTGAGATCATTATGAAAAGAAATGCTGGCAATTTTTAATACTAGCAATTAACTTCTATTTTTTTAAAATAATTTATTCATTTATTTGACAGAGAGAGAGACAGCGAGAGCAGGAACACAAGCAGGGGGAGTGGGAGAGGGAGAAGCAGGCTTCCCGCCGAGCAGGGAGCCTGATGTGGGGCTTGATCCCAGGACCCTGGGCACGACCCAAGCCGAAGGCAGACGCCCAACAAATGAGCCACCCAGGTGCCCCAGCAATTAACTTCTAATTAAGCTATATATTTGATTTAGTTTTGCGGTACAGTTTTAGGAAGAGTAGCTGTAAACAACTACCTCTCAATAGTTTTTGTGGCTCTCAAAGGCTGGGAGGCTTTTCCAGTCAGGAAAAAGTGTGGACAGGTAGGTTGCTCCACTATTCTACCATTCACACAAATTAGTACTGTCACAAGCAAAAGGCACCCTCTGCATGCTACCCAAGGTTTAGACTGCACACTGGTCTAAGGATATAGAGCTGCATTGTCCAATATCGTAGCCACTAGACAAATGTGACTACTGAGCACTTGAAATGTGGCTACTCCAAATTGAGATGTTCTAATACACTCTGGGTTTCAAACTTAATATGAAAAAAAAAACTTTTATTAATTTCCTACATTGACTACAAGATGAAATGATATTCTGAATATATCCACTTACCTCAATATATTATTAAAATTAACTTCACTTTTTTTTACTTGTTTTAATGTGACTACGAGAAAATCTAAAATTATATAAATGTGGCATACATTATAGTTCTATTCGACAGTGCTGTATAGAGTAGTGGTTAACAAAGCAGGCTCTGAAATCATATCACTTTCATTATATCCTAGCTCTTAATGCTAACAGTTATATAATGCGAACAAAGTCTAAAACTCAATCATCTAACCTACAAAAACGGAAATAATAATATATGATTGTGGTGGGCAGTAAATAAGATAACAAATATAACTTATTACAGTGTTTGGCATACACATGTTAAAGATTCTGGGATACGTGGACTACACTGAGTTTCTCTAAACTCTCAAAGAATAGGTTCCCCACCCCCAACTTCTAATCCCTACTCCCACAGGGGTTAACCCATGGCCTGCAATCAGATTAGGCTTGGGTTCAAGAGGTCTTCTACCTTAGTTTGAGAATGCCAAGGATCTAAGAAAACACTGATCAAACTTTGGGTATAAACCTAGCATCGCGTTATCTTTTACTCTTTCTGAACAATCTCCTTATTAACCTCAGCATTTTTGCCTCATTCTCTACAGTCTCTCTTTCAAAATCTATTTTTACCCCAAGTCCCTAATTTCGTCCCAATATGGATATCAAGGCAGACCATATCATGAACTCTATCTTCACACACATCTTACCTCCTCCACCCCACTGTGTCCTCTGGTTTCTTAAAATGTTGACACCTCTGCCCACATTCTTCTTCCCTAACTCCCAGGTCAATGTCTCTTCTCCTAAGAACTTTCACCTAATTTCTGCCCTTAGGCATCTTGACCTTCAAAGCAAAAACAAACAAAAAATTGTTCCTTCAACCCTATTACCCCAATGATTATCTTCTTTCTTTATGAAGCCAAACTAATCTCTAAAACTATATCCCCAACAGAGATCTCTCTCTTTCCACATTAAAACAGGCATTTCTAACAATCAGTATCAAGGCTACCTCAAGATAATCACCTGCAAAACAGAATTTATCTTCCTGCTCCCCTACCCATACCCTCTACTTCACTTTGCAATTTCCCTTAATAAACACTATTCTTAGTGACGAAGATCAAAAACCTCAATCTTCCTTTGCCAGCAATCCCATACTCTATTCTCCTCCTATCGATCATTCTAGACTCAGTTCCACAGCCACTTGTAACATGGTCCTTTCTGATCACCCAACCAGGAATGATCCTTTCCTCCCCCTACATTCCTAAAGAACTTGGTTTGCATTACTCGTGGAATACCTGTACAATTTCTGAAAGCAGGCAATTACATATTATTTATTTCTGGATGCAACACAGAATAATCAGAGTACTTCACTCATGACAAGCACTTGGAAGAATACCAATCAAGGGCCACAAAAAAAATTTTTGTCAGCACTCCAATGTAAACATTAGGAAGTGTCCTCCTTCCTAGCAAGTCACCACTGCCTTAACTCCTTCCCTTTATAAACTCTATTTTAACTGGCTTCCATATCAGCTCCTATCTCACCTATATCTCCTAACCAGACTTTTTTCTGGACTGCAGGACCTCATTTCCAAGAACCTTCTAAATATCATCATTTAGATAACTTGGAGGAACCTTACACTTAAACATGTCCCAAACTGATCTCAGATCTTTCTCTATTTAACTCTTTTTGTTCCTACATTTGTTTGATAATAAAAATAACAGCTACCATAAGTAACTTTACATATATATATAAAATCCCATTTTAATCCTCACAACAACCCTATCATTCCTCTACCACAAATGAAATTTGAAAGCTGTAAGATCAAGATCACGATTCAAGATCACAAAACTAGTCAGTGACAGATGCACACCTGCATATCTTGGCATGTTTGACTCCAAAGGCCATGCTCATCCAGTCTTACATGGCAAAATTAGAAATCCTGAAGTCATCCTAGAAATTCTCTTCACTTTCTACATCCTGCCACTCAGTCCTATCTATCCTACTACCTAAATATTTCTCAAACTAGTCCTCTCTTCTCTATACCTATAACCTCTGTTCAGCCCCTGAACATTTCTGCCCTGAAGTACTACAATAACCACCTAATTGATATTTTGCCTCAAATCTCAACCAATGATAGGGTTCTTTCTATATTTAAATCTCATCATGTTGCTGTCCTACTTAAGATTTTATAAAGAGTTCCAACTGCTAATCAGGTGAAGTCCAAAATCCTTAACAACTGGATCTCTACCTTTCTGATCTCATCCCACTATTCCCCAAATACACAGTAAACTTGTCATACTACACTTTTAATGTGGCGGCACTCACTCGTTCCTTAGCTCACAAGGTTCTCTTTCTCTACCAAAGTCTTCTAACCATCCTTCCGGATTTAGTACAAGTATCACCTCCTCAAGGAAGCCTTTCTTAACTGCTCCAATTTTGACCCCTCCCCACCCCAACAGATTAGGCATTCCTTCCTGGGTATCCCCATAGCACGTTTTCCTTTTTTTCCAACCCAAAACTCATCATAGGCTATTCTAACTACTGTTTTTGTCTCTTCTTCCTGGCTCAGAGTCGTCTGAGGACAGAGATTTTATATTAATCTCATAGCGCTAGCATAACCTGTAGAACATAGCAAGCATTCTACCATATGTGCCAAACGACACCTTTTGAAAAGTGAAAGAGTTATCAGGCTTACATCACGGCACAGAATGTGTGAGAATATCAGGAATCAGTCTTCCTCCATATTTGCTGGGAGGGAAAGCAAACACTCCTGAAAGAGTACCGCCCAGGAAAGTCAGTTAAGGACAACAAGGTACCTAAAAAAGAAGCAGAGAAGTAGAGCTATAGGAAAACACAATGAAATAATTTACTTTAAAAACAATAAACGTAACCCAATTGTTTTCAGAGCGCCAACAGAAATGCAAGATACATAGATATAATCAAACTTAACCTACACCAATTTTGAAATATTATTGCAAGTTACTTCAGCAATACAAATCATAAACTTTGTGAACTGCCAAGGTAATGAAATTCGATTTCAAAGATAATTCCAAATAATCTGACCTTTTCTCTCCATTCTCAAATAAGATCAATTTTTGGAATTCACACTTCCTCAGCATGTCATACAGATGCCTGTCTTCAACGTGTGGGTAAACCCAAAATGACACCAGTAAAAATCATGGTTAAGTGAGAGTTTGCTTGCATCACTTGTATGTCGCCACAACATACAATATATACTACATTCACGAGTTATGGCTGTCCGGAGTTAAAATGTCTGCCCGGCAAACAACTTCAAATCCTGCACTCAGAAGGTTCTGGGAAATGGGCTGTAACAAAGGCCCAAGCACGATTTAGTCAGGAATGGCCAAACCAGAGAGAAACCGACCGAGCCCTGCTTAAACACCGCTCTCCACGCGTGCGCGCCCACGAGCCCGGCTTCGTCCGCTTCCCGCCCCTTCTTTGCGAGGGGGCGGGGGGGAGCGGGCAGGGGGCAAGGCTGCCAGTGGCGCTTTCACGGCAAACGGGACAAGTGGGAGGTAAGGGACTCTCGAGACTACGAGAAGATAAGAATGAATGCCCGTTAGACACACAACACTACCTTCTTGCTCGCGCGAAGCATCCACTAGCGGACCGGCCAGCGTCCCGCCGAGCTCACAGGCCCAACCTCGCGGATCCCGGACTCGCCCCCAGCGCGCGACTGGGCGGGCACTAGGCGCGCAGCACTTAGTCCCGCCCTGCCCGGGGAACGTGGGATTGGCGCTGCCCGCAGCCAATGCCCTGGCGGCGCGTTCGGCTCTGAACGCTTCCGCAAGCTGCGCTGCGCTGTTCTGAGGCTGATGTTAGGCATTCGGCCTTGAAGAGACGCCGTCGCCGCGGAGTCGGTTGTGTTCCGAGCTGGCCGCCGGGAGTGGGGCGGCGGGTGAGTGGGCAGGAACGTCTGTAGGGGATGTGCTGCTGTCTGCGGTGGGAAGGCTCTGCTGGCGGGCCAGGGTAGGCTTGAGGGGAAAAGTGGACTACGGCTGCGTCCGCGCCTCCCGCTCTACTGGTGCGGACCAAGTGGCCCCCGAGGCTTGCCCCCACATCCTCGTCGTCTTGCCCTGGTACTGGTGGGATGTGCAGCTCCGAGAGGGAAGGGGCGAGTGGGGGGGCGCTGCCCGTGATTTTCTGGCTCGCGAGGAAGTCCCCAAGAGGACCGGTCGCCGTCCTCGAGACTCGCCTAGGCAGAGCCGAGAGGCTCTTCACAGTCGGAAGTCATTGTTTGCCAGTCCTGAAGTGGCGCGGCAGACGCCTTGGGAAGGTTTTCTGGGAAACCTTCTTGGGAAGGTTTCAGCTTTGCCTTCCAGCTCAGATAGAAATTTTGAGCCTCTTTCGAGCTTTATTTTTTTCTTTCCATTCTGTGGGAAATGGGAAAAGTATCTTGAGTTTTGGCATCTTCTAAGTATAACCTATAGCTTAATGAAAAGAATGTCTGATGTAAAATAGATACTTAAATTAGAAGAAATATTTGCACACGTTAACTGGAGACATTTGTGTCTTGTTAGTGTAACCAGCTTTCATCATCATAAGCCTTGATGCGTGTTCCGTAGATTTTTGGAGAGAGAATGCGACATTTTACCCCGGAGACACTTGTTGGATGGGTTTATGAGAAATTACTCTTTTAATGCCAACTCCATAATAGGGAGGGTTCATGTACTAATAAATCAGACCTGTTCCAAATATACTCTAACCATGCCACCCCCCTTTCAGTCTTACTGGTTGGTTTTTACTGGGGATGATAGGTATTCTTCAGGACAGCTGTACTTTGTTCGAGGGATTCTTAGAACCAAGGAAACGTCAGGCTTAAAATAACTGGGAACTAATATCCTTTCTTCCTTTGGTGTTCATTTTGAATGCAATAAAGGGAAAAAACTTAGAAAAAGAAAAAAAAAAAAAACCCGAAAATTTTAGGGGAGTTGAAGAGTTAAAGGAGGAAAGACTCATTGTTTTAACCTTATTGTATCATGAGATTGAGAAACAAACCTTATCCCTGGACCATGTAAATTTTTCGCCACATTATGTTCCTCCCAGGTTCAGTATTTAAAAAGAAGTGATTTGAACCTGACCACTCTTTGGAAACATTACATTAGATACAAGAATCTGGCTACTCAGAATAGACTGGGTGGATCCACGTTGCCTTTTTTTGTCTTTAATTCAAGTATAATTAAACTTATATTAGTGTCAGGTGTACAATATAATTTAACAATTCTATACATTTCTCAGTGCTCATCAAGATAAGTGTACTCTTAATCCCCTTTATTTCACCCATCCCCCCCACCAGCCCCCCCCTCTGGCAACAACCACCAGTTTGTGCTCTGTATTTAAGAGTGTTTTTTGGTCTCTTTTTTGCTTTGTTTTGATTCTTAAATTCCATATATAAGTGCAATCATATGGTATTTGTCTTTCTCTGACTTATTTCACTTAGCATTATATTCTCTAGGTCCATCCATGTTGTTGCAAATGACAAGATTGCATTCTTTTTTATGGCTAAGTAATACTCTAGTATACATACATATGCATACACACACACACATCTTTATTCATTCACATGTGGGTGAACACTTGGGTTGCTTCCATATCTTGGCTATTATAAATAATGCTGTAGCTTTGCTTTTTTTATATTAGTTTTATTTTGTACATTTAGCTCCTGAGCTTTCACTTTGGTTTCATGATATAAGAGAGTGTAGGTTTTCTCTTTCCGTTTGAGTTTTCCTGTCCATTATTTCATTTAGTAAAACCAACATGATAGAAGACAAGCTTTAGGAAAGGGATTTTAATTTTTTCAATAAGAGCCATAAAAATTAAGTCTTGTTTGTCTTACCAGGAAGTCAGATGTTAAGAATTATTTACTGCCTTCATTGGCATCTGCAAATAGCATATTTTGGTGGATGTGTTTGTTCTATTTCAGAACAACTAGAGAAAAATGATCCTAGTAACACTTATTTTGTCATGTCAGAGTAAAGAGTGTTTAGGTTTCCAGTTATATCATTGTTGATTCATTTCATTGCTTTCCTACAGAGCAAACATGAATGTTGGAGTTGCCCACAGTGAGGTGAATCCAAATACCCGTGTAATGAATAGCCGGGGTATGTGGCTGACATATGCATTAGGAGTTGGCTTGCTTCATATTGTCCTACTCAGTATTCCCTTCTTCAGTGTTCCTGTTGCTTGGACCTTAACAAATGTTATACATAATCTGGTAAGAATTTTACTTTATACTAAGCACTTATAAGCCTAAGGTTTAGTGCTTGTCAGGGACTGAGGGAGGAAGAAATAGGGAGTTGCTGTTTAATGAGTACAGTTTGAGTTTTGTAAGATGAAAAGAGTTGTAGAGATGGTTGGTGGTGATGGTTGCATAACAATGTGAATGTACTTAATGAACCCAAGTGTTCATCCACATGTGAATATACTTAATACCACTGAATTGTACACTTAAAAGTGGTTAAAATGGTACGTTTTATGTTATGTGTATTTAAATAATTTTTTTTAAAAAGCTTAAAGCTTTATGCTATAAAGAAGAAAAACATGACTTAGTTTAACAGTTTGAGATATAATTCATAATTATATAAAATTCGCTGACTTAAAAGTGTACAGTTTAGTGATTTTTAATATATGTGACAATTTTGAAGAATTCTAATCTGGGATAAGATTATATTTTTTCTATTAATACTTTATATTTAAACATTGGGCCCTTTTTCTAAGTAAGATCTTTTTTTTCCTCTATGGTTTTATGGAATCTAGAAAATAGGAGGTCATTTTAGCAAAAATTACAAGACACTGTAATTCAAGCTACTAATATATTGATTAACCAGAATGCTTCAGAAGTAATGGTTTTTGATTAACTGGAGATTAATAACCATCATTGATTTCAATCCTTGTTAAACTTCAATCCTTTCTAAATTGTATACATATACTCTCCTTCAGTATAGAAATTTTGAGCTTAATCATATCTTACGTGATTGAGGGTCTTATGGTGCCTTAGCTTTTTCATGTTGACTGTGGTTCTTCTGTATTATAGGATAGTTCTGCAAAGTATCCCACAGAGGTTCAGTTGATTGTACTGATCATATTATGCAGCCCTGGAAAATGTTTAAAAAAAAAAAACCAATAGTGACCTTTCTTATCTTTAACAGTCTATGAAAGCAGAATGAAAGGGGAGAAATCCATTAGTTGAGACTTTTAATTGAATCCACATTAATTATGTATTTGTTTAAAGGTATCCAGAAAATGAAGAACTTGGACCATTAAGGCAGGAAAATGTAGGAGAAATAGATTTTTTTAATTAATATTATTTATTTCCTATTTTCTGAAGAGTATTTGAATTTGATTGGAGGAGGACAAGGATAATGTGGTGGTAAAAATAAATGAATGTCCACTTAGTCCATTTTATGCGATGGACTTTGGTAGGGCTATTTTTTTTTTTTTTTAAGATTTTATTTATTTATTTGAGAGAGAGAGAATGAGAGAGAGCACATGAGAGGGGGGAGGGTCAGAGGGAGAAGCAGACTCCCTGCCGAGCAGGGAGCCCAATGCGGGACTCGATCCAGGGACTCCAGGATCATGACCTGAGCCGAAGGCAGTCGCTTAACCAACTGAGCCACCCAGGCGCCCGGTAGGGCTATTTTTAAGTAGTGACTTCTCTGAAATATTTGACAAGAGTTATATCCCTCTTACCAGAATTCCTTTTCTTTGGCTTCCATGAGGTCACTTTTTCCTAGATATATTTCTAATTTTTCCTTTTCTCTTTCTTGCACATTCTTCCTTCTGTTTTCCTCTCCTAAATATTGCTGTCCCCAAGGTTCTTTTCTTCATCTCTTTTTATTCTGTGTATTCTATCAAGATTACTTCATCTATCTGTACTTTCAGTTTCTACCTGTAGAATGATGCTCATATTAAAATTGGCAGATCACCTTGTACCTTAAGCCAAACAATTATAATTATAAATTAAACTCATTCCTGATCTGTCCCTTACCACTCACCCTGTTCCTCTGGCTTTGTTCCTGATCTAATCTAAAGGCACCACTGTCTGCCCAGTAAGGCAAGCCAATGTCAAAGGTGAAGTGATTCATGTAATGAATTATCCAAACTGAGACTGTTCTGAGAGTAAAAGGGAGCTCTAGTAATAACTACTCCAAGAAAATAGGTGTAAATCAGGACCAGTCATACTAGCTAGTATATATGGTCACTCTAGTCTTAGATTAACTCCTTTTCCTCTGTATTCCATATCCATTTAGTTAAAGCCCTGTTTTACTGCTTTACTGTCTCTCAACTTAATCCCCACTGGCATTGCTATAATTGGTGCCCTTATTTTTTTCCTCAGGTGGGTGTCCTTGATGTTCCTCTACCGTCCTCCATTCCAACTTGGCAGAGAGTTATTTTCAAAATGCATATATGCTCAAGTCATGCTCTAAGTCCTTCTGTGATTCCTTATTGTATGCATAGTAAAATAACAAGTTCCTTATGTGGCATATAAGACCAGTTGATAACAGTACAGAAGCAAGAAAAGGACTCAATCTTATCTCATCCCATCTCCAAACATGAGTATTGCTTTAACAATAATGAAAATTATCTTGTTCTCACCTTTTTGCTTTGGCTTAGGCTCTTTTTCCACTGTTTTAATACCCTCCCCCCCCTCCTCCTCTGCTGGGCTGATTCCGACTTGTCCAGGAAAACTACTCAAATATCTCCTTCTCCAGGAAGCTACAAAACTCCCATGCTGCATTCTTTTAAGTGTATTTATCATAGTTTTATAATTAGGAATTTGTCTCTTTATTTCCCATATCTCTAAAGACCTATGTAAATGTTTGCTAAATTAGTCTGTATTGTCATATAATTTTCCCTTCTCCAATGGCACATGTATTAAATGTACTTAGAAGTAACCCCCTCCCCTTGCCTAGATGTTTTCAAGTTAGTTGACTGAGATTTTGAAGTACAGTATATGGGTGTGGACAAAGCATAAGGAAAGCGAACTTCTGACTTACTAGTTCACCACACTAAAACCCTAACTACCAGCCATTGATGTAGCAATTAACATGACTCCAAATTTAGTTTCTTTTGAAGACAGACTACATTAAACCAATAAAATGTGAAATACGTACTGAACGCTTTTAAATGGGAAACTAGACCTAGTTGTTATCCATGGTTAGAAAAAATACTGTCTTTGCCTTTCTGAACCATATAGTAGAAACCTACAGTGATTGTTTTTATTCATTTTTACAGTGGCTATAATTCACTTTTAGAGGTATTAATATTTCACAAAATTCTTAGCCTAGCTTTTAAAATGAATGAGGACTTTCTGCATTTTGCGCCAGTAAATATTAACGGCTAACCATGAGCTACATATTTTTTCCCCAATTTTTTTGATTTGGGTATAAATCCTCCATCACTAAATTTTATAGAATAATTATTAAAAATAATGGGATAGAAGATATATGGTCAGTCAGATTTTATTCTGTTTGTGAAAAGGATATATAAGATATTATGTTTGAATATTCTAAACACTGGTGATGCATGTAGTTTGAAGGAAATAATGAGAGGATTGTATTTCTCTTTGATGATTCTAATACATGCATGGGTTAGAGATTCTTAATTTTTTTGGATCCTATACTCCTCAGAATTTAAAAGCATACAATTTCTGTTTTAATTGCCTCCTGTAAAGTCCATGTGAAATTGGTTTCCTTGTGCTTACAGAATAAACATTCCTTAGCTTAGTGTCATCTTGGTTTAATATCTAATACTTGCTGTGTACCAGCCCTTGTTCCTGAAGTATTCAGGCTAATGGGAGAACAAACATGTCAAAAAGTCTAACAAAATATATTGTGCTATAAATAAAAGTATTTTCAATAAAATTCTATACAAGCACATAGGCTACTACTAATGAGGGAGCCTTCACTAAGGAGTTGTCATTTGAGCTGAACCTTCAAGAATGAGATAGTTGACAAGATAGCATCACAGCTTTTGCCTCAGCGACAAAGAACCTTTCCCTCTTCTGCATTGGCTGTATGCTCTGTACCTTTGATAGCAGTTTCTGCCCTACATTCTAGTTGCTTATGCATATCTTTTTTTTTTTTTCTTACCATCTCTTAGAAGATTGAGTTTTTTTCAAGGCTGTGAACATTTCTTACTCGATTTCATGTGGGCATACATGTCCTGTGTCCTGTACATATAAGCCACTTATTAAATGCTTTTTGAGTTAAATCCAATTGAACATGAGTCTATTGCTATATAGCTTTGGTGTTATTGTGGCTAAACAACTTTTGAATTGCCTAATGGAATAACTAGAAAGTAGACTCAGCTTTGAAAAGAATGGCTCTCTTAACCTAGTTAGTAATATAAAATTTCAAATCACTAATTTTTCTTCTTTTTTCCATATATTGATTAAAAGTTGGAGAAGCAAAAATGACACCTCCTTGTGATTTCTAGGAGGAAAGACTGATGATAATGTTTAGGCAAGAATATTCTGTTACTGGTGCCTCAGACAGTGATCCTGCAATGAAGTACTACCAGTGATCTAAATAGAATAATAATCTCAAAGAAACAAAATCTAATATATATTGGGTTTTTTTCCTAATCACAAAATTAGATGTTCAAACATATCCCTAGACAGAATGGATTTAATAATGTTTTTTTACTTTCAAAAAAAATAACTTCAGGGCCACCTGGATGGCTTAGTCAATTAAGCATCTGACTCTTGATTTTGGCTCAGGTCATGATTTCGGGGTCCAGGGATTGAGCCCTGCATCTGGCTTTTCTCCCTCTCCTTCTGCCCCTCCCCCCAAATAAATAAGTAAATCTTCTTAAAAACTAACTTCTAAAGAAACACTGTTGGGGCACAGTGGTGATTTTAAAAGCAAATTGAGTTGAACATTAGATCTACTGTGTAACCATCTTTGTTGTGTTAGAACTGTTGAGACAGAGATAGTCTTAATACAGATTTTCAAAACCATTTTCCCCTGATGCAGAAATTTTATTATTATTTATGAATGTATGTTTTTATCATTTTGTAAGTATCATCGGATTTAGTAATATGACACTAAATATTCCTACACATCAGGGATAAGATACTCCTGTTTCCTGGGGGCCTGGGTGGCCCATTTGGTTAAGCTATTGCCTTTAGCTCAGGTCATGATCCCAGGGTCCTGGGATTGAGCCCCACGGTGGGCCCCCTGCTTAGTGGGGAGCCTGCTTCTCCTCCCTCTACCACTTCCCCTGCTTGTGCTCTTTGGCTCTATCTCTCTGTCAAATAAATAAATAAAGTAAAATTAAAAAAAAGACAATCCTGTTTCCTAATAGGAAAGGTAGTAGAAAATCTAAATGTAATGATATAAAGCAATCCTGATGTTATTTTTTTGTGTATTTTCAATTTAGTAGGAGATGAAAACAGGTTACTTTCAGTTGATCTTTTACTGGTTTTCACCAAATAATATTCATATGCCTCTGGAAGTTTTATTTTACTCTGAAGAAACTGGCCACAGCCTTTCACAAATAATATGAAAGCTTAAAATTTGAGCTGTTAAGTTGAATCACCCATACTGTCATAAGCAGTCTGGAACTATCTTAATGCTTGCTGACAAGTACGAATTTTATATTTGATATTGATTATATATCTCCTTGCTTGTTTTCCAGGGGATGTATGTATTTTTGCATGCAGTAAAAGGAACGCCGTTTGAAACTCCTGACCAGGGTAAAGCAAGGCTCCTAACTCATTGGGAACAACTGGACTATGGAGTACAGTTTACATCTTCACGGAAGTTTTTTACAATTTCTCCAATAATTCTGTAAGTGGTGGAAATTTTTTAGGTATGAAGAAGATTGGATAAGAGGCAGCTGTCCTTTTATGAGGTTGAATTTCAGTTAGAAACAGCATATTTGTTGAAACCTCTACCAATGAATAGCTACCACAGAGCATGAAATACAGGCAGAGTCTTTAACAGGCTGGTAATAAACCGTTTCTTATCTCAGTCAGTAATATATAGAGACAACATAGTGTGCCCATCAGTATGTTTAGACATTCTAGGATATACAGGTCAAATATATTCTAGTTCATATCCTTAAGTTGCTTACAAGAAAGATAAATGCATAATCTTATTCTGTATTCCACCATCAGATTAATCTCCCTAAACAAGGATTTGGATGATTTCAGATGAATTTCATTGACCATTTCCCCCCCCACACACACCAATTTAGATGTTCAAACTCCTTGGGAGAGACTGCTGTATAGTTTATAGACAAGAGAAGTTAGGCTTTCATCGTAGAACAGACCTGGGTTGAATCCTGTGTTTATCACTCAGCCTGCTTGGTTTGCTCATAATGAAATTCTAGCCAGTAGTACATAGCTCAGTATGATGGTGTAAGAAATAAATGAGATAATATCTATTTGTAAAGCATTTAACCTTAAATTACCTCCTATTACCTGATATTCAGGACCCTTCACAAAATGGTTCCTACCTCATTTTTCCTTTATGTGAATATTTTACCCCATCCAACTTCCATGTGGTCAAGCTCTTCTAAGCAGCATTTCTTGAAAACTTCATGTGTAGTCCTAGTTCTATGCCTTTGTTCAAATCATGTCTCCTACCCAAAATACCTTCTTTCTTAATTTATCCTTCTTTCAAGATTTAAATCCTACCTCCTCAATAAGGTCTTTTCCTTAGCACCCAACCTTAAGTAATAATGACCTGTTTTGAACTCCTTTAGTAGTTGTTACATATCCCTTATTTATGTCATTTTGTATTATCTGTTATTATAAATGATTTGTTTGTGCAAAGAATTTCTAAGTGTATAGATTGCTTTGAATTCCACACTCAGTATAGTTGTATGCATATAATGGATGTTTTATGTATATCTTGATCAAACACTGTATACCACATAGCTTGGATATAGTAATGCATCCGTGATAAAATCAGTGCAGTCTGGAGTAATTGGAAAGACTTCTTGGAGGCATTAGGATTCCTTAAACTGGGACTTAGGGGAAGGTAGATTTTAGATAGATGTGCAGAGAAAGGAAGGCATTTTAAAATGAAAAGAATAAATTGATCATAAAGTGATAGGTTTCTTTTTTCTTATATTGATAGCACTTTGAGGAAATTTTTTAAATTTTTATTCCAGCCCCATATAAAATTAACATCAAGAGATAAATGATTTGTATGATATAGCAAAAGTAAGTGCAATAACAGGAACAATAGTTATACAAACAGCCTTAAATTTGGATTTTAGCTCTACTGCTTTCTAGCTGGGTGACTTTTGGCCATTTCTTTGAAAGCCTCAGTTTCCTCATCTATAAAATGTTGAGGATTGCATTATAATTAATGTAAAAAGCTGAAATTTATACTGAATTATCAATAAGAGCTGTCACAAAATTGTCAACTAAGATGTACCTGTGTACAACATCCATATTTCTAAAAATATATTTTTGACCCACAGGTATGATTTCAAATATTCTGTGATTAAATTCCTTATATAACTGAAGAAACAACATTAAAGTCATCTATATAATATTGATACTTTTCAGAGTGCTTTCACATTTTCTTATTTGATCATCATTTGTCAGGTAGGTGGGGCATGCAATGTTATCCCAGATTTTTAGATAAAGAATTAGGCTCAAATGCATTACCTTATTTCAGATCTTGCATCTAGCTAGAGTCCAGAGCCCAGAAGAAATCCTAAACTTCAATACAGGTCTCTTTCCAGTATACCCTTTGACAACTGGAAATTGGCAAATGGAAATTTGGCAACTGGCAATTACACAATTCCCACCTTGGTTTTGCATCCCCTTGGAGGGTTGTCAAGGTTTTGTAAGAACCAAGTAATTTTCGTATAATTTACACATAAAGTTAGTTTTTATTAAAAGACATAAAGGGGGACATATGTTACAGTATGACGAGAAGCAATTCCAAGAAGATCTATTTCCAACATATCAGGTTATACATTAAGCCCATAATGATTATGGAAAATCAAGTGAGCTTACTAAATGCAAGTGGTATCCTATTTTGTTCAGTGAAGGAAGTATAAAAACAGTCTTCAGGTATATGAAAGTTGGAAGAAAGGATTTAGATAAAAGATTGAAGAATATGATTTATTCTTCAGAAGTATTTTCTGATTATAGATTGTGAAATAGGTGGAAAATTACAGAATTCCTCCGTTTAGATGATTCTGAAAATGATATATATAGCTCTCTGTGATGTTTTTAGTCATACCTGAAAATAGCTGTTCTTTTCTAACCATATTACACAAGACGCTTTTCTCCCCTTATTAGAAATGAATGACAGTACTTAGATGAAAGGCTATTAGGATACTTTCCTGACTTTTTTTTTTTTTTTTTAAGATTTTATTTATTTATTTGAGAGAGAGAATGAGATAGAGCGAGCATGAGAGGGGGGAGGGTCAGAGGGAGAAGCAGGCTCCCCACTGATCAGGGAGCCCGATGCGGGACTCGATCCTGGGACTCCAGGATCATGACCTGAGCCGAAGGCAGTCGCTTAACCAACTGAGCCACCCAGGCGCCCACTTTCCTGACTCTTAACAGTACTAATTAGACAAACACTCATATGCAGACTAATCTCTTAGTTATGATCAAGTAAAGTATGATGTTTTAGTCTTTACATCCTGTCTATATTAGGATACTCTCAGTGGCCAGATGATGTGTCTGCACTCTGATGTACCCTTGGGTAAAAACTAGACAATTCTCACTTGATGATTTATGGTCCTAAAGGTAGCTTAGGCTTGTCAAAACAAATTATCAGATGTTGAATGTCTTTGAATGTGTACATATGTTCAATTACAGCAAAGTAGTTGGAAATTTACAACAGTGTCTTTCAGTTTTCCAGTTAAACTGGTTGTCCACCTTTTCAGCTACAATATGGAAATGAGAACATCAAAAGGGCAATCAAGTATTTGTTTTCTTTCAAAGATACAGAATTGCACTAATACCCCATTTTCACAACTTTATAGCAGTAGTTGTTTTTTTTTTAATTTTATTTTGTCATGTTAGTCACCATTCATTACATCATTAGTTTTTGATGTAGTGTTCCATGACTCATTGCGTATAACACCCAGTGCTCCATTCAATACGTGCCTTCCTTAATACCCATCACCAGGCTAACCCATCCCCCACCACCCTCCCCTCTAAAACCCTCAGTTTGTTTCTCAAAGTCCATAGTCTCATGGTTCGTCTCCCCCTCCGATTTGCCCCCCTTCATTTTTCCCTTCCTACTATCTTCTTTTTTTTTCTTTTTTTAACTATAATGTATTATTTGCTTCAGAGGTACAGGTCTGTGATTCATCAGTCTTACACAATTCATAGCACTCACCATAGCACATACCCTCCCCAATGTCCATCACCCAGACACCCCATCCCTCCCACCCCCCACCACTCCAGCAACCTTCAGTTTGTTTCCTAAGATTAAGAATTCCTCATTTCAGTGAGATCATGTGATACTTGTCTCTCTCTGATTGACTTATTTCGTATAGCAGTAGTTTTTAACCTTTTGGTGGGTCACAAAACCCTTTGAGAATATGATAGATGCTTTGGATCTGGATCTTCTCTTCAGAAACATACACATAAATACAAAACTATACCTGAAATTTCAGAGAATATACGAACCCTAGTTTGAAAGACTTATGTTTTAAAGGATACTAAGTAGCAAACACATTTTTTTTTAAAGATTTATTTATTTATTTTGGAGAGGGAGAGAGAAAGATCGTGAGCAGGAGGGGCAGAGAGAGAGGGAGAGAGAATCCCAAGCAGACTCCATGCTGAGCGCTGAGCCCGATGCAGGGCTTGATCTCACAACACTTGAGATCATGACCTGAGCCAAAACTGAGAGCTGGATGCTCAGCCAACTGTGCCACCCAGTGCCCTGCAAGCACATTCTTTTAAATGCATTTAACATAATTGCAGAAATGCAAAATGTGCATATATGCTTCCGTTAAATAAATTTTTAAATCCCAAATTAATTTAGGCCCCAAACTGTAAAACTCTTATTTTAGTGCTCAAAAGTGAATCTGCTTTTAGGTATTTATGTTTCAGTGGCCTTTTTTACCTTTAAATTTTTTACAAATTTTACATGTTATATATGTTTTTAATTTTTATTTCTGCAGATATTTTCTGGCAAGTTTCTATACGAAGTATGATCCAACTCACTTCATCCTAAACACAGCTTCTCTCCTGAGTGTGCTAATTCCTAAAATGCCACAGCTACATGGTGTTCGGATCTTTGGAATTAATAAGTATTGAAGTGTTTTGGAATGGAACAAAATTTTTACAGCTACTGAGTTTTCTGTAAGAAAGGAGTGGTTAGTGAACTGCACTGTTTCCATGATAATGTGAAATGAGAAGTATTTACATTGGAGGGCCAGTTGCTGGTTCTTCATATGCTGTTTTGAAGTGCAGATACTTACTAGAAGATGCCTCTGTGTAATGCATGTGGTATCTTTCTGAAGAGAGGCTTTATAGGCAGGCTGGGCAGGCCCAGCTTATAAGTTAAATGGCTGTAAAGTGAGGGTATAGTAGTAGATAAATCCAAGGAAATAAGAGATTTACAAGACACCAAGACCAGCTTGGCTTATAATAAGTGGGCATTATGTTAGGAGAAGAAAATTTCCAGTCAGTCCGTTTAAGCAGACATACATGTAAACCAGAATCATCTCTTTACAAGTTTATTATAGATCATTTTTATTACCATATGTGTTCCTTTTATGGTATATAAGAGGATATTTCCCTCTTGTTTTATACAAAGCAATCCCTACTTTATGATTGTGCATTTTTGGTTTTGCTGGCTCAACATTGTATTGAAGGATGAAGTCATTTTTACATTTATTAAGTTACTGAGTTCATGAAAGTCCACCTTCATGACTGGTGATAAGACAGCCAGGCATCTTATAAACAGCCTCTGAGTCAGCCTTCTAATTTTGGAGCAGAGTGGGTTTTGCTGCCTTTCCAGACACAAGGCTGCTAATCCAATTAAGAAAATAATTTATTTCACACAGTTAAAATATATGGTAATTTAAAGCTGTCTGCTTATTTGGTTGATAACCTAATTGTTAAAGTCTGCTATTGTTTAGAAAAGGAAACATAAAATGGACAACTATTTTAGCCAACCTGTGGTCTGGCAGAAACTGCTTCTGTAGCAGTAGTACCAAAGTAAATAATGGAGTCTTCTTTAGCGGGATTGCAGTAAAAGACAACACTGCCTTTTCTTACACCCCCTGCTCTCAATCCCCATATTTTGCCCATTAATGTTTTGCCTTTCAATACATGGATGTTACTGTAGATTAAGCCAAAGTGGTAACTGTTTCCAAAACAGCAACCATATTGAAATCTTGTGACATTAATTGCAAGAAATAACTACTTTGAGAAGGAAACATGTCAAAAACAAAGTTCTGATACGGGATGAAACTGAAAAATCCAGTAATATTTGTAAACAAAACCGAGTGAAAAGTTATAGACCAACTGAAAAATCAATTTGTTTCATTCAAAAAACTGACTTTCGGGGGGTAATGATCATTGTTTTGTATTTCAGAAGTACTGAGTTTAGAAATCAGTTGTATGATAATGCTTTTGTATGTTTGTCTTTTCCCATGTATTTTTAAACCAGTAATCTATACTTGAATAAAACTTTTCTTTCACGTAAGATTATTACAAATAATCTCCAAATTCAGTCAGCAATGTCACATTTACTTTTCAAGGTTTTTTTAAGCAACTGAATTTGTAAAATTACGATAGTTAAAAATGTTCCTTTGCTTTTCTTCATTTTAAAGGCTTATATTTTTGCACAGACTTCAGGGATAGAAATCTGCTTCTGTTAATACAGGCCTTCTGCTTTTTTCCCCACTTGTCACCCTTCAATGTTTTAAAAATATTTATTCAATAGATATTTGAGGGCCCAGTCTAGTGTAGGTATTGTGGCTATAGTTTGTAAGTAAGACAGACAAAATCTTTTCCCTTACAAGCTTACATTCAAATTGGAGAACAGATAATAAATGAGTTAAAACATATTATTTCATGTAGTGATAAATGCCATGGAAAAAAAAATTAAGCAGGTGAAAGGAGAAGCTACCTCAGAAAGCCTTCCCTTATGTTCCTAAGGTGATTTTTAGACTAGAAAGGAGTAATAAAGGAGGATGAGAATGGTAAAAAATGAGGTCAGAGAAATAGAAAGGGTTAGATCATTTAGGGTTCTATTGGCCAAGGTAATAAGCAAATTTTCTTCTAAGCTTGACAAAGCCATTGGATAGTTTTACATAGGAGATTAAAGGCTAATGTTGAGAATAAAGTGTAAAGGAATAGGAAGCAGGAAGAATAGTTGGGAAACTACTACAGGCAAGAGGTAGTTCAGACTAGGAAAATGGCTGTGATGAAGTGGTTAAGAAGTGGTCAAATTTGGTGTATGCTTTTTTGGTCTTAACACCTGGGTGAATGGTTGTATTAAATATGGAAACTTCCCAGTTTCACAAGTTTGTATCGTTTAATGTGAAAAAAACTTTTTTTTTTTTTAACAAAATCTATAATGACTATTATTTGGGTTAAAACTAATTGCTGTGCTGTAATTGCTCCTAATTTCAAATCAGGAAACAGTGGCGGTCTCTAAATATGCCATAAGTTCATAAGTGCCACTAATTTTAGCATTCATTGGTGAATTTTCCCTGCAACAATTAGTACTGTGGAGTTCCATGGTGGTTTTCTAGTTCCCTATTCCTTCCACATTTATTTATTGGAATTCTGTAAGGAAGATTTTTTTTCTTCTCCATTTATTCATTCAATCATTATTTTGGACGTACAGATATTCTTTGGTTTATAGTTCATTATTATCATTACTAATTTGTTCAAATTGTTCTCCAAATTTGGCCATTGGAAGTCAAAGTTCCCAGTCATAATTTCCAAGTTGGCTTCTGTGTCTTTTTGACCTACCCCCCCCCACCTTTTTTTCCTTAAGCATAGAACCATATTTTTAGGTTTAATGCACTATGGTCTTTACTAAAGTACTACTTTACTAAAGTACTACTAAACTATAAAGATCCTAAGGGGCATAACAATATCTCCTTAACTAATATCTGTATGAATTAGCCTTATGGAGTTATGATGCTAAGAGTTGGAAAAGACCTTAGAGGCTATATAATTTCAACTCCTTACCTTACCTTGAATTTTCATTAACCATCATGCCTCCATTCAGTTCTGTGTTAGTGCTAATAAAGGAGGACTTATAAGGCTGCATTTTTGTAATGGAATTTATAACTTATTTTACATTAAGCCGAAATCTAATCCTTATTCTACACAACTCTTCAACTGTTTAACTTTTAAACTGTTACCAATAGCACTGAGTAAACATTACCAGGGTCTTCACCATTTTCCATGTGATATGGTTTCAAATTTCTCCTACTATCCTGGTAATTCTGCTCTGAGTTGCAGTTTATTATTATATAGTATTAGAGCTAACTACAAGAGGTGAAAAGATGTGATGTCATTACAGTGGTACCAATTCTCTTGTTCCGGATCCTTTTTTTTTTTTCTTAATGTAGTCTGATTTTAGCTCTTTTAACAGCCACATATCACTGATTCACCTTACAGTCACTAAAACCTCAACTGTTCAACATGTAGTGCCTTTAAATGATGGCTTTCCCTTCATATACTTAATGGATTTATTAAACCAAGTCTAAGATTTCTTTTTCCTGTGGAACCCTATCTTGTTAGATTGAAACTTAATTGTCATGCAATATATTTCACCTATATTATATCTCCTTTATTAATATGTCATCAGTAAATAAGCCCCAAAATGCTCTCATGCTAATCCTGAAGAAGACAAATGTAGCAACCCAGCATAGACCAATGCAGTTTTGTAACGCTTCTAACAAGACAGAGTAATTTTCAAAACAATTACATGCATATTACATGTGGCTGTAGGAAATGTAAACAGGTTCAGTACTGGGAAGACAGGTCTAAGTAAAATAATCTAAAAGGAAGTTTGTAGTAGCACTGGGAAGGGAAGGAAGGTAGGTAAGAGAATAGCAAAGATAAACTCTCCCTTATTTTGCCTAATGTCAAAAAGAAGAGTTATGAAATATCTTAGGTTTTTATTTTACTCCCTAATTTCAGTTCCAGTTAAAAAAATGATTCAGCAGGTAGTTTATTATATGGGGTTTAAAATTTTTCATTTCACTTTAAATGAACACATGAGAATTATAAACTCAAATTTAGAATACTGAATATCTTAGTTATGTAGTACACGGTAGGCTTCAACTGTATTGGGTAATAATATTACTCTTAAATTAGTGTTGCGTTCACAGAAGTTGATTATAGTATTCTTGACACTTTCACAATCTGAAATATTTCATAATTAAAAGTTTAGTAGAAATATATTTGGAGTCTATGTTCAGCATTGTAATTTATTTCTTGACTCATTCAAGCCTTTGATAATCAACTAATGATGATGGAAGTGACAACCTGTAGCACTAAATTTCTATATAATTCTAAGTTTAGCAGATAGGCCAAGTTTATCACTATGTTCACTCTAACTGTATAATTATTTTGATAAAAATAAATTCTCAATTATAAGAACTATAGTAAAGAAACTGCATCATTAACACTGTAGTGAACTCTTTAAAAAATGTGACAGGAATTTTATAGTATATAAAATTTCTGACTTGCCAATTATGTAGTTATAAATTTCTATCGACAGCATTTTTTTAAATGTCCAGATTTTGCAAAAAACTGTTGAGTGTATTATCAAGAAGATAAGGGACGCCTGGGTGGCTCAGTCAGTTAAGTGTCTGCCTCCAGCTCAGGTCATGATCCCAAGGTCCTGGAATCGAGTCCTGCATCGGGCTCCCTGCTGAGCAGGGAGCCTGCTTCTCCTTCTCCCGCTCCCCCTGCTTGTGCTTCTCCCTCTGTCAAATAAATAAAGTCTTTTTTAAAAAAAAGAAGATAGGTATGCATCATCATGTTGTAATTTTTTATTTTTTAAAGATTTTATTTATTCATTTGAGAGAGTGAGAATGAGAGAGAGAGAGAGCATATGAGGGGGGGAGGGTCAGAGGGAGAAGCAGACTCCCTGCCGAGCAGGGAGCCCGATGTGGGACTCAATCCCGGGACTCCAGGATCATGACCTGAGCTGAAGGCAGTCACTTAACCAACTGAGCCACCCAGGTGGTCCCATGTTGTAATTTTTTAAATAGGAACAGAGAAGCCAGATGACATAACTGGCATTGCTGAGAAAATACCAGTATGCCACCTACTACAGAAAACCTGATACAGTGATTCTGCTTTGAGAAATTTGTCCCTCCTATGAATTATCAAGTCCTATGTTTCTATTATGGTACTTAACAGTCCTGGGGATTATATGGGAGCAACAAAAAGATTCACCCTCTCCCTCCTCTGCCAAAAATACACAGACCCCACACACTTGAAAAATAAGATCATATGGGTATGGCGATTCCTCAAAAATTAAATAATTACCATATGATCCAGCAATATACCTAGTTGTGGGCATATACCCAAAAGAAGTGAAAGCAGGGATTTGAAAAGGTATTTGTGCAACCCATGTTTATAGAAGCATTATTCACAATAGAAGGTGGAAACAACTCAAGTGTCTATGGATAAACAAAATGTGGCATATACAAACAATAGGATGTTATTCCACTTAAAAAAAAATTGACATGCTACCACATTGGATGAACCTTGACATTATTGCTGTGTGAAACAAGCCAGTCACAAAAGGACAAATATTGTATGATCCCACTTATATGAGGTACCTAGACTAGTAAGAGACATAATGGTGGTTTCCAGGGGCTGGCAGGAAGGGGAAATAAATTAGTGTTTAATGGGTACAGTTTCAGTGGGGGAAAGTGAAAAAGGTTTGTAGATGGATGGTAAAGATGTTTGCACAACAGTGTGAGTAAACTTAATGCCAAACTGTACACCTAAAAATGGTTAAAATGATAAATACTGTTGCATATATTTTACCACAATAAAATAAATCCTCTGAAATTTGTAAAATAAGCATAATGGCTCATCAAATGAAAAAAAAGCAAATATTTTCCAAGGATGAGACCCAATTGACAGTATTACCATTAATGAAACAATTTCTACATCAAAGAGATAGTTGTAAGTGTATTTTTAACACAATCCAACCCATGAAGAATGTAAAACAGGTGACTCAGGTGAAAAGAGATGCATCAGGCCTTAAACATTAGCCATTTAAAGCACCAAACTCATTTCTTTTGCCTCCGTTCCATATTTATCAAACAATCTTCTCGTTTTGGATCTGGCTTTCACCGTAATTTGCTCAATACAGAGAAAGGATCAGCAAGCTTAAGTATCCTACCTCTTTCATCATTACATTTTTCATAAATTAACACCTTAGTATATGGTTTTTACTAAGCAGTTTCTTAGCAGATTGTATGCCTCAGCACCCCAGAGTCCAGTCACCTCCAAATCTGATAAACCAGTTTCAAGCCTAGAAAATCAGATGTTGAAACCCAGTAATCACACCAAGGTCCTGCTAAGCTGTGGATACCTCTGTGGCAAGCTATACCACCTTCCCCAAGCAACTCCCCACTCTCAATGTACACTTTCAATAATGCTGTATTGTAATTAGACCCCATTCCTTGAAGATAGGGAGTGGATCTTATCTTTTATCCCTAACAACTGATGAAGTTTGTAGCCCAAAGGAAAGAACCCAATAAATAAGTAACAAATGAAAATAAAATCCAATTTAGTAAGACGTAATTAGAAAATTATTGTAAAGACTCTTCTATATATTACTTTCCTCTAAAACTTACAAATGGCAAGTTAGGCAGGCAATAGCAAAGACAAAATGAGCATATTTTGATTCTAAATTCAAGTGGAAGTTACATTAGTTAAGCCATATTTCTTTGAGAATGTCCACCAGTGGCAATCAAATCATATAATGTGATCTGTATGAAAGCCCAGGCAGGCCTCAGAGAGCATAAGTGCCTTTCCACCAATAATTTCTCCTCTAGTACAATAAAGAACATGGAAAATGTATACCTTCACTTGCCAAATATGTGGTACTGGTATAAGTGCCTTTTCTTTCTGCTACTTACATGCCATCAATCTAAGGAAGAATAAAATTCCTTCCTAATGTGTCCTAGAGTTTTGCTGTTTCACATAATGCAGCATTAAGACTCAACACCAGCCAAACGTGCCTGGATGAGGAATCTACCAATAATACCAGCACATAAAAAAGGGATAACTCTTGACACATTCTTGCACAGAAGGGTATTGAGACACACCTGCTGAACATAATCCAAATTGCAAGAAAATGCCAGATGTGAAAGATTTTATGGTCAGGCTAGATTTCAGCATATAATAGAAAATAATCTCTAACCAATCATATGCAGTTAGGAGAACTAATTTTTCTCCCCCCCCCCTTTTTTTTTTTTAGCTCAGACACACTTCCTAGGGAAATAAGTGTTACTTTATCTTCTAGAAGTTAAGGAAACAGTTTCCAGAACCAGATGGCCTAACTTACAGCTTTGCGTTTACTAGCTATGTGACCAGCAAATCATCAAACTCTGTGGTCCATTTGCCTCATCTGTAAAATGAGGACAGTAACTAATTACCTCACAGGATTATAGTGAGGATTAAATTAATCTAAGACACTACCTGGCACAACGTAAGTGAATTGCTAATTATGGTTACTAGTGTCACACATAAATTTTAAAAGCATGTTTCACCTAAAAAATTATCAACATTTTGGTAATTATGAATGTATATATTTCTATCTACCACTAGACTGTAACTGTGACTTCCGACCGAGATTTCTTTATCTTCTATACCAAGAACTTCATGCCGTTCGAGAGATTTATGTGATAGCCTTAACCAATCTTGCATATATTAAGTCCTTGCTTAGTAAGCTTAGTAAAACCTTAAAGTCTAGCAGGACTTTAGCAGAAGAAAGACTTGGGATAAATCTATTCATACAAATGACAAGTTCACATACAATAAAAGAAAGGGGAAAAAAAAGACTGAAGGAGGTCCAAGAATGAGTACATATTTTCCTGAAGGTTGTGTACATAGTAAGCAGAAACCATGAAATGCATTGCGAAAATAGGATGTAATTTTTTCATGGTAAATGAATATACCATAGCTCCTTCCCCCTTTTAATCACAAAAACGAGCCAGCCCCACACCTTTACTCCAAAAAGTGGGAGGGACGGTTTAGACAGTCCGATCGGAAGCACTTCCGTTCCCTCGGAACCGTGTACAAGTAGGTCCGTGGCGTCGTCCCTCCTTTCCACTCCGTTTCTGTAACTATTAGCTATTTCGGGCAACAACCTTTAGATTTGGTCATAGTTCCTCTAAAATGGAATGACGAATAATCTGCACCACCCTTTCCTCACAGTGGCGTCCAAATTCCAGCCAAAGGCAAATAAAATTTTCACGTAGCCAAGTGTTTAGAACTTAACGCTGTGTAGTCAGGCAAATCTACGTTCGGCCTCCGCTAGATCGATCATTAGCCGTGTGACCTTGCAAAAGTCTCGCTACCTGTAAGTCTAAAGTAACGCGTGAGTGCACGCACTGCATCTCGGACACAAACAACATTTACGCTTTGTTTGTACTGAGTTAAGAGGGACGCCCTCCAGGGCCATAGGAGCAGGCGCTGGCGACGAGACGCTGGCACCGTGTTGATGACATCACTTCCGGAGCGACAGGTTCGGCCTCTCTTGCTCTTTTAAAAACGCAGTCGACCGTCTTTGCTAGGGGAACGAAACCAGTACTAGCCACTGTCGTTCGCGAGGAAGGTGGGTAAAATTGCTCACCCCCTCTCTCACTGGTTCCTTCGCCTGCCTGGAAGGGCGATTCCAGTACAAACCTTTCGCTTCCTAGAACAGACGAGCACTGGCCAAGTACCCTGGTTCACTTAGGAGCCTTCGTAGCCCTAAAGACAAGTGCTTCGCACAAGATTCCCTGCCTGGATTTTAGTGACTGCAAATCTAATTTCTCCGAGTATGTGTGTCTGGGCTGCACTCCCCGCAGCTGTCCTCTGCGCAAGTAGGTTGCTTATAACTCTAATCCCCGGATGCCCTCTGCCAGAGGGGAACAATAAAAATTCCAGTATTCTCTCATTTTTTTCCATTTTGTCCATTACTGTGTAGGGGAAGGGTCTACGTAAGCATCCAGAAAGGTCTAGAACAGGTGATTTGGGGGCATGAAATTAGATACTTGGAATTGTGAAGATACCAGGGTGCTTCAGTGATGTACTGCTATTATTTTGAGGAGAAAGGATTTGGGGAGATGCTTACTACAATAAACCTGTGGTAAAATGGAGACTGAATTAGAAAAATTGTAATTAATGGATAAAATGGGTATTAGGTTGCAGTCGTTTTAGTCCACATGTGGTTCTTTTAAGATGAGCTTTATAAGAACACTTGTTTTCAAAGTAGATGACTAAATTGTGTGTGTCTTTTCTGTGAATTGTTTTCAAACCAAATTATTAAATTTTATTTTGAAAGAGATTTCCAAGAAATGGAATGCATTTATTTGTATCTGTTCTGTTTTGCCTTTATCATTTAATTTTCTTAAACCAATTTTGTTTTAACTTAGCTATCAAAAATAAATAGCACTTTCCAGAAGACTATCCATGCAACTATTAGCTATTTTATAAATAATGAATAGTTTGCTAAGAACAGCATGATAATACTAAAAAATTTTGTATCTGACTTCCTTGTTTTCCCCCTTGAAGAGCATTGTAGTCATTCATACTGTTATTTATGTTCACAGGTTGCTATAGCCTTTAGAAATTTTTGCTTTTACAAAACTTTCCTGTAATTTTGTAAAACTATTATATTGCAAAATAAATCAAGTTTTTGGAATTTTGCTCATCTGAATGGGTTAGTGGTTAATGTCAGTTCCAAATAATTAGTTTGTTTCTTCATTTCTTTTCTAGGAGTTATCTGTAGAGTTAAGTATGCTAATACTGAATAAGACAACAGGAGTTTTTTCTAAACCATCAAGAAGGAAACCTTATGAATTTTTAAGAAGTTTTAATTTTCATCCTGGAAAACTGTTTCTTCATAAACTAGTATTAGGAATTGAAACCAGTTGTGATGATACAGCAGCTGCCGTGGTGGATGAAACTGGAAATGTTTTGGGAGAAGCAATACACTCCCAAACTGAAGTTCATTTAAAGTAAGTAAACATTATCTTGGTAGTTCCCACTTTTGGGAAAAGTAAAATGAAATAATTCTATTTATCATATATAAAAGTTCAATTTTAGGAGTTCTTTTGTGCAAAAGCTTCTAATAACTACTGTAGAGAACCTTAAACCCTACATCCTGGCCTTTAAGGCTCTCCATAATAAGGTCTCAACTTTAACTGAGCCTCTTGCCAAAAAGAACTAAGCTCATTCCCAACTCTAAGATTTATCCATGATTTCCCCTTAGTAATGCCTTTTCCTCTTTTGTCCACCCGTATGTTTCATGGTCTCGACTGAAGTCCTAGGAGAGCATGACCCTATCTCTAGACTGTGTTAATCACTGGGGAAAAAAAAAAATCCTATTCACATTTATAGATATAACTCATGTTGGTACTTAAATAATAATACACTGTTGTATTAAAGCATAGAATGGTGCAAGGTTTATAAACTCATGTCTTTGTAGAGGACCACTAGTCAGGCTACATAGATAAGTGGGCTGGATATAAAGTGGAAGATATCTGGAGGAGGTCACTAGTCAGCTCCAGCCAATTGTTGCCATGCAGAAATGTAGGCCCTATGTTATTTGATCATCAGAATTTTCAAGAGAAAATGGGAATCCAGAATGTAACTGTAATATCTCCAGATTTTAAAATTAGTTGGTAATTCAAAATAGATTAAAATGCTATACAGATCAAATACACCTTCAAGCCATCAATTTATAACACCTGAATAGTGAAAAAGGTTGGTATTTTGAGATCACAGACCTGTATTTGAATTATGAATTAGGCAAATGGTGTTGACTCTGAATTTAGGCAAGTTCCTTATCCTCTCTGATTGTGTTTTCACATCTGTAAAATGGGAAAGATAATACCTGCCTTACAGGATTGTGGGGAGTATAACAGAAATAATATATGTGAAGAGACAGAATAGACCTCTAACAGTTACATACTATATGAAAGGGCTGTGGTAAGTGTTAATAGGGCATAGTGAAATACCAGAAAAGTCCTTGCCTTCAAGGAGCTTAACCCAATCTCTGATATACAGACCTAAAGGAAACATACAGTACAAGTCAGCATAAAGTATCAAACAAATGGTGCAAACAATAACTATTACTACCATGCCTCAGTTCCACTCAGTATTTCTGAGTGTCCTGGACATTTGCACATGTAAATGTTGACTGTGTAGAAAGGCCTTCCCTGACCACTTTATCTAAATTCAATATCCCTGCCATGTTTATTCTGTATCACCACACCCTGCTTATTTTCTTCATCATCCTTTTGATAATTTTTACATTTGTTTACTTATGTATAGTCTTTCCCCCAATAGACTCTAAGCTCCATGGTGACGGGCTCTGTCTTAATTATCAGTATTAATCACTACACTATGCCTGATAGCCAGCATAGCATCTGATACACTGCAGGTGTCAGTGGCCTTGAAAATAGGTAGGCCTTCAATGAATGGAGATGGAAAAAATACTGTAGCATGAGTAAACATTATAGCAAAGGCAAAGAGGTGATAAAATACAGGACAAACGTTCAGTTTAGTTAGTGCATAGGTCACTTGAGAGAAATACACAGGAAGTAAAGTGGTACCATCTACACAGCTCATCTCAGCATTTATTGAATTCCTACAGTTGCCAGGCAACTTTGAAGCACCGTGGTACAAATAAGACCGAGATATATAATCCTCGTCTCTGAGCAGTAGGTTTACATTCTGGACCTTGCACGGTTTTCTGTGCCTCAGTTTCCTTATGTGTGAAATAGGGATAGTAATGGTAGCTAGCTCCTAATACTGTTGTGAGGATTAAATGTGAATTCTTCCAAGGCGTGTAGTGCAATTCTTGACAGGTAGCAAGAACTCAATAAAAGCTACCTATTAGTAGTAACAATCGTACTTCTAGTCCATTATAAATGAGTGAAGAAGACCGACAGGTAAGCAAGTCATTGTAAAACAGCATGGGAAATGCATTAATAGAGGACTGTTTGGGTTGGGGGAGGGGGGTCCTACCTTGAGGCCAGATGGTTTCCCTGACTTTTTATTAGCTTTAGCCCCTCAGTCACCTACTCTCCGTACTGTGTACAAATCAGTTCTTTTGAGAATAAAGCCATGGTCTTACTCATCTCTTTTGTCTCGAGTCCTTAGCTAGCATAATCCTTTTAAGATAAAATACATAAAATCCTTAAAAGGATTATGCTAGCTAAGCAGCCCTAAGCAGGTCCAAGGTAGGACCCCCCTCCCCCAACCCAAGCAAGAAAGGGAGGTAGACAAGTGGGAGAAGGAAATGGGAGGGAGAGGATTTAGACTTAAAGTTACCCAAATTTCAAGAAAGTAAATGCTTTTGAGTAGGAGAGTTATGGGGTCAGCATTTTGCTTTACTTTCTGGCAACACAATGTAGAATGGACTCCAAGGATCAGAAAATCTCTCTAGGAAGTTGCAGTTAGAAGGCTTTGAATAGACTGAGATAAAGAGAGCTTTTTGAACTTGATGGTGGCAGTTGGAATGGTGATACACCTAGTTGTGGAAAGTGAGATAAAGAAAGGAGATAAAGATGAAGCTAGAAACGCAAGTCATTAGAAGGCTGAAGGCCATTAACAGTTGAAGAATGTAAGAGAAAAAGTGGCTTTGAAGAATTAAGGAAAATAGTATTACTATATGAATGTGTTGAAATAAGGTTGTTTCTTTTATTGTTTCCCTCATTGCCTGATTCAATACATATTATAACTATTTTTTTTAAGATTTTATTGTTTGAGAGAGAGAGAGAGAGCAGAGGGACAGAGAGCATGAGCAGGGGGAGGGGCAAAGGGAGAGGAAGAAGGCAACTCCCCCCTGAGCAAGGAGCCTGCCTCGGGGCTCCATCCCAGGACCCTGGGATCAGGGTCTGAGCCAAAGGCAGACACTTAACTGACTGAGCCCCCCAGGCGCCCCTGCATATTATAACTATTAAGTAAATATTAATTGAATGCCCCTATTGAGGGTTTTCATTTCTGTGTATAGAAGTCACAGCGTCAAATATTTGAAGATTTTTTTGAGATTAGAGAGGTGTATCTTGCAGACCCTATATTTTATTGCTCTGCTTCTCTGATTGTAAGTCAGTCACATGCTGGCAAATTTTTTGCTAGCAACTTTGCCTCCTACTTCTTTACTCTTGACATTTGGAGTGGGTCCTACATAGAACCAAAATCAAAATTATCAACTCTTATTTCAGGATTGCAAGCTGTCTGCTGTCCTGCCATGACCTCAAGTGCAGTGTGTTTAAAAATAAACTCATCTTCTTCACAAAACTGTCTTCATGTTTCTCTGTTAGTATTGCTTTTCTCCTAGTCATTCCAGCTCAATATGTGAATCATCTTGGATGCCTTGGTCCCCCTTCCCCTTATATCCAGTTATAACAGTTTTTCAAGGCTCTCTGTCCCTTTCTTTCATGTCCCATGATCATGTAGTTTAAGATGTAAACAAATACTTTTACAGTAACCTCTTTGAAAATTCTCCCTTAGGGGCATGTGGGTGGCTCAGTTAAGCGTCTGCCTTTGGCTCAGGTCATGATCCCAGGGTGCTGGGATTGAGTCCCACATCAGGCTCCTTGCTCAGCAGGGAGCCTGCTTCTCCCTCTGCCTGCCGCTCCCCCTGCTTGTGCTCTCTCTCTCTGTGTCTGACAAATAAAATCTTAGAAAAAAATTTTTTTAATTGAAAAAATAAATAAAAATTCTGTCTCCAGAGAGATTAGTTTTTCTAAAATCCAGTTTTATCCTGTCCTTTCCTTGTTCAAGACGTCTTCCATAGAATGCTTCTTAAGATTATTTTGGTGATTCCATTCATCAACAAATCCATAGGAATTTGTTGTGTACAATTTTGAAAAGTCAGACATTACACCCTTAATCACTGCATACTAAGTTCTTATACTGTGCTGCATTATAAGGTACACATACTTAAATACACTTGACTAACATATTTGGCTATAAAATAATTAATTTGAAAACATGCCTTCAGCCCTAATGTAAAACTTTTCTTACTCTATTTTGACAGTCTTGAAATTCTAAAAAGCTGGTTTTTTATTTCTTCCAGAACAGGTGGGATTGTTCCTCCAGTAGCTCAGCAACTTCACAGAGAAAATATTCAACGAATAGTGCAAGAAGCGCTCTCTGCCAGTAAAGTCTCTCCAAGTGAACTCTCAGCAATTGCAACTACTGTAAAACCAGGACTTGCTTTAAGCTTGGGAGTAGGCTTATCATTTAGCTTACAACTAGTAGACCAGTTAAAAAAACCTTTCATTCCCATTCATCATATGGAGGCTCATGCACTTACTATTAGGTTGTTAAATAAAGTAGAATTTCCCTTTTTAGTTCTTTTGATTTCTGGAGGTCATTGTCTGTTGGCATTAGTTAGAGGAGTTTCAGATTTTCTGCTTCTGGGAAAGTCTTTGGACATAGCACCAGGTGACATGCTTGACAAGGTAATTATTTAAGAATTAATTTCTCCATTCTTTTCTATTAAGGTGTCTATTTCAGTCAAATAATAATAGATACACTACTGCCATTTATCTAAATATTTCTGATTAATAGACTGAAAAAAATTTATATGCAGTAAGAAAAAAAGAAAAGTAGTACATAGTTTTATAAAAGATTTCTTACCCATTATGAGTGAAATGGTAAGAGGTTTAGATCAGTACATAAAGGCTCATATAGTTTGCAGATGCTGTTATGTTTTTAATCAAAAAATATATCTGAAAGAAATTGCCATGTAAAGTACTATAAAAATGTGAAATAAGAGGGTATATAAAGATAATAAAGGACATTAAAGATGTATAAAGTTTTGTGTGTTTTTTTTAAAGATTTTATTTACGTGAGAGAGAGAAGAGTGAGAGCATGAGAGGGGAGAGGGTCAGAGGGAGAAACAGACTCCCCGCTGAGCAGGGAGCCCAATGTGGGACTTGATCTTGGGACGCCAAGATCATGACCTGAGCCGAAGGCAGTTGCTTAACCAACTGAGCCACCCAGGCGCCCAAAGATGTACAAAGTTTTGTGACTGAACGTCATAGTTGCTGACACCACCACCAAGCAGGTTTCTTTTTCCCTTGTTTATGAATCCTGAGCCTACTGCTATCTGCAGAAAGCCTACTGCCAACAGCTGCAATGATTAGAGGAAATGGACAAGTTCTAATGTGAAGCTAATCATTAAGCAGTCATTGTGAACTTCAAACTTATTTTTCATCTCCAAAAGAGCAGAAGTAGATAGGGAAGCAGTGATTGACCCCTATTTTTTTTTTTTTTATTCATGAGAGTCAGAGAGAGAGAGAGAGAGAGGCAGAGGCAGAGGGAGAAGCAGGCTCCCCGCCTAGCAGGGAGCCTGATGCGGGACTCGATCCCAGGACCCTAGGATCATGACCTGAGCTGAAGGCAGACGCTCAACCATCTGAGCCACCCAGGCGCCCCTATTGACCCCTATTGATCAGGCTGTGAGAAGGAGCAAGAGTCTGTCCTTACTGACTACTAACTATATTCCATATATGTAAAAGCACAGCACGTCTTATTCACCCAGGCTTGTTGTTCTATTTTGGTTTTTGGTTGGATTTTTTTTTTTTTTTTTTAGTAAATTTCATTTCCTTTGCTTGTTTTCAAAATGTGCAGCTTTATGACTCATTACAAACATTTTTGTTTTTGATAGGTGGCAAGAAGACTGTCTTTGATAAAACATCCAGAGTGCTCCACCATGAGTGGTGGGAAGGCTATAGAACATTTGGCCAAACAAGGAAATAAACTGCATTTTGCTATCAAACCTCCCATGCAACGAGCTAAAAATTGTGATTTTTCTTTCTCTGGACTTCAGCATGTTATTGATAAGATAATAATGCAAAAGGAAAAAGAGGAAGGTATATTTCTAATTGGGAGAGTTGAAAAAATAAGTAATCCTGGATTGTGCCTAAAAATACCTGCTGCTTTCTGCAGGGTTGCAGAGGGGGCAAGTCCTGTCTTCAGCCGCACACGTTGCCGCTGCGGTACAGCACACCACGGCGTGCCACGTGGCAGAGAGAACTCACCGTGCCATTCTGTTCTGCCAGCAGAGACGCTTGTTACCTCCAAGTAATGCAGTACTGGTAAGTTCTGTCGTCTCCTCTAACAATAGTGTTCACACTTTACAGTGTGTTACTTTTCTTCTGGGAGCTTAACTGATCCCGTGCATAGGATCAAAAGGCCTTTATGTCATACGCTAGCCCAGAAGTATGAAATTTTGCAGAATAAAGACTAACAGCCATTTCTTATACAGGTACGGCAGCTTTATGGGACATCTGCACAGCCTGTGTGGCAAAAAATCTCCAAGACTGCATCTCGTCATTGAATTTAAAAGTGGATTTACATTAAGAAATGAGATGCAGTAACTGCTATCATTATTTTTAGAAAAATAAGCTAGTTTCCTTCAAATTTATGTTCCTTTGATGAAATCCCTTTAAATCTGCATAAAAGCCTTGATAAACTTCCTGTTTAACTATATCTTAAACTTCATCTTTTTGAAAATTATAAAATGAGACAAATATTAAAAGATGGTAGAGTCACAAAATAGAATATTATGTGACTATCAAAGGCAATAGCTTTTTAAGAATAATGTAAAATGAGAAAAATGCTTATAAGTAAAAATGGCAGGGTCTAAAATATTGTTGTACTTTGATTATAATTAGAAAAAAGTTAGAAGAAAATGTACAAAAATGATAGTGGTCCGGGGCTCCTCATGGTGGTGCAGTGGGTTAAGTGTCTGACTTTTGGTTTTAGCTCAGGTCATGATCTCAGGATTCTGAGATCCAGCCCTTGGTCAGGCTCCATGCTCAGTGTGGAGTCCACTTAAGTTTCTCTCTCCCTCTCTCTCTGCCCCTCCCACCCCCTGCCAAAATAAATAAATAAATCAAAAAAAATTATAGTGGTCCTTGTATATTGATATTGAAATTGTTGATTTTCTTTTCCTCCAAATTTTTATTATACAGATTGATCATTTGCCCATCTCCACCTATCAAAATGTGATATTTTCTTATTGTATAATGCTGGAATCTTCCCCAGGTTTAGCTAACAGTTTGGCTCATAGCCATATGTAATTATTTGTTAATTTTGGTCTTTTCAATTCCTTCAGGTTGTGTCTGGGGGCGTTGCAAGTAACTTACACATCCGAAAAGCTCTGGAAATTGTAACAAATGCAACACAGTGCACTTTGCTGTGTCCTCCTCCCAGACTGTGCACTGACAATGGCATTATGATTGCATGGTAAGCACGGGATGTATGTGCTTCACTCATAATTTGCCATTTCATCGTGCTACATCTTCTTCCTTTAAATCTTGGTCTGTTTATTTTATTTAAATGATTCTTATTTAGGAACGGTATTGAAAGACTGCGTGCTGGCGTGGGCGTTTTACACAACACAGAAGGCATCCGCTATGAACCCAAGTACGTGGTACCTTTTATAATCTCCATGCAAGTTGCAGTATAAAATTCAAAGCCTAAAACAGAGTTTAGTTAGTAGTGGGAGAAGGAATCTCCTATATTGATGGCCTAGCCTCACGTAGAACATACTGTCTGATCCAGTGTTGCCTTCTTGTGACAGTGTGGAGGCAGAAGTTGATGGCTTTTTCCAGATTAGGGTCCAGTTGAAGCTGTATATTGGGCAACGTTGTAAAAAAGCAGAAATCTGAGGCCAAAATTATTTACTGAGGAAGAACAGAGAAAGAGAGTAGGATCTCAGACATCTCCTGCCAGTAGTGACAAGAAGGTAGAAAAGGAGCAAGCCAGCTTTTGAAACCTCAGAGAAGAATCAATAAAAACCTGGGGAATTTCTAAAGTAGAAATGGATGCAGATTTGACTTCAGCTGTATGGTAAACTGTTTGTACCCTTTCAGCTTTGTAGAGAATTATAAGGCATTTTTATCATTTTTCTATTTCCTTTTAAGTTTTTATTTATAGTATGAGAGCAGAACTGTTTCTTTCAAAAACTTCTCAATCCTCAAATTCATTGAGTTGTATACATTAAAGATGTCAATTATACCTCTAAGTAGTTAAATACCAAAATTTAGATTTATTAATGGGACTGGCCTTCTCTTCACCCATTATCCCTGCTGTGTTTGTATTCAAGAACCATCATCACAGATGATTGTACACAAGATAGGAGCGAACTAGTGACAGATCAGGAAGCAAGTATTTGAGATAATGTGATTTATCTGATTGTGATGCAGATGTCCTCTTGGAGTAGATATATCAGAAGAAGTTGGAGAAGCTGCCATAAAAGTACCACAGTTAAAGATGGAGATTTGATTTTTGCTTTTCAAAAAAATCCCTAAAGGTAGTATTTCAACATTAAGTTGTGATTTTTTTATATTTCAAATTGTGGAAGAAACATAGTATTAATTGTTCATCAAGACTTTATTTTGTTTTTATGTTTGATGTTTCCCCTGCTCTTCTGAGAGACTAATAATATGTTACAGTTTTATAAGGGAGTGTAGATTTGTTTATTATCAAAATTAAAGTAAAATAGCTTGTGGGGGTAAAGAAGGTACTGATATTGGCAGGTAGAAAGAAAACCTTGGAAGATATACAGTGAATCTGCTAAATCCTGGCCCCATTTTAAAAAGGCCTAGACCTTTTTCTCTTTTTCTTATATCAGGATTGTAAGAGCTATTTTTTTAGATTATATTATATTTATTTTATTAAATTTATTTATTTTTAATTGAATTATAGTTGACATACAATATTAATTTGAGGTGTACAACATAGTGATCCAACATTTATATGTATTATGATACCATGATATATAGTTTTACCATCTGTACGATACAAAGTTATTAGAGTGTTATTGACTATATTCCCTGTGCTGTATTTTTCATCCCCTGACTTATTTTATAACTGCAAGTTTGTACTTCTTAATCCCCTTCACTTATTTCACCTACACCCCCCCCACCTACCTCCCCCTGGGAAATTGGTGGTTATCAGTAGAAGCTATTTTTTTTAGCTCCTTTTGAAACATTAGCCTAACTTTTATAATGAGAGAGCAATTTTAGAAAGGTAGCCAGGTCAAAGTCATGTCAAATCAGAGAACTCTAAATGAAGACAAAGAGTGACTGTCTCTAACAGAATGCATGTTATTAATTATAAAAATATATGTTATTAGGTATCATCTTCCCTGGAGCAATTGGGATGTCTTTACATATCTTAAAATCCATCTGAGATTTTAAGAAATAGGACAGGCAAGTAATCCTTCAAGTGTGTATTGTACTTTCTAGTTGACCATGTATGTTTACATGCATTATTTTAGAAACTGTATTTAATCAATGAAAATATATGAGATGTGAAGGTTTTTGGTTTGTGTTTGGATAATTTCCTTTGAATCTGAAGCTTTATCACTTTTTTTCTGCCTAAAGTAACTAAATGTACTGTCCTTTGAATATAAAAACAATGCTACTGACTTTAATGTCCTTTGAGAGATTTTACCAGTAAAGAGTTACATTATATCATCCATACTGGACCAAGTTGTTAATTTTCTAGTCAATGACTTGCTTTATTGAGAAAATAGAAGGTAAGGATAAAAATCTAGACCGAAAGGATTTCTTATTTTAATCCTGCCTTAAGGTGACCTCCTTTTGGGGAAATTCCATAAGTAATTTTTTTTTAAGAATTGTGATCATAGAGTATTGCTTTATGATCATCCATTTGGAAATAGAAAATATAATTTATATGAGGGAACATATAGAAACAGCCAATATTTATTTAAAAAACAAACTTTATATTCTTTGCTGTTGAGGTATAGCTCTGATAGAATTGGTTTGTAAATATTATTTAGAAGAAACTTAGTTTGTGAATTCACACTTTTCATTTAAATTTGTGTTCTGTATCATGTGAACTTAAATTCACAGAGAAGTAATATAAGTATTTCCTGTGGCTCTCACAATCAGAGTGCATACAAACTATGGAAGGAAATTGACCAAAATCTCTTCCCCCTATCACAAATATTATAAAATGGGGGTATCTACAATCTATGTTCTTAAAATTTTTAAGTATCAAAATTGCTACAGGTGTTACAAGCACACATGTCAAAATTGAGTTCATGATATAAATAAGAGAAAATACAGATAAAGAAAATGAGCATTTTGGGGAAGCATTCCATATCTGTAGGCCTTTAGTATTTGGCCATAAGGAAGGAGGGAAGGGAAAGAAGAGAGAAAGAGGGAAAGGAAAAGGGAGGGAGAAACACTGAATTCTATATGGGCAAGTGTATGTACCAGAGTTAGCTAATTGTACAGGTAAAAGGCAATTTGCTGAAATCCTCTGTATCTTCAGGCCTTTCTCATATGTAATTTTAAAAAAGAAAAAATGCAGGGTGATAAAAATCATCTTTACTGGAGGAGCTGTACTTCAGGAAAAATACTGTGAGTTTTAGGACTAGTAGGATGGCCTTGGTAGGCCAAGAAACTCAGGAAGTGTCTTATATTATTGAATACGAAGAACCCCTGAACGTATTCTTAAAATATAGTCTTGAGCCCACCAGAAGCCAGTTCCAAAGCTCAAAGTTTGTTGTCTAGAGGGTTTTGTTTTGTTTTGTTTTACATCTGCAGAGGCTTAATACTTCCATTAATATGAATTCTTATCCTTAATGGTGCTGAATAAATGACTCAGTTTCTTATCATTTGAATTATTTTTCCCTTTGTAGTATAGAATAGGCCATTTCCCCCCATAGTTCCTATATTAGGGCATCCACCAGAATTAGAATTAAATTTGAAGATTGGAGAGGTCGCTTATTGTTCAATGGCAAAAAGCCTAGGATTTAGACTCTGGTGCATGGAAAGCCCTAAGTACCTGTAGCTGCCATCACCACCATCATTACTGTTTGTGTTAAGGCATGTTGGAGAAAATAACTGCTAGTTAATACATATGTTCAGTGTAGCCCAGAGCAAAGTGGTCAGAGAAAAATGAGGGCTTTAAAGGATACAGTGAAGCCCAGCTTGACTTTGTATCAAATCTACCTGCTGCTGTAAAATAGAGGCCAACCTACATCAAAACTTGTACCTACTGGAAACAGTACTCCTTGGGCAAAGACATCATGTGATTCTAAGCCACAGAGTATCACACTTTCCAGTTGTAAACCAAAAATACTTGTAAGTATGGAAAATGGTCAACACTGGTAGCCACAGTTTTTAGCCATACTTTTGTACTTGGTGGGCAGTGATTTCAGATTTTTTTTTTTAAGTCTTTTAAAAGTATACATTTCTACATTTTGGGTTTTAAAACCCTCGTGCATTTGTAGTATTTATCGTTAAATATCTCAAGGTACTACAGTGAGTGTTAACATGTGGGCTATTTTGAATCAGGCCTCTTTAGCCCAGCATACCAATTTAAAAGTGTTTCTAACACTTGATATAGATATACTAATTATGCCACTTTTTTCAGTTGCTATATTTTAATAGTGTTAAATGCAAGAAAATTCTATTTACTTTTTGTAACTATGACTCTGACCTGATGTTAAACTTTGGTAGACAGGCTAGAGAAAATCTGTTAAGTATCAATATCAAGAACTTCCATTCAAATGTTTATACTCAGTTATATGTATTTTACTAGAATTAGATTAAAATTAAAATAAAAAATTTGGGGGTGTCTGGCTCGCTCAGTCCGTAGAGCATGTGACTCTTGATCTTGGGGTTGTGAGTTGGAGGCCCACATTGAATAGAGAGATTACTTAAAAATAAATTCTTTTAAAAAAAGTAAAGAATTTAAAAAGAGTGCTCAGGAATTCTTTTATACTTTCATATTAATGCTTTTATTAGCCTTCTGCAGGCTCTGGGTTAGCTTTCTGTACATGTTTCCCAAGTTGGCTCAAAAACACTATTCTTGGTCTTGATACTTCTATGATATCTGATGAAATTGCAGATGAAAAGGAAAAAATATTGTGAGAAACAGGGGTTTGTTTTGTTGTTTTGAAGAGTCCCATGAAGTTAGTTACAGGAGGTATTAAAGTCAAAGAATCTCTTGGTTGAATTTTAGGTTTTAATTTTCTTCGGTGCTCTTTCCCTGAAAATTAGAGAGCCACAATTAAATGTCTCTTTCTTAAGCCCAAGAGCCCTAGATATAGTCTCATTGCTTTTGGTTCTGTATAGTGCTATTTTCTTCAAATCACTAAAACATACTAAGAGAATGGATCCATACCTTCCAGACTTTTAGATGTCAAGGGCAAAAATTTGTGGGGCCAATATATGGTTGCCAACTTTTTATTATGCCAAGTTGAGACTAATAAAAGAATAAATGCCAATGTCATTTTGTAAAAGTAGGGATATCTTAACACCCAAGAGAAAGTATAAAAGGTACTATCTCAAAATGACACATTTTATATATGGAATGAAAATAACTTTATCAGAAACTTACTATAGTGTCCTTATTTTTTCTTATGTTACCATAAACCTGTGAAAACATTATCAGACCATTAGTGGTACACAGATTGCTATGTAGAAACCAATATTGAAAAACAAAACAAAACAAGAAAACAATTTTAAAGTGAAGAAAAAAATGGGACTGACTTTATTCCTTTGTGTAAATTAACTTACACTAAAGAAGCTATACAAAAAATATTCTTCTATTCATAATATTCATATATACAGCCTCCCACACAAACCTAGCTTTCCTCAGAGACTCCCTGAATAAGTGAAGTTCTCTCTTCTCCTTTTATTCTCTCCTTTTCCATTTGTGACTCTTACAAATGGATCTTGGCTTTTGAATGGTTCTGTCCTTGCTTTTGACTATAGGATAATATACCAAGTAAGACTCATATTGGTCCTACACATGAATAAGCACTAAGCATATAAATTAAGTCAAAAAATAATATATTTTCCCTATTACATGTCTAATAGGAACTAATGAGTAACTTTATAAGCTCTGGACTCTGACCTTGCAGACCTAAATCACTCAGCCAACATCTACCAAATATATATAAAACTGTAGTGTACCAGTGGAGAAAATGTGGTCTCTACCCTAAGAACTGACAGACAAGTTGTACATGAAACAAAATAATAGCAAGATCGTAATTTAGGCCATACCTATATGTTGTTTCAATAATGACCTATTTCTATGCATAGCTTATAAGAAAAACAAAGTAAGAGAGGGATTTCTGTTAAGTGATATGGTAGGAAAGGTCTTAAAAGAAATGATTAACGTAGTCTTGTAAATAGGAAGATATTTTAAGTATACAGAATGACAAAAGCAGAGTTTACAGGTAAACTTTTTTGGGGGTAACCTCTACATTTTGAATTTTTAGAAATGGAACACAGAATTGTAAGGTGTCAGGGCTAGAAGTTACCTTAGAGATCAAAGAAAAATTAATTACCTTTTTTAAAGACAGGAATTATGGATGGTCCTCCATTTTTCTCTAGACTAAAAGGAAAACATATTGATCACAAAACTTCATTTTCAAAGCAAAGGTTTACCAATGAAGTGTTTAAAGGCAAAGAATAACAAGGTGTAGCTAGTTAATGGGTGTGTGTGTTTTACCCCCAACACACACACCATATGGATGGGTGGGTGGGTGGCTTTTAAAAGCAGTATTATTTTAAATCTTCATCCTGTACATGTAACATAATATAGTTACAAAATTTCCCTGGTAATAAAATTTAAGTCTCGCTTAAAGTTAATATATTAAAGGTGGTTATCACAAATGTATAGCTGGTTAATTTGGTGAGGAACATTTGCTGTTGTCCACTTTAATGAGGCATAGACTTCAATCTGTCCATATGCCAACTTCATGGCCAAAGGGTAACATGAAACTAGCTAGCATTTAGGCTGAGTGCTTTCATACAGGGTCAGTTAACACCAGTAAAATTATGTCTTTCTCCATACTTCAAAATTTGCATATCCAAGGACTCTTCTAATCTGCTACTCTTGGAGCTGGATGGGGGAATGGGAATAGAGAAGTGGTATATGCACCAAGAAAATGCTATCATGATGCCAGCCACAATCAGTGTACTTGGGAGTAGTGGTATCCAGGAACATTTCGTGGAAGGGTATTGTTATCCATGCCAAAGTTTCCAGACAGGTCTTAATAATCTTCTAGCACATTTCCCATAGTTTCATTTAATCAAACTCCTTCACTGAATGGTTATGAAAATTAAAGGGAATGGTCCATGTAAATACTCTAAGAAGAGTTCATAACACTATTAGTTATGGGAGTAATTATTATTTGATTACCAGTTCCACCTCACCTGGTAACCATTCTTACAAGTTTACTGAGCGCTGGTCACTGCTTACAGTCCTAAAAGTTGAGTGTTCACAATTCCAGGGGGTGCCATTCACCCTCAGTCATTGTAGATTTGTATAGTTATTACACCTATTTTTCAGCAGTTGACAGTGAAGTGTCCTGAGGTAAGGGCATCTTTCGCTAATTCCTGAAAAGTTGCCACATGGGCTAGTTGTCAGAGTAATTGTGTAAAATAATACTTTTCATTATTTATCCTAAGTTAATTTTTTTAACCAGTAAATATTATTTAACACTGTCAATTACAGGAATTTAATTTAGATTTCCCTGTTTCATTATATAAAATGAGGTAATCAGTTTTGCGGTTTTGGTTTTTCCAAGAATTAAAATGAAGATGTACTAATTTTTCTCTATACTGAAATTGATTTACGGAACCATAATACAGTATTGGATCCTAGTTTCTTCAATTATCATAGAGTTAATATTGTATCTTTTTTTTTTTAAGATTTTATTTATTTGACAGAGAGACAGCGAGAGAGGGAACAGAAGCAGGGGGAGTAGGAGAGGGAGAAGCAGGCTTCCTGCTGAGCAGGGAGCCCGATGTGGGACTCCATCCCAGGACCCTGGGACCATGACCTGAGCCAAAGGCAGACGCTTAACGACTGAGCCACCCAAGGGCCCTGAGTTAATATTGTATCTTGAGTAGTTCTGTTTCCTACATAAGAGTGCTAGTTGCAGAGAAGACTTATAATTCATCTACATTGACTAAAGAAAATATGCCCATTCTAAGGAGATTCTCCTCTCCGTTTACAGAAACTTAAGCTCTGATGAAACTCCAGCACTGAAGCAAAATCCTCTGGATAAATAAATGCCTGTCATACTTTGCCATAACTGAAGCCACTGGGTCTGATTTAGCCCTCTTTCTACCCTGGGAGTCTGGCCTAGCTTTGAATGAAGTTCAAAGGTCTTTTGAACCTTCTGAACATTTTTTGATGATGCCAAGGTCATGGTGGTATTCCTAGTTGGCTTGGGACTGTCAAGTATATCCCAAAAATGGTTTCCTGGATCAGACTTGGAAGCATCCAGAATCCCAAAAAGCTTTTCTGAAACGTGAATAATCTTGACCAAACGGGATCCCCAAGATCTGGTTGTATTCTTGCCTCCACAAGCAGTTTTGTTGCTAAATCAGAATTAAAACAGGCTTTGGCAGTGGACATTTAGGAGGAATTTTCTCTCTTCGAATCCAAGGCATATATTCATTCATATCAGGAATAGCTCCCCTTGTTTGGTCTTCCTTAAACTTTCTTTTTATTTTTTAAAAGATTTTATTTTATTTTGACAGAGAGACACAGCGAGAGAGGGAGCACAAGCAGGGGGAGTGGGAATGGGAGAAGCAGGCTCGCCACTGAGCAAGGAGCCTGATGTGGGGCTTGATCCCAGGACCCTGGGATCATGACCTGAGCCGAAGGCAGACACTTAACGACTGAGCCACCCATGCGCCCCAATCTTCCTTAAACTTTCTTACAAGTTCCTCTATTAATAATTTCACTACTGCAACTTCACAAATATAGGCACAATACCTTAAAGAAGGAAGTCCCACTCGTTGCTGCATTTGAAATTCCTTTAAAAATGCTGGGTTAATACTTGCATCTCTGTTGATATTATTTGTTATACGAAGGAACTGGTTAGGCTTATTTCTGCATTCCTTTAATAGGATGCGGAAAGCATTTGCATTGTAAGTTAAGTAGCCAAGAGCACAGGAGCAAGCTGTGCGAACCTAAATGAAGAAACAATTCCTCCGTTGAGCTTTAGTCTTAAAATATCTAACAAAGTGTTCTCACTAAACATTTCATAAGACAGTCTCTGTAGCTCTGCAGAGCAAACGTGTAGGTCAACCAGTGGCAATCTACAGATGGAAGCAGAACTGCCGTATTTTTAGAGAAAGCTGTCAACTGCCATTGGTTTCTAGTAGTTGTTCTCAGTCCTGACTGCGTTTTAGAATCACCAGCAGTTAAAAAAAAAAAAAAAAAAAGCCCATCAACTTTCTTGGGGGTAGAATCTGGGCATTCATACTGTTTTTAAAAGTGCCACAGGTGACTTCAATCTGCAGCTAGAGTAAGAACCATTGAGTTTGAGCTAGGACAGTGGGTCTCAGTCTTGATTGTGCATTGGAATCCCCTTGATAGTTATGAAAATTACTTAGTGCCAGGGTTCCACCCCTAGAAACTCTTAATTCTTTTGGGGTGCAGCCTGGACACTGGAATTTTTCAAAACTGCTCAGTTGATTGTAACAGGAAACCAGGTAAGAGGCTACAGGATAAAAATAAGTTAAAAAGACACTCAGGAAAGCAACTCAGTTTTCCACTGGCAAAAACAAAGTATCAGCCACAGGACTCCAGAAAAAAATACCCTCTGCCTGTGACCCTGAAGTAATTAGGTTGTTCATGTGATTAAAGTATATTCCTGGGCAGTTCTTAGAAAATCTGTTAGTGGTGGCCTAAGAAATGTCACAGAATGAATATAAGTCAGGCCCATGCAGGGTACTAGAGGGCTGATATGCTAGTCTCAACACTGGCATCTGACTGCTGCATATGCCCATCTATCTACCATACCTTGAACAGTGGCTCTCAATGTATAGCACTGATACCAGCAGCTTCAGCTTATAGGAACTGGTTAGAAACGCCCATTTTAGGGCCTAAACCAGATGTATTCAATAAGAAATGCTGGGAATGGAGCCCAGCAATCTGTGGTGTAACAAGTCCTCCAGGTGGTTCCTGCGTCCCCTGCAGTTGGAGAAACACTGCCTTACACCTGGGGGAGGGGGGAAGGGAGAGGGGAATATTCAGAGGCAAACCACTACCCTGGCCTTCTTCATACTGTCACCTCTGATCCTGCTTGGCAGATAAAGAAAACTGTCCAATGGATTCCACTTTCATTCATTCCAAATAATCCTAGAAATGACTTAGATCATAAGAACTGGTTAGTTACTAAGTAACCAGTTTTTGTGAGATATTTTATAAATATTTTAATTATAAATTTCTGTATCATCAATGTACTTATTTGTATATTGAATCTTAAGTACTGAAGTTAAAACAAATGTGCACATTTTGTGGGAACCAAAATTATGGATGGCAGATGTAATACTAGAAAAATCATCTAATTTTGAGTCAGTAACATGAACTATTATATAACATAGTTAACCTGTAGAGAAAGTAGCCCACAAAGTGAGAGGCAATTATATTTTTAGAATATTCAATTATAGAATTACTTTTGTTTTTACCTCTTCTTTTCCGGAATACAAATGATAGCAGAGCTGTTGGATTGTCCCTAATGTGGTAAATGCTTCTGGGATACCAGCTCTAGAATGAGCCAGGCTAGCTATTAAATTCCCTGTAAATTAAACAAGAAAAAAAGTTTGTGTTATTTAACTGATATAAACTGATATACTATACTTTTGTTCATTTGCACATATTATTAAAAAGGGTTGAGTCACAAGACATCTCTGTTAATGAAGAAAAGCTGAGAAAAAGCATGTATATATTAAATGTAGAATTCTTTCCCCAAAATTATGATTTGGTTTTCTGTCACAAACAGTAAAAGTTATTTAAGAGTAGGGAATTTTGAAAATCAGTTTTTCTTCCCTATGACTTCAGAATATATTTTGTTTTGAGCTTTAGTGTTTTTTTAATGACTGTGAACATAATGATTGAACTACCATAAAAAAAATTTAGTATGTGCTTTTTGCAGTTCAGATCGCTTTGAGTTAAGAGCTTAATGGTATTTTAAACCCAAACAATGTATTACTTAAATTTAAAGTCATTGATGTTTGTGCCATAAAAAGAATAATAAAGTAATTCAGTAAATAAATATGCAACTACCAATTTAAAACAATTTCATTCGAATATGTGTTTTATTTTTAGAGCTTTCATATGATATTCTTTCACAATATTGTTGCTGTGTTGGAATAAGTGCAACACATTTTAAAATATAAATGTATCCACCCATATAAATGTGGATGGATACTTTATTGAGGTATTCATTGGGGTTTTGTTCTTGTATTTTTTTTCTGGCCTTCTTTATAAACCAAGGCCTTTGTATTTTATTGTTTCAGGATGGGGAGGGATGGATTGTATGGCTTAAAGCAAAAAATGTCTAAAAATAACCTTTTTTTTCAGGCATATATTTTTAAAAGCTTATGTTTATAGAAGGCATTATTTTAGGTGAAAGGGAGAGAGACGTCTTTAAAGAGGAGGAGTAAGAGATGGGAAACAATGGAGGCAGGCAGAGGATCTAAGATTAAGAAGGAGATAGTAGGAACAGGAGCTGTGTGTAGAGAATGGTTATGTGGTGCACATAGGAAAACTGGACACTTGGCAACAGAAATCCTAGTCTTTGTAAAACTTCTGTGCCTTTGGAGCCTCTTCTGGGAACCTTGTCAAGTTAGACATTTGGCACAACACTTACTTTACATTATATCTGAGGCCCAAATATCCTGCTTTGCTTGGGATACCCCAGACATGCACATGACTCTGGAGATGCATAGGACTATGAATGCATATGGATGAAGAAAGCCCAGTAATTTTTGAGATTCAGTTCCAACCAACCTGAGAAAATTAATATTTGAAAGCTAGTATAATATAGTATTTCTTGCACACAGGAGTTTGTGGAGTAAAATTTAAACCCACTACGACTGTTTTTCAGAGTCACAGAATTACTATGACTTGAATTAAGAATGCTATTTAAATAAGAATGTATTTAATAATTTAAACATGTTTCTTTCCTAGCTAGTTTCCATCAGAAAGTTTTCATTTGCATGAATTTTCCTTCCATGCCAAGTAAAAATATAATTCTGTAGCAGCAAGTGTAATTTCCTTTCCTACCTTCAGTGATCCATTTCATTTAAAAAACAAAGACCTTATTTATTTTTTGGTAGTAGTCACTTCATATGGTTGTCATTCTGATACTGTTTCATGTTGTGTTGAGAGTGATATATCAAGTCAATTACCTAATTATTCATCTTGAAAATTAGCTCTAGAGTAGATACAGTTACACAATTAGCATTAAGGTGCCAAGAACTGTATTGGACTATTATGCTTTGCTATATTTTATAGCAACATAAGGAACTCTTAAATGTTAGCAAAATGTGAAGTTGATCAAAAGAAAACCAGACAGAGGTATAGCAGTACAAGTCTGCCATTACTATTATAAATCAGTGTGTAGATTTTCTGGTTAGTAGCTCAGAGTTGGAGTCTCATTTCATATTCTCAAAAAAATAATTAGGGGGTTGAAAAAGTAACTAGGAAATCAAAAAGGCCATGTTCAGAGTTACCCGGCTTCTATTTGGGGTACAGAGTAGACTCACACTGTCCCATGTAGACTTTGTGTGGAATTCCATGTAGACTTAAACCAGTTCATTCTTCAAACCATGTGACATAGAATCAAGCTTATTTTATTATTGTTCAGATTACAAAACTTTTTTGAAAATAGTTTTATGCAGATGTAGTTTTATGTAACCACCTTCCAGTTATTTCTTACCTGTCAAGACAATAGTAGTGGAATGAACTGAATACAGACTATCCACTAAAATAGTAACACCTCTTGCAGACAAAGTAATATGGTCCACATCTATAATGACTTTAGCTAAGATAATAATCTGAAAACAAAAAAGAAGCATAGAATCATTGAATGTTTTCTACTCTGCTTCTCTAATTAAGCTTTTGTTTTTTGGTATTTCTCAGGAAGGCAAGGGGAGTAATTTGGTATGAACCAGTAGAAGAAAACCAAGTGGCAGGGGTTTATTCAGAGTAGTTGTCACTATCTGATCATGGTGGTGAACATGGCAGGCCACTGTATTCTTCCTACAATATTTGTAGCTTTTGCATCCTTGAAGTATGGGTTCGTAGAAAATAGTTCTTCTAAAGGTCATTGGATAGAGAAAGAAGCACCCAGATAGAATCAGTGTGATCAGCTAAAGATGTGCAGTTAGAAAACTTGTCTGTATACTGCCTTGTTTCTCTGCGTGTAATACGGGCATGATGAAAATGATACTATCTGCCCATCAACCTGGCAGGGTTGTTATAAGCATCAAATCAAGTACAGAGGCAAAAAGTGCCTTGTAACTTGTAAAATTATGTATAAATGAAGATATCCTAATAAATAATGGAGGTTTTTTGAGGTAGAAAGGGCTGGTGTGAAAAATACTGAATTTTACAAATTCGTAAATGCTTTTCCAGATCAAAATTTTTTCTCGTTTTTAAGTTTTGTCTAAAAAGACATACTTATTGATTTGAAGTTTTAACTTCCAGTTTTATACCTGAAATGCTGCCATTGCCTTCTCAGTTTCAATTGCTGATTCAAGAAAAGGCTCAAAGATTGATATGGTCATTATTCCACTTTCCAAAATTAAGTATTGTTGAAGGCGATTATTGAAGGCAAAAAGGGTTAATGCATAGCCTGCCCTTAAACAAATATCCTAGAAATAGGAGAAACATGCATTATCTTTAACTTAGTTCATCTGTTATGTTACTCAAGGTAATAGATTTTGAATTCTTGCCCATCTAAATATATTGCATTCTTATCTCTGGGAGTAAAATTTGACATTATTGGGGAAAATAGGTAATAGAGTTAACCCAGAATGTTATTGAACAGATAAAATAGAGAAGTAGGTTGTGATATCAGGGAGAAGAAAAGAGAAGTAATTTGAATTTTCAGAGGGAATGTTAGGTTAATGATTATGCAAATAAATATCTAAATAGTAACAGGAAATTCCATAATTTCTTTTTTTTTAATAAAGATTTTATTTATTTATTTGACAGAGAGAGACACAGTGAGGGAGGGAACACAAGCAGGGGGAGCGGGAGAGGGAGAAGCAGGCCTCCCGCCGAGCAGGGAGCCCGATGCGGGGCTCGATCCCAGGACCCCGGGACCACGACCCGAAGGCAGGCGCCCAACGACTGAGCTACCCAAGCGCCCCCGGAAATTCCATAATTTCATTAACCTTCAGGTTTTTTGTTTTAACATATTTTTATTTTTATTTTCATTTTAACATTTCAAAGTAGACTTGATAAATCAAAACTTCCCTTGTATAGCATGCTATATATTGTTTTATGCATTGTGGGATGATCTCTATCATCTCTCAAAATAAGTTCATTTGTAAAATTCTGTACTATATCCTAAGAGGAAATAAAAAGATGATTTAAAAATCACATTTTAACATTCTGGGATTTGGCAAACAGAGCAAAAGCCAATTCTTCCTTAGAGTCAGTTCATTTGCCAAAGATGAACAAATATGGTAGATCTTCCAGAAAGACCAAAAAGAATTTTATCACTAAATCTTATTTTTAATATTTTGTTTGAACAGTATAGTACAGAAAGAACCATTAATCTCATGAGTTTTCTTCTGCCACTATTAATTATTATATTAAAAGTGCTATATGTACATACTAAAATATTTACCAAGAAAATTATATGATGCCTGAGATTTGCTTCAAAAGTAATATAGGACAAGGGGCTCCTGGGTGGCTCAGTCGGTTGGGCCTCTGACTCTTGGTTTTGGCTTAGTCATGATCTCTGTTGTGAGATCTAGCCCTACAGGAACTCCATGCTCAGCGGGGAGTCTGCTTGAGCTTTTCTCCCTATGCCCCTCCCCTTCTCGTGCATGTGCCCGCTTTCTCTCTCTCTGTCTGTCTCTCAAATAAATAAATCTTTAAAAAATAATAATAATATAGGAAGAGCAAGTGGGTATATAGATGAAATAAGACTGGCCATGAGTTGATAATTGTGGAAGCTGGGTCATCGAAATATTTAAGTTCATTATGCTACTCCTTTATTCTATATATGTTTGAAATGTTCCATAATTAAAATTATGTACACACAAGTAGTCACCTGATCATAAAGCAAGAAGAAAGGTATTAGGATACACAAAGAAATAGGGTCCAGTAAGTGAAGCAGGTGGAAATAGGCTGGGAAGAAAAGGATAATTATTAGGAGAAGAATTAGTAGAAGAAAAAGAAGAGTGTCCCTGAGGAATAGGGTAATGAGAATAAAATGTGGCGTGAACTGAGAGAGAAGAAAGGTGGCTTAGGGAGTTAGACCCAAATTCAGTCTCCTCACCCTATATTCCTCATATTATTACAGCAGCACATCTCCATTTTTTCATATACTACAGTAGAGTACAATTCTAAATTTAAAAAAAAAAAATTATGCAGTGAGTTCATTTCTCCCCTTTTAGCCCTCCTTTCTTCCTCTCAAATCCCCCAGAACAGAACTGACGGAGATAGTTGGCAGTTTTCTTCCCTGATTGCTAAACGCACTGCAGACAACAAAAGTTCTCAAATTTCTCTGGGATTAGTGCTATTCAAAGTGTGGCCCATGGACCAGTCCACAAAATGGTTGGCAACAGGATTACAGAAACTGGGAATTAGCATTTAAAAGGAACAGCTTTGGGACTCCTGGGGGGCTCAGTTGGTTAAGCCTCAGCCTTCAACTCAGGTCATGATCCCAGGGTCCTGGGATCGAGCCCTGCATTGGGCTCCTAGCTCGGCAGGGAGCCTGCTTCTCCCTCTGCCAGCCGCTCCCCCTGCTTGTACACTCTCTCTCTCTGACAAATAAATAAATAAAATCTTAAAAAATAAATAAAAGGAACTTTTATTTATAACTCTTCCTTATAGTTAAATATAGTTAAATACCAATTAATATACAAAGAAGAATATGTTTATAGCAGCATTATCAACAATAGCCAAATTATGGAAAGAGCCCAGTTGTCCATTGGCTGATGAATGGATAAAGAAGATACGGTACATATTTACAATGGAACATTACTCAGCCATAAAAAAAGAATGAAATCTTGCCATTTGTAATGATGTGGATGGAGCTAGAGTGTGTTATGCTAAGTGAAATAAGTCAGAGAAAGATAAATATCATATGATTTCACTCATATGTGGAATTTAAGAAACAAAACAAACAAATGGGGTGGGGGAAGAGAAGAAAAGCAAGACACAGACTCTTAATTATAGGGAACAAACTGGTGGTTACCAGAGGGCAGGGAATGGGAGGATGGGTTCAATGGGTGATGGGGATTAAGGAAGGCATGTGTGATGAGCACCAGGTGTCATATGTAAGTGTTGAATCACTAAATTGTACACGTGAAACTAATATTACACTGTATGAACTAAGTGGAATTTAAATAAAAACTTGATTTTAAAAAAAGAAAGAAAGAATTTTTTAAAAAATTGCCATTAGGCAAATACCATGTAATCATTGTTGCATCCGTGGATGCTAAAATTGGTGAGAAAAAATGCATGCCAAACAGAATCATTTGCATGGGCTCAAAGTGTCTCACCTCAAGAAACTTGTTAATTAAAAAAGGAAAGTACAGTGACTTTACAGTGGAGAAATATGACAGTACGTTAACCAAGTACCCAAAGTTAGCACTGCCAGTTATAAGACATAACAGCAGTATGTACCTCCTGAAAGAATGCACTGAGCAGGTGAGTGAAGAAGACACATCATTTCTGTGGTATTCTTGCCAAAATGTACCACCTCAATTTAATCATGAGAAAACATCAGATAATTCAATTGATGGACATTCTACAAAGTAACTGGCATGGACTCATCAAAAATGTCAAAATCATGGAAGATATGTAAAATCATGAAAGACAAAGGACGGTGTTTCACATATTGAAGGAGACCAAAGGGACATAACAACTAGATCTAATAGGAGATCCTGGATTGGATTCCGGTAGAGAAAAAGGACATTGGTGAGAAAACTGGCAAAACTTAGATAAAACTTGCAGATTAGTTAATTGTACGGTATTGATGTTAATTTCCTTCTTGATATCCAGGAAAGCTGGATAAAGGATATGCTAGAACACTCCCTACTATTTTTGCAAAATTTTGGAAAATCTAAAATTATTTCAAAATTTAAAGTTTTTGTTTTTGTTTTTATGTTAATTTTTTATTGTTATGGTCAGTTAGCCAACATATAGTACATCATTAGTTTTTGATGTAGTTTGTTTTTAATTTAATTTATTTTTATTATGTTATGTTAGTCACCGTAACCTCCCCATAAAAGATTGCTGGGGAAAAGCTTTCCTTCATCACACATAATTTGAGAAGCACCACTCTGGAATACTGGGTAAGAAATGGATGACTGAGAGTTGAAAGGTCATAAAATTAGGAAAATTTTCAACACATCCAGGACAGAACAGATTTATTGGTTCTTCGAGCATTAAAACTGCTACGTTTCAAAGAATATGACAGCTATGAAAAATATGGAACAGTATTATTTCATCATTACAAACTAATGACCTACCAAAGAGATTTTACATTTCTTATGTAATATATTTAAGTATTGCTGTGAAACACTTATAATTTGGCAATGTGGTCTAAAAACCTTTCTGCATGAGCTCTAACATTTTATAAAGATATACCTTATCTGGTGAGTGAAGAAGATAAAGGACATCGGCATACTTAAATCCTTCATTTTCTTGTAATTCATTCTGTAACAGATCATTCCTTAGGACGATGCATGCCAAGGAAAATGCCACTTCAACCTAAATATGTGATTTTCAGAAATTATTTTTTACTCATGGTTTATCATGACATATTTCATTATACAAACATTCATATGGGATACACTAATTCAAAGATAATATATAATTCATTGATTCCAGTTCTCTAATATTTAGAGTGGCATTTATAATGCCTGGAGGAATGTCCCTTATAATTTTTAACAGCTGGGAAAATCCTCTGTGTGCCATCAGCACAACCACACAGCTCCATTGGAGGGCATCAGGGGAAGCGGCCAGGGCCAGCCAGAAATGTGAGGAGGTATTATCTTAAGTGCATAGTTGTATCCCTTCTGCATCTAAAAAGATTTTAATTTCTTGGCATGGGATAAAAGCTGTTTTGAACTGCTTATTAGCTACTGACCATTGAGTTGTAAGGCTTCAATGGAATGCTTATGAATTAAGCAGAGCACTGGGGAGTAGTCCTGAGAAATACTCTATTTCGGGAGTCATTTGATGCGCACTCTGAAAGCCTTTTAGGAGGATGTAAATGACTCTTAAACAACTCCTAAGTTATTGGTATTGAGAAAACTATTGTTGCTGGCCAACACAGACTGCTTGGTAGAAGGTAAAGCTGTTCTGATGGTGTAATACTGATAGGAATCACATATTTGAGAAATTTTGCTACATAAATCACACATCCTCATTATCCCCGCCCAGTTTTAGCAACCAATATCTGAAGAAGGGAAGAAATTCTGTGAATAATCACAGAGGAATAAAACTTATTTGATGAGTAAAGACACAAGACTTAATTATTTGAAAATTTAACATTTTAATAAAATTTACTATATTTACAGCAATTATTAAATTTAAAACTTCTAAGATTTTGTTTAAAATGTTAAATTTTTTTATTATACTTGTGAATTTACATGAAGATACAAATTATTCTCAAAAAGTCATATTTCTGTTAATTTTTACTATATCAGAAAAAAAACAAAACCTTAAAAGCTTTTATATACCTTGATGTTAGGAGAAGGGTGATTTCTGAGTAGGTGAATAAGTACTGGAAAGGCATTTTCCTCTACAACGAATTGTTGACTGATAGGATTACTTGTATGGGCGACACCTATAAGAATATATACATATCAATAAGAATATTTCTTTCCATCTTGGAAATGGTAAAGTCAAACACAGTTTGATATGTTGGGTTGATTAAGTGTCCTAGCATAATATGGTTAATAAATTACAAAAGGAAATGCTATATTACTAAGTATTTACCCCAAAGATACAAACATAGTGATCCGAAGGGGCACCTGCACCCCAATGTTTATAGCAGCAATGTCCACAATAGCCAAACAAAAAAAATGTGGGCCATATACAAAAATTAACTCAAAATGGATCATACATCTAAATACAGAGGAAACAGAAAACCTTTATGATCTTGAGTTTGGCAGGTTTCTTAAAGAGGACACAAAACCTACAAACTAAAATACTTAAAATATCAATAAATTGGACTTCATCAAAATTAAAAACTTTTGCTCTTCAAAAGGCCCTGTTACATAAATGGACGAACGCACCATAGACTGGGAATATGCAAAACATACATCTAACAAATGATTTGTATCTAGAATATATAAAAAATGTTTACAATTCAATAAGACAACACAATTTAAAAAATGGGCAAAATATCTGAACAGACACTTTATCAAAGAGGATATACAAATGGCAAATAAGCACATAGAAAAGATGTTCTGCATTATTAATCATTAGGGAAATGCAAGTTAAAACCACAATGAGATTTACTACATACCCACTATAACGGCTAAAGTCATCATACTAAGTGTTGGCAAGGATGTAAGCTGCTGGGACTCTCATACATTGCTAGTAGGAATGCAAAGTAATAACACAACTTGGAAAAACAGTCTGGCAGTTTCTCTAAAAGTTAAACATATACTACTATATGATCCAGCAATCCTACTTTTAGGTATTTACCCTAAATAACTTTCAGGGTAACTAAATGAAAACGTTTGTGTCTGTACAAAGACTTATACACAAATGTTCATAGCAGTTTTAGATATAATAGTAAGAAACTGGAAACAATCTAAATGTCCATCAGTGGGTGCATGGATAAACAAATAGGATATCCGTATGTATTAGTCAGGGTTTTGCAGAAAACCAACCAACAGGATATGTATGTATTTAGGTAGGTAGGTAGGTAATAACTATATATATCATAAGACATAAAATTATCCATCATACCATACAATGGAATACTACTCAGCATTAAAAAAGTGAACTATTGATACAATAATATGCATAAAAATCAAAATAGCTATGTCGAGTGAAAGGAGCAAGAAAAAAAGTACATCTGTATAATCCACTTACATAAAATTCTAGAAAATACAAACTAATCTATAATGATAGAAACCATCAGTGGTTCTCTGGAGATGGAAGTGCAAAGAGGGAGGGATTACAAAGCCACACAATGAAATCATTCAGGGTGATGGTTATATTCATTTATTTGACTGTTGTGATGGTGTCACAGCTGAATGCATATGTTAAAACTCATCAAATTGTATGGTTTAATGTATTTTTGTATTTTATTCTATTGTATATTTTATTTAAATATTTTATTGTGGGGGGACCGAGGGAAAAAATAAATAAATAAAAATTAAAAAAAATAAATAAATATTTTATTGTGGGGCGCCTGGGTGGCTCAGCCGGCTAAGTGTCTGCCTTCAGCTCAGGTCATGATCTCTGGATCCTGGGATTAAGTTCCACGTGGGGTTCCCTGCTCAGCAGGGAGTCTGCTTCTCCCTCTGCATCTCCCCCCATGCCCTCATGCTTGCGCACGCACGTGCTCTCTCTCAGAAATAAATAAAATCTTGGGGCGCCTGGGTGGCTCGGTCATTAAGCGTCTGTCTTCGGCTCAGGTCATGATCCCAGGGTCCTGGGATGGAGTCCCACATCGGGCTCCCTGCTCCGCGGGAAGCCTGCTTCTCCCTCTCCCACTCCCCCTGCTTGTGTTCCCTCTCTAGCTGTGTCTCTCTCTGTCAAATGAATAAATAAAATCTTTAAAAAAAAAAAAAGAAAGAAAGAAAATCTATAAAAACAAATAAATATTTTATTGTATGTAAACTATTTCAATAGGTCTTTAAAAACCCACATTTAAAATTTGTAGGCATGCAAAGAAGTAGGAAAATATGATTCATAATCAGGAAAAAAAAATCTGCCAATAGAAAGAGACCCAGAAATGGTATAGATGTTGGAAATCATTACAGAGATGTTAAAACAGCTATTTTAAATGTGTTATGTATGTTCAAGAACATAGAAGAAAATATGAACATGATGAGGAAGAAAAAGGGAGGTGTGTGTGTATGTATAACCAGTCTAAACTAGTAAATTTGAAATCAAGAGTTTTCTTCTGTAGTTCTGCTGGAGATCCCCTTGTCTATGGCAAATGGAGACAGGTTTGTAGACAGCTTTGAAGTGAAGTAATGAGAAGAAATTACATTCGTGTGTGCTCACGCACACACACACACACATACAGTATTTTTGTATATATGTTATCATCTATTAGAATTTTAGAAATCTCTATAATCTATACCATAGGCTCTGACTAAAAAAAGAAACTATTTTGTCTGACTGACTGCCTTGGAGCTTTAATGAACTTCTGCAAAGTAGCTTTTTCAAGCAAGGAAAAAAAAATCTTTTTGGAACCAATTCCTACATTCTTCATTCAGCTAGACTATTTTTTGAGGAAATACAATCAACTACAAATAAAGATTTTTTTTTTCTTATCTACAAGAAACAGTCTACAATCAGCTTCATACATTCATGAAGTTCAGCGAAGAACTCAAATTTTTATTTTTGGTAGATGAATCACTGACAATCCTACAACACTTTTACAGACATCCCAAAATGTTAGTTCCTTTGCAGTGAAAGGAACAACTAGACCTACTGGCCACTTTTATTTATTTTTATTTATTTATTTATTTATTTTTAAAAGATTTTATTTATTTTTTAGAGAGCGAGCGAGAGAGAAACAGCATGAAAGGGGAGAGGGTCAGAGGGAGAAGCAGGCTCCCCGCTGAGCCGGGAGTGCGATGTGGGACTCGATCCCAGGACCCTGGGATCATGACCTGAGCCGAAGGCAGTCGCTTAACCGACTGAGCCACCCAGGCGCCCAGGCCACCTTTATTTTTTTAAAAAGGGTTTCATTTATTTATTTGAGAGAGAGTGAGCGAGAGAGAGCAGGAGGGGCGGAGGAAGAGGGAGAAGGGGACTCCCTGCTGAACAAGGAGCCTGATGTGGGGCTCCCTCCCAGGACTCCAGGACCATGACTTGAGCCAAAGGCAGACGCTTAACCAACTAAGCCATGCCCCCGCCCCCAGCCACTTTATAAAGAAATAATCATTATGGAAAAAAACTGGAATTGAAAAATGTGCCCCAGCATTAGAAATTCTATATAAAACATATAGCTCTTAAGATTGGAAAGAAGAAATATTTTTCTCTTAAACTTAAAACAATGAGATTCCTTTAACTCAAAACAGCCTAAGCTCATTGTCCTCATTATCCTTTTTTAACCAGAGTTGAAGGGCAAAGCTGATAAAAAAAAAATTCCTAATTACACCACTTTTACTCATTAAGGTCTTAGAGAAATTTAAAAAATGGTAAGCCTTTTATAGATTAAGTATGATTTAGGGCTTTATCAATGAGGACAGAGAGGAAGGGAAGTGTCTTACTGATATTTTAAGAATGGAGAAAAAATTTACAAACCAATACAAATGGACCCCACTGCTCTGATGACACTCAGAAGTGTGCCTTCAGCTATTTTACTAATCCTCAGTAAGCGGACCAACGGTGCAATTCCATTCCCTTCACATATTTGATTTTGATGCATCCTGCTGTCCTTACTTAGAGCTATGACTGCTTCACCTCCTGGTCAAGAAAAGCAAGAAATATGTCTGATACTTCAATGTGCTGCTCTGCATTGTGCAAATTTATGCAGAGGAAATAACTTACCAACATACTGCATTTTAGCTGATGGTGACAAAAGCATGTTTATTATAAAGTTGTATCCAATCTGTTCTGCCATATACTTCTGTTGTTTCAGGGTTTGTCCTGCCAAGGCCCAGAGGGCTACAGCTCCTTGTTCCTTAACATCTGTTTGAAACGCCTATTAAAAAAAAATACTCCATTCTTTCAATGAGCATTTACTGAACACTGTAGGGATGTTTTATAAAAAGTCTATTCTAGGGGCACCCGGGCGGCTCAGTCGGTTAAGCGTCTGACTCTGGGTTTTGGCTCAGATCATGATCTCAGGGTCGTGAGATCGAGGCCCGTGTTGGGCTCCACGCCAGGCATGGTCTGCTTGAGATTCCCCCACCCCCCACCAACATGCTCGTGCTCTCTCTCTAAAATAAATAAATAAATAAATAAATAATAAATAAATAAATAAAATCTTAAAAAAAAGTTTATTCAAGAATTGGTTTTAGTTTTCTTTTCACTTTACTGAATTCAGTATTGAATACTTTGTCTAAGAAAAATGACAAGTTACCATAAAGTTCCTACCTTGAGGAGTTTTAAAAGGTATTTACTTAAGGATTTTTCCAGAAATGCTCTCTGTATACACGGGTTGTAGCTAGCCAGTGATTCCACAGCCATTGCACCCTTCACTTGGACACTCAGTTGTTTCCCCTTAAAAAGAGCCACCAGAGGAGGAATGGCTCCCTCCATGGCAACAGCATCCTGAACATCCTTATTGGCACGCGCCACCTCAGCGATTGTAGCAGAAGATACGGCCTTCAACACGTCTTCAAATGAATTCAAGACACAGTTAAATAAACCTTTTAAAAATATAAAAGTGCAACTTATCACTAGATTCCCATATTACAAAATCAAACTTATAGAATGTATAGAAAATTGAGAAAATAAGAAAAATAGAAATAAAACTGTCCAGATTCTCACCACCCAAACAACAAATATTTCATTTACTCTCATTCGCTTTTTAAAGGAAAAGATATATTTAAGTAGTGTTATAGACATATTTAATATAGTTGTACTAAAAGCACAACATCCTGCATTTTAATTTACCAGTAAAACATTTTCCCATTCTTTGTGAGCATCAGTGTCTCCTAAATGTTCCACTGATGAGTGTATCACATTTCCTTATCCATTCACCTTTTTAAAAAATACATGTCATTTCCAACTTTTCACGGTTTTAAACAATAGATAGGAGAAATCTTGGCACTAAAGGTATTTTTCCTTCCTGTTTTTTCCCTTAGTGTAGAGTCCCGGGAATTACTGGAATAATTTAATATATCACAGTAAATTACTTTCCAAAAATGATAATTGCATCTTACCCTTCCATAATCAGAATATGAGAGTTTCAATGTGGCCTTACCTTTTTAAGTATAGATATCATCATTAAGAATAAATACGTACATTTAGCTAATTTGATAGGCAAAAAACTGTGTCTCCTTTTATTTCATATTTTTGGTTACTGGTGAATCTAAATAGTTTCATATATGCTTATTAACCAGTTGTATTTGTTCTCTTTAAAAATTATAGAAAAGTTGCAAGGGTAAGTCTGAGAACTCCCTCAAGATTTAGCAACAATTGATATACTTCCATATATATATATTTTTTTTTTAGCATTTTCTTGCTTTCTGTCATTCAGATTAGTTATCTCTATTAAGGCCTTCTTGTTCATACCCATTTATAAATATATATATATGTGTGTGTACATGTATATATGTGTACATGTATGTATGTATATATATCACTTACATCAAATATATTAAAACTTTTTGTTATGAATATTTTCATCATTCAATCATTTGCTTTTTCAGCAAATACTTTATTGAGGAGCTACTACATGCCAGGCACTGTCCTAGGCATTAGGAAACAGTGATGAACCGACAAGACAAAGTCCCTGACCTTGCGGAACAAGCCAAAGGCCAGAAGTATGAAATAGCAATATGTTCCATACTACTTCAGAGTAAAATAAGAGAGGGAGGGAGTGATAGGAAGTGATGGGAAGGTCATTTTCATTTGGAATGAGAAGGTTAGAAGGGCATATAGGCTATGACAGAAATTTGGGCTTTATCCTGGGTGACAAAGAGACAGTGAATGATTTAAAAGAGGGTAAAAATATGATCAACTTTGCATTTTACATACATCACTTTAGTAATACTTGAAATGTTGTTAAACCCAATAGGTTGGGGTGCCTGGGTGGCTCAGTCGTTAAGCATCTGCCTTCGGCTCAGGTCCTGATCTCAGAGTTCTAGGATCAAGCCCTGCATCAGGCTCCCTACTCAGCGGGAAGCCTGCTTCTCCCTCTCCCTCTGCCCCTGCCCATCCCTTTCTCTCTCTCTCTCTCTGTCTCAAACGAATAAATAAAATCTTAAAAAAAAAACAAAACCCAATAGGTTACTAAAATTAAGAGAGTGTGGGTGGATCATTCTTTTACCCCATACTGCTGCGTCAGTCCAAGATGTGGAAATTCCCACACTCAAGCATGTTGCTCATTTCTCCCATAAAAGGAATAGTGAATTACATAATTTCTTTCTTTTTTTTTTAAAGATTTTATTTATTTATTTGATAGAGAGACAGTGAGAGAGGGAACACAAGCAGGGGGAGTGGGAGAGGGAGAAGCAGGCTTCCTGCGGAGCAGGGAGCCCAACGTGGGGCTCGATCCCAGGACCCTGGGATCATGACCTGAGCCAAAGGCAGACGCTTAACGACTGAGCCACCCAGGCACCCTGAATTACATAATTTCTTAATTGGAGAATCAGTCATCACAAATGCATTTTGTGCATTTGTAAATATGGCTGATATGGCTGAAGTTCTGATCTCTATTTGATTCCTGTGTCTACTTATCAATTGGATCCAAATTCTAAAGGGAGAGGGGCTATCTTAGTGCCTCAATAATCCAAACTAGCTCTAAAGCTCAGAGGAGAGGTCAGGGATTTGGATAGAGAACTGGGAAGAATAGATTATAACCATAACAAAGTTCTGAAGAGTAAATACAATTGCTTAAGAGAGTGTGCTGTATTAAAAAAAAAAAAAAAAAAAAAAGCAGACCAAGAACAGAGCCTGAGGAACTGCCAACTTCAAGAGTTGGATACAAGAAGTTTCATAATGGAGATGGTCTTTATCCAAAACTCTTATGAACAGAATTCCAAAGTTTTCAGATTTCAGAAGGTAACGACTGCATATACTGTCTATTACCTAACATCCCAGGGAGTGTGGAGAAAACACATCTGCAGTGAAATGTGTCAATAATCATTCTAAGAAGGATGAAGTGCTCCTTAAGTTTTGCTGATAGTTTCCAGTTGAAAAGCATTTTGTATACTTTCTGTTACATATTTCAATTTCATACAGACCTTTGTCAATAACACAGAACAGGACAATTGTGTGCCGTGAGAAAGATGAAATGTGAAGCATTACAGGAATGAGAGTATGCATGCAGTCACAAACATAAGTGGAAGAGTGTGAAATAAGCAGCTAAAGATAGGTGAAGCGAAGGCTTAAACCAAACCAAACTCAACAAAGGTTGAGGAACTCCTGGAGACAGGGGTCAAAACTAAGAAGATGTTAAAAAATCCCTTATCTCAAGAAACTGCTGTAACTCTGCTTTGGGGCCATTTTACCTTAATGCATGAAATCTTAGAGTGGTTGAGAATGGTTAAGAAGATACTGGAATTAATAAAATTCCTTTGTGAACACCTACAACTTAACAACCCAGCTAACAGCCAAGAGAATTATTTGTTAAAGCATTAAAATTATAAATGAAGCATTTATAATTTATAAACGAAGAGAAAAATAATTAATAATTTTTTTCCCAAAATTATCTTCCTTGGAATGAGGAGATAATATAGATTATAGTATAGGATAAGTTACTTTCATTTAGATAAGGCAAGAACCCAAAAGAAACAATTTCAACAATTTATTTCTATAGCTTTCTTTCATGAATTTATTTACTGTTTATTTGTTCAAATGGCCTCTATAATTTGTGCTTTATTCTAGCATCTAGGATTTGGAGGATGAAAAAGGATAGGGAAAAACTAGTCCCTGTCTTTACATTTTTTAGGGTGGGGGAGGGCAGAGGGAGAGGGAGAGAATCTTAAGGCAGCTCCACACCCGGCATGGAGCCAGACTCAGGGCTCAATCTCACAACCCTAAGATTAGGGCCTGAACTGAAATCAAGAGTTGGACACTTAACCAACTAAGCCACCCAGGCATGCCCCGCCCCATCTTTAAATTTTAATTAAGGAGATAAAACACAAATAATAAAGAACAATTATAACAAGTAAAAATTCTATGGCTAAAATAAGCATAAAAGCTGGCTCTAATGCTATTTTTTTAAACTTCTTTTTTCTTAAAAGATTTTTATTTATTTATTTATTTGACAGAGAGAGAGCATAAGCAGGGGGAGCTGCAGGTAGAGGGAGAGGAAGAAGCAGGCTCCCCACTCAACAGGGAGCCCAATGCAGGGCTAGATAGATCCCAGAACCCTGGGATCATGACCTGAGCCGAAGGCAGATGCTTAACTGGCTGAGCCACCCAGGTGCCCCTCTAATGCTTTTTTTTTTTTAAATTGAAGCATAGTGGACAATGTTATATTATTTCAGCTGCATAACATAGGGCATAGTGATTGGATGATTCTATGCATTATCGCTAATGCTATTCTTAAAAATGATAAAGTAGGGGCACCTGGGTGGCTCAGGTGTTAAGTGTCTGACTCTTGATCTCAGCTCAGGTCTTGATCTCAGGGCTGTGAATTCAGGCCCTGCACTGGACTACACAGTGGGCGTGGAGCCTACTTAAAAAAAAAAAAAAAAGTAGAGCATAGTTATTGATGGAGGGCCAGTTAGAGCAGATGACCTTAGGAATTTGTAATGAAGGGAAAGGACTTTCAAATGATTTCCCCATACAGAGAGGTTCTTAGAAGATGATAATTTTTAAAAAGATTTTATTTATTTGTCAGAGAGAAAGATTGAGAGCACGAGCAGGGGGAGAGGCACGCAGAGGGAGAAGCAGGCTTCCCGCTGAGCAGGGAGCCTGATACGGGGCTCTATCCTAGGACCCTGGGATCATGACCTGAGCCGAAGGCAGATGCTTAACGACTGAGCCACCCGGGCGTCCCTAGAAGATGATAATTACTTTGAAGGTCTAAAGTAAGAGAAAGCTCTCTTCAACAACCCCCTTATCCATAACCCTATCTTACATGTTAACCAACATATTTTTTCTGTATTTATTCCTGAAAACCTAGAACAGAAAGATGATAAACTGCGGAGGAAGAACAATGGGCAAGCTTTTCCCCAATTTTTTATCCCCTCAAATTTGGGGAAAACCATGGATTTGAAGCTTACCCTGTTATGTGTATGCTCACTGAAATGAGATAATTCTTATAGAACCTAAGAGACCATTTGCAGCACAGACAAGAGCTACCTCATAGCTTGTGATGTTCTTGGTGCTGATATGTACTTCAGAGTGTGATAATTGGCCTAACGACCTGATGACCTAGAATTTTGCTATCCAATATCTAACAGCAAATCTGAAGTTTTTGTGGTAACTTATAAAAGAGTTCCCAAAGATCAATATATGTGTTATTCACACAAGGAGTTATCTACTCAAGTCCCTGGGTATATTAACTGCATTATTTTCATGATTTGTGCCAGTATTTCCATTTATAAAAAAGTCCAATTAAACTTTTATGTTAAACTATGGCTTTGAGAGTCAATTCCTTTTATAAACCAGCATTTGAACTTGAGTGTTCCAGATATTTAGTTTATATTATATATGTGTAGATCCATTCTAAGATAAATCCCGACATGTATTCATATAGCACAAGTCCAACCTGTATTGCTTCACTTAATATATCTGATCACTTAGGAATAATACAGAAGTTGAGGCTCACCTGAATCAGAACTCAGAAATGTGATAAGATGTTGGATGCCTTTATGGTCTCTCACTGCTCGTTGATTTTGTTCATTTCCCATACATAACACCCGTATACAGTTCATTACATTTATGAGCACATTTTCTATGTCTAACTTCAAAAGACTTATCAGAGCTGGGATTCCATTCTACAAATAAATAAACAAAAAATTGATTGATGGGCACGTGATGTCATGAGCACTGGGTGGTATTCGCAACTGACGAATTGTTGAACACTACATCTGAAATTAATGATGTACTATATGTTGGCTAATTGAATTTAAATGAAAAAACAACTGATGAATTGTATAACACTACATCTGAAATTAATGAGGTACTATATGTTGGCTAATTGAATTTAAATGAAAAAACAACTGATGAATTGTATAACACTACATCTGAAATTAATGATGTACTATATGTTGGCTAATTGAATTTAAATGAAAAAACAACTGAATTATATAAGATTTATGCAATCTTTATTTAAAAATATAAGTCTATAATCTTTCTCGCTATAAATATCTGCTTATGTAGGAGAGGATGATTGCCCACAAATGTGTCTACTGGTATGTCACATTAAATGACAGTTAATATAAGTTTGAGCATAAAGTGACCTCCTCTACACCAAAATAAATCAAGGCTACAAGTTCACTGTAACATTTAATAAATCTCTAAAAAGTAAAGCAACTGAGTAAGATTATTGAATACACTGCCAATTTGGAAATACTTGCCATTGCAGGCATTGTGCTGGTAATTGGTAATTATATTTGTGCAACACAAAATATTTTTAAATGTGAATATAATTTCCTAATTCTAAATGGACTAAAGATGGCATTTCCCTCTGTTACCAGAAATAATGCAAAAGTATTAAGAAAGATAAACAGAAACGCAATCTCATTTTCCATAAAGGCAGGAGGCATCTATACTGTTGAGTCACAGTAAGTCTGTGTGAGTTACCAGCAGAGATGAAAGAGATACCCCACGGCTGCTGTCCACAGGAAATGCTAGCAGAGCACAGTTTCCCTAAATGAGTTGCGTCTACTTTGAGGGGCAGAAAAAAGAAATACACAATTCTCTGTCTGAAACAACAGGAATGGGTATGCAGGCTCTCTCCTGGGTCTATTTAGCATAAAGTTGCAAAACTTAAGGAAGGCAAGGATTAGCAATGAATCATACTGACAAGGTGTGTTTGGAAGAAGTAATCTCTTGGTGAGGTAAAAAGGAAGAGATGGACTCTGCACTGTGGAGGAAACAGAAGCTACATTGTGAGGTACTATGTACCAGTCTCTGTTGGCTTAGGGAAAAGTAAAGCTGAAAGGATCCATGCATACAAATCCGTGGCATAAGTCATATCCTTGCTAGCCCAGAACTGGGCCCCTTCCCACATATACTTCCTGCAAATAGCCAGGCCAGAAAGAATGTATCTAATTCAAAGATGAGTAATGATCATAAAGGAACTAGAACAGCATCTGTCCAAATATATTTAAGAAAAAAATAGAAAACCTTATGGCAGATGAAAACGGCTCATCAAAAAAATATTGCCACAAAATAGATGAAATTGTAACCAAAAGTGGTATATTATTATCAATGAAAAAATTAACGAGGCAATCACTTCTATAAAACAAGAATGCACAGGAGAGACATCAGAGCTCAGGGAAGATTTTTTTTTTTTTTTGAGACAGGGGAGATGAAACGAGAGCTGAAAAAGTTCAGGAAAGATGTGGAGAAATGTAAAAGCCAAACTGTAATCAACACAAAAATAAATCAATGCTGAAAAACATAGCAAGTGACAGGATAGGATTGAGAAAAAAAGAAAAATGAAATAAAATGAAACAATGAGTGGAAAAGGGCTAGAGAAAAAATGATAGCTATGTAAGACAGGAAAAGGTGATACAATACACAAATAATTAGTGTTTCCACAGATAGGTGGTCATTTAATTCAGACCAATAAATTCAGTGGTCAGTATTTGACTTTCACCTTACAAGAGCTTTGACACTATTGATCATTTTTTCCTCTTTGAAACACTTTCTTCACTTGGCTGATAGGACAACAGATTCTTCAGGTTTCCTCCTACCTTGCTGGCCATTCGTTCTTAGTCTCTTTTGAGGTCCCTCCAGATCTTTCAACTTTCCCACAGAACCTGGTGACTCAACATTCAAAATATAATATAGAATGTGATCACGTCTCACCGTTTCCACTATTATCATCCTGGTCCAAGACATCATCTGTCATCTGGATTACCATAATAGTTTTTTAATCAGTCTCGCAACATCCACCCTTGCCCACCTATTTCAAAACAGAAGGTAAAGTGATATACATCTCTCCACGAACTTCCCAGAACAAAATCATTCAGTGGCTTAACACACTCAGCATATAAAGCCAAGGTGTCTAACAGTTGCCCACATGGCCCTACATGATGTGTTCCACCACTACCCAGCTAAGCATCTCCTATTTCTCTCCCCTCAGCTACTTTTGCTTTCCTGCTGTTCCTTGAACATGCCAGGCACATCCCAACTTCCATTAACTTTGCACTTGTCTCCTCTGCCTGGAGTGCTCTTCCCAACAGAAAAACATGACATACTCTCTAACCTACTTGAGGTCTGTACTCAAATGCCAACTTCAAATGCCAACTCCCCCCTTCCCTTTCCCTGCTTTACTTTCCTCCTTATCACTTCTTGTCACCTAACATACTATATATTTGGTTTATTTGCTTTGTTTATTGTCTTGCTACTCCCAACTACAAATTCCATGACACTGGGGTTTTGTCTGTTTTATTCACTGCTATCACCCCAGCATCTAGAATAAAATCTGCCATCTAAGAAACTCACAAAAAGTACTTGTGTGAATGGACTAAAAGAATACTACAGGAAAAAAAAAAAATACTTAAACATACAAATTCAGGAAAACATTCCAAAAATAAAAGATGAATATACATGTTGAAAAGTTATACCAAAGGAAAAATAGGTAACTAATGTTGATCTGTCAGTCCTGGACTTTAAAGATAAAAAGAGAAAGAAGACACTAACCATACAGAAGATTAAAAAATAATAATAACAAACTATGACAGAACTAAGATTAAATGTCATGCCAATAAATGTAAATGGGCCATACTCAATAAAAAGTGAAAGGCAAAGCAAAACCTAAACACACTGTATACAAGGGACACACTTATCCTAACTCCAGTTAATTGTTAGGTTAACTGGAGATTTATAAGTTCTAAATAAATAAAGACTAACTCTAGCGGTGGGCCTGGGGTGTCTATATTTCTAATATATTTTCCAAATGATAACCAACCAACCAATAGGAAATGACTCAAAAAAAAGTTAAAAAGGATAGGCAAAGCCATATTAAACATGAGAACACAAAGGAAACAGAGATCATAAACATAATTCTGGACAAGACAGAATTCAGGGCAAAAGTATTACACTGGACAAAAAGAGTACATTTTATGATGTTAAATGACTCAGTCCCTGGTGAAGAAGCATCACCTGAAGAAAAGTATAAAAATAATCTTTTAACTATCTACTAAAAGATCTTAAATAAAACATTAGCAGACACAATAAGGTGGGTGTTAACTGAGGAACTACAGCATGGCAAAGACTGCTTGGTATTCACAAAAAGTAACTTTCTGGTATATAGTTAGACTACATTTTCCAGCCAGAACAGAAATAGCAAAAGTGGGAGTGTTTCGTATAATATCTTCTCATAAACAAGAAGCAACCACATCGTAGAGCTAAGTAGGTACTTGGCCCGCCTTCCACGTTATCCCAGGTGATAGTTTCACCAGATATTTTTGTTGAGAAACAGTCCTCCCTGGGCCTCTTGCACTCCTACATGTACTGGAGTCGCCAAGATCATCACAGCTCTTTCACCTGAGCCATTCCTCAGGATTTTTATGCAGCCAGTAATCTTGAAAGGTGCAGGAACATCTCCCTTCAAAGAATAGGCTGGCTTGCTGACTGCTACCAAAGTGACAGGGGTCTTAAGCTCGAGATTCTTCTGGGGCAACACAAACCCAATGCATGGGCAGCCTCCCTTGGGGCCCACTGTGTTGCCTTGGGAGAAAGGGACACGGGAATCAGACAACTCTGCCGGAGCTCATGCCCTTTGCTGTGCTTGCTCTGGTACTATCTTGCTCTTGTTTACTTTTGGCACTCATGGGATTGTGGCAGGTTTGTTCTTTGCCATCTTCTCTGAGACTGGAGTTCTTCCCCGGGAGTTTCGCCGCTGCATGATAATATGGGTGTGTACCTTTCTAGCTTCTATATAAGGGAATTATTGTCAGTCAAAATGATATTCTATGAAAAAAAAACTTACGTATTTGGCAATAACATCCTTGTTTTCAAGTTGAGCAATGTCATATAAAATGACAGCACAGCGAGAATGTAGTTCAGGCTCATCAGAAGCCAGCAGGCTGACGAGAGCTGGAATGCCTCCCGCGTCTACTACAGCATGCACTATGCTCGCGTGGGTTGAGATATTACTCAATAACCCAACTGTTTTGCACTGTACTTTTATTTTGGAACCTTTTAATAGATTAATTAAGGCAGGAATGGTACCTGTAGTGAAGAAATCAAGAAAAAAACACGAATTATTTGTAACCATTTATAGTTAACATATTATGATAAAATCTAAATAATGGTTATGGTCATGGCCATATAAACAATTAGCAAATAATTCTATGAAATATTTATAAAATTATTTGAAACTATATGAATATACTTTTTTCTGTCTTCTCTACAGCTCAGGCAACCCTCATTGTTCGCATATTTGATGTTCACACAGCACACAAGCCTGTATCTCATATTGGCAACTTAAAGCCACCTTGGAACCATGGACTTTTGGCTTAAGATGATGCACGAATAAATTCTTTGAGCTACCATATGACAGAGTTCAGTTTTGATATTTCATCCAATTTTTGGGGTGGTATTTGCACAATTAGTTGAACATTTTATTATATTTTACCCATTTTTTTTTTTTTGCAAGCAACTGAAAACAAAAAGTGCTGAATCTAGTAAAAAGCAACTTTAGCTTCATTAATAACAATTGATTCAAGGATGGGGATCACTGGACAAGGTGAAAAATAGAAAATCTGGCTTCAGCTAGATGCTTATATAGCAGTTCAATGTGAGAGAAATAAAAGAACATCCTCTAGAGCACACAAGAGATGCTGGGGGGCGCCTGGGTGGCTCAGTTGGTTAAGCGACTGCCTTCGGCTCAGGTCATGATCCTGGAGTCCCTGGATCGAGTCCCGCATCGGGCTCCCTGCTCGGCAGAGCGCCTGCTTCTGCCTCTGACCCTCCCCCCTCTCATGTGCTCTCTCTCTCTCATTCTCTCTGTCTCAAATAAATAAATAAAATCTTAAAAAAAAAAAAAAAGAAATGCTGGGGAATATAACAGGTAAAATTAGGGCTTTATTTATTTATCCACTTGAAATGAAACCTCCTTCATGACTTATCTATGGTTCGCTTTTTGGACACAGAGCTTTTTGTACATGTTTTTAGGAACACTAAATAGTTTTAGGATACTACCTATATTTTTTATTCAGTCAACAAATATTTATGGAGCATTTCACGTGTGCCCAAAATCTACATTAGAGCTGTGCATACCATACTGGACAGTGCAGATAGAACATTTCCATCATTTCAGAAAGTTATATTGGATAATGGTGTTCTCAAAACAACCCAATGAGGTAGGAATTATTTGATTAACAAGGAAATTAGGGTTAGAGAGGGCAAGCAATTAGCCTAAGTTCTAAATGCAGAGCTAGTTACAAACCCAGGGCTGACACAAAAACAGCTATTTTTAAAAGTTTTTATTTGAACGCCAGTTAGTTAACATACAGTGTAATATTAGTTTCAGGTATAAAATATAGTGAGTGATTCAATACTTCCATACAATACGCAGTGCTCATCACAAAAAAACCTGCTGTTTTTAATTTAAAAAATAAATTGTGTAAATACAGAATAGGGATAATTTCCAAGTGAAAGTAAATATAAAAGGTAGTACAGTAAGTAATTTAATATCATTTTTGATATTGCAAAATTTTTAGAGAAGTGCTTATAAAGTTTTTTGATCATGTGCAATTTCCATGTGAAAAATAAAATATAAAGTTGTCAGAGAAAGACAAATACTATATGATTTCACTTATATGTGAAATCTAAAAAACAAAATAAATGAATAAACAAACAAAAAGTAGAATCAGACCTCTAAATACAAAGAACAAACTGATGGTTGCCAGACAGGAGGGATGTGGGGGGGAATGGGTAAAAAAAAAAAATGGGTGAAGGGGAATGGGAGATACAGGCTTCCAGTTATGGAATGAATAAATCATAGGAATAAAAGGTACGGCATAGGGAATATAGTCAATGGTATGGTAATAACTTTGCATGGAGAAGACATAAATAGACATTTTTCCAAAGAAGACATCCAGGTGGCTAACAGACACATGAAAAGATGCTCAACATCACTCATCATCAGGGAAATGCAAACCAAAACTACAATGAGATATCACCTCACACCTGTGAGAATGGCTAAAATTAACAACACAAGAAACAACGGGTGTTGGCGAGGATGCAGAGAAAGGGGCACCCTCTTGCACTGTTGGTGGGAATGCAAAATGGTGCAGCCACTCTGGAAAACAGTATGGAGGTGCCTCAAAAAGTTAAAAATGGAACTATCTTACGGTCCAGGAATTGCACTACTGGGTATTTATCCAAAGGATACAAAAATGCAGATTCAAAGGGGTACATACATGTTAAATACCAATTAATAAATACACACAGAAGAAGATGTTTATAGCAGCATTATCAACAATAGCCAAATAATGGAAAGAGTCCAAATGTCCAATGACTGATGAATGGATAAAGAAGATGTGGTGTGTATCTCTCTCTCTCTCTCTCACACACACACACACACACACACACACACACACACACACACACACACACACAGTGGAATATTATTCAGCCATCAAAAAGAATGAAATCTTGTCATATGCAATGACATGGATGGAGCTAGAATGTATTTTGCTAAGTGAAATAGTCAGAGAAAGACAAATACCATATGATTTCACTCATATGCGGAATTTAAGAAAGAAAACAGATGAACATATGGGAAGGGGAAAGAAAAAAAGGGGAAAGGGCAACAAGCCATAAGAGACTCTTAATGATAACAAACTGAGGGTTGACGGAGGGAGGTGGGTCGGGGATGGGCTAGATGGGTGATGGGTATTAAGGAGAGAACTTGTTATGATGATCACTGGGTGTTGAATGTAAGTGATGAATCACTGAATTCTACTCCTGAAACCAATACTGCACTGTATGTTAACTAACTAGAATTTAAATAAAAATTTGAAAAAAAAAAAAAAAAAAAAAACATTGCGTGGGGACAGGTGGTAGCTACACTTATGGTGAGTATAGCATAATATATACAGTTGTTGAATCACTATGTTGTACGCCTGAAACTAATATAACATTGTGTGTCAATGATACTCAAAAAATATGTATAAATATATATTTATAAATCAATAAAAATAAATATTTATATCTATATATATTTGTCAGGTAAAGGAAGTGATCTTAGAAAAAAGAAAAATGGAAACTTAAAATCAACTAAAATGTTTCCTCTACAATTAAAAATAGATTTTGAGGGGTGCCTGGGTGGCTCAGTCAGTTAAGTATCTGCCTTCAGCTCAGGTCACAATCCCTGGAATCAAGCCCCACATTGGGCTTCCTCGGTGGGGAGCTTGCTTCTCCCTCTCCCTCTGCAGCTCCCCCCGCTTGTGCTCTCTCACTTTCTCTCTCGCTCTCTCTCTCTCTCAAATAAATAAAAACTTAAAAAAAATAGATTTTAAAGTGATTGAACATAATTAAAGCCCTACAAAAAATAGTGTAAGCAAAAGACAGTTAATAGATTTTACATCACCTGCATCCAAAATATATTTCCAGTATCCATCATTTGCTAAGCAAATTACTTCCAAAGACATCACGGCCATCATCCTTCGTTTATAGCTTTCACACTGCAACATTTCTGGTAAGTGTTCCACAGAAAAACACATGTTATAATTTTACAAGTAGGAATGGAATGACTGATCTGCTTCTGTACAGGCCAAGTGAAGCTGTGAGTTGAGATCACCACTATCACCACCAAATGCTATTCATTAATTCCCTCTGTGCATGGCCTTCTGTGAGGTGCTGAACAGATTGCAAATGCCCATCATCTTTGAGGTTTTATAATCTATAGAGTTGATAAAAAAAAAATCTGAAATTTTTTATCTTTGGTCTGAATGACTTAGATTGACTGGTCATATGGTTCAAGTACACTGGGAAAACAGTATACCTTTCTCTTGCCTGAAATCAGCTGCTGAATAGAATTTGAATGTGGGGGCAACTGGGTGGCTCAGGCACTTAAGTGTCTGTCTCTTGGTTTCGCCCCAGGTCATGATCTCATGGGTTGTGAGAGTAAGCCCTGCATTGCTCCACGCTCAGTGGGGGGTCTGCTTCAGATTCTCTCCCTCTGCCCCTCCCCCCACTTGTGTGCATGCTCTAAAATAAATAAATCTTTAGAAAAAAATTTGAGTGTGAGTTTTAAAGATGGCAAAGTAAACTACATTATTGTCAATAAAAATTTAATATCCATTAAATCATATATGAAGCTTTATACATTTCCTGAGGATGAAGAAGACACTTCAAAAAATCTTAAACGAACTTATACTCCAGACAAGATAATGTAAATAAATATATATGCTTCTTAACAATGTCTATAGTACAAGAAAAAAAAAACACATAGAAGTATCCTTTCCTGGTCTCTCTTTACCCAACCCCTTGTCATAGCAAATCTGGTCCTAATCCTACCTTGGCTAGATTCCTCCATGGAGCTCTCTTTTAAAATTCAGCTACTACTCAAGAGCTAAAACTGGAGGTGTCTAATAAACTTTGACTAATGCTTCCTTTCCTCATAGTGGAAATGGGCGCTATGAGGAAGGAGGGCTATTCCAGGGCTCAAAGAAGCAATGGCCAGATGCTCACTGGTTATTGTTGTGTTCAAGTCATTATCAGCACTTGCCAACAATGGCTGCAGGAAGGAGTGGCTGTCGGGACTTTTTTGTGCCATTAGGCTATTCCTGTCGGGCTGGTTCTTCCAACTATTGAGGTATTTCAAATGCGTTATTCTCTTAAAAGTAACAGGATGGTCTTCTGAGTTCCTCCTAAAAATGCTGGGATATAATGATATATATGCATGCAAATAAACACTGGAAACACTCTCTAGTATCTCTTGGGGCTGATACAATTAGAATGTGTTCCCAGTACCCAGTAAATTCCAAAATCAGGTATTGAGCCACTTTTGAAACTAATGACTCAGACTTCTTGAGACAGTAGAATGGAGTTGAAAACCTTAAATATATCTTATCCCATCCTAAAATGAGTTGTTGGGAAAGCCATCAGTTTTCATTCCCCAATTGGTTTTATTTTTGCTTTAGTTTTATTTTAGTAATGTAATACAAGCTCATGATTCAGAGTTAAATGTTACTAAAAGGCCTATAAAAAAATAATAGTGGTTCCTTGCTTCACCCTCTCCACTTTTCTGAGTTCATCTCTCCAGATATAACCACTTTGGACTCTCTCCCTATACCTCCTGTGATTTATATATCTCCATATTTCCAAATACTTACACCCACTTTCACTATATCGATTTGAGACATCATCGATTGACTTCATGTTATGGTAAAGGAGAAGCTAGCTCTTTCAACACTGTGCTGCCATTTCCTCTCTCCCCTTCCCCATGTTTATAGTATTCAGTTAAATTAGTATTCCATACTTACATTATAATGCCTATACAGATATTATTCACAAGTAAGCATTGTAGTGTACTACAGTTTTGTCTCCTTTCTTACTTTTGTTTTTCCTGGAGGTAAAATTATTTCATCTGCTCCGTGTTCATTGTACCTATTGGGAATGCCTCCCACATTTTCCCTTTGGCGTGGGTACACAGTTTCCATTCTAGGACTTCCCTTTGCTGTCATCTTTGAAATCCCCTTTGCTTTTCTTTTGGGTCAGACTCCCAATTTCCTGTTTGTTGAGAATTCCTGCCTAAGTCTCTCTAGGTCTTTTCTGGCTAGCCTCAGCAGAGAGTATTCCTGACTGGCACTTTGGGTCCTAGAGCCTCCTAAAAGGATTCATGGTCGAAGTCTGAGAAGTCCTCAGCTTCCCCACTGTTGGCTTGGAATGATTTCTCCAGCCTGCTAAGTCCTAGACTTGCCTGCTTCCAGTATTTTGTTGCTATGGTATCCTTTTCTGTTTTCTCTTGAATGTTTGTTTCCTGCTGTTGCTGATGTTCTTCTTTAAGCTCCATGTAATTTTGGTGGGGTCTTGGGAGAGAGTAAAATTAGATGTGTGCATTCAATTAATTGTCCTAGTAGCCCTTACCCTTATAATATTTCTGGCTAGACTGAATCCAAATTTGGAAAAAAATCTCCAGCAAAATTTTTCACAAAACATTTATCAATATATGAGGAAAAACGTTGCTGAATCTTTTAAATTGGAAAGGAATAAATTGGAGGGAATCTTTGTCACTTGAACTTTAATTTCCTTCCTCTTTCCGTGTTTGTTTTTGTTTGTTTTTGATTTGCTTTTTTGATGGAGAAGACGATATATGGGCTTTTGGAGAAAGTTGGAAAATAAAAATATAATTGTATAAAATATAGTCTGGGTTATTCTTTGATTTTAATTTGGAAATAAAACTACTTTTGTACACACAAAATATAGTTCAGTTTTATTTGTATTTCTGGTTTTAGCTAAAAAATGTTTATTTTATGATCTTTATTTAAAATATGATGCATGTATTATTTGATTTGCTTTATTTCAGAGTAAGCATCAATGATTAAGCTGAATAATAATCAGAACATTCATTTATAAAGAGATTATGTGTTGTATACTCACCTACTAAAGTTTTCCAAACCGGGAGTTCAGGAATATTTAACTCTATTATATGCTTGAGAACCTCTGTGTGAAAGGTTAGCACTGATAAATGAATTATATTATTTCCTTTAATATCTGTTTTTCTCCAGTTAGCACCAAGAGAAAATAGGTACTGAACAGTGTCCAGTGCTCCTGAGGTGGCAGCCAGCAGCAGGGGGGTACATTGAGTCCTAAAAATCAAGGGCATATTACAGTAATTAAGCACAAGTGTTATCAGCACATTTTACACACGAGGAAACTGAGGCTCGGGTAGTGTTCCAACCCATTTATTCTTCGTGTCCAGTTCTCAAATCCCAGCTTCCTTATCGTGGCAGAAACTGAGTTTCTCAAAATCCCACTATCTGCTTTTTAGATAGTGCAGATCTTTCGGTTAGGCACGTGGCTGCCCTCCAAATAGTACGTTTCCCAGCTTCCTTTATGGATAGCTATGACCACATAGGCCTAAGTTTGGCCAACGAGACGTTAGTAGAAGTTACATGGGCAACTCCCTAAAGAGAAAAGGAATGTGCCATTACCTTTCATTTCTTTTTCTCTTCATGGCTAAAATACAGGCATCACAATGAAAGCAGGAGGTGCCGTTTTGTACTAGGATATGGAAACCACATGTGAAGAAGCAACGAGAGGAAGACTACGTGTTCACCTTGTCCGAACTACAATATTGTGGCATACATTTGTCACAGCAGCTTCAACTGTATCTTAACAGATCTACTGACTAGCAGTGTGACCTGAGGCAAATAGGGTTACTTCTTTTTTGTCTGTCAAAGAATGAGGGTAACAACACTCAGCTCACAGTGTTAGTGTCAGTGATGAACAAGGTGCTTAGTGCAGTCTTGATACATATTCCCCTCATTCTCTTTTCACCATGTCACACGCCTCAAAGTTATTTTTTATCCTTATACCCATGCTTTCCTCTCTTCATGAAACCTCCCTTCTCTTGCTGCCTGTCCTTGAATTTTCACCTCTGTTCAGCTAGCCCCAGACCTCTTTCTCGCCTCTATTCCCTTTTTCCTGGGTCTGTGGAAACTCTTGTTTTTTATGAATAAACATCTCTTCACTTTCTCCCTTTTGTACTTCAAAAAGACTGTTCTCTTGTTTTCTTTATCCTACTCCATGGTAGGAATAATGATTACTTCTACTTTAACACCATCACTCTGATTTTCCTCATATGAAAAATATACTATCACATAAATTATGTTTCTCTTTTCAGTTGCATATTGCCATTCCCCCTGCCCTGTGGGGTCCTCTTCCAGGATCTTAGCTCATGAATTGCCTCACCAACATGACTTCAACATCCATGCTAATGACCGTCTGTGTGCTGATCTCTCGGCTCCTTGTCCTACCTTCATTTGTGCTCCACAGTCATACACACCTGCATTGTCACACTCTTCATTAGCTCCACATAGATCCCAACCTCAGTAACTGTCCTCTCTATGAATCCTTTTTCCTTACGTTCATAGATAGCTTCTTACTTCCACCTCTGATATCCAACTGTTTGACCTTTTGCAATCTACCAGTCTTTATCCCCACGCCCCTCTTCTGCTCAAAGACACATCATCACAATATGACAGAACCAGAGCTGACTTGGGTCTCCACATTCCTTGGCTCTTTCCAGAATCTATTAGTTAGAGAATCTATTAGCAAGAGACCCTGGTGTCCTGAAAGCTTTCTCTATATACATCTCTGCCCCCACCTAGAGGGAGGGTTAATTTCTTCACTGAATAATAATGGCCAGGTTATGAGAAGACCCAGAAATATCTGAATGAAACTATGCCTAAATCATGTTCAGAGATTCAAAACGATAACCTGTATTTCAATTGCTATCAAGACTGTACCTTCAGGAGAAGTTATACCTCCATCCTAAAGGTTGGTCCTCTGCTAAATTATGAAATAGAATTGTGAAATAGAAGCTAAATTGTGAAATTGTGTTTCCCTATTTCAAAGTTACTTTCTTCTTCTTTTTAAAAACTTGTTTTTAAAAGATTTTATTTTTGAGTAATCTCTACACCCAACCTGCGGCTTTAACTTACAACCCTGAGATCAAGAGTCACATGTTCTATCCAACTGAGCCAGCCAGGTGCCCCAAGGTTCTTTTCTTCTTTTTAATGTGTCTCTCTTCTGGATACCATTAGATGTTTCTCCTGTTATCTGAGGCCTATCCACACTAGTCTGGAGCACTTGAGCTGCCTCCTGGTTGGTTAGGTTCCAATTTAGAGCACATTTCTCCTCCCTAGTCTCAGGCTTCTTCCAGAGCACTTGGTAGTTAACTTGATAAACTAGTCTGTAGAGCCACACCATTGAGATAGCATGGATAGGCTGGTAGAAGTTCTGTCTTTATACATTCTAAAGGTAAGTGGTAGACGAAGAAGATAGTGACCAGGACAGAGTAAGCCTTACTATAGTCTTTCACATCAATGATACCAACCATTCCTTTTAGTGTCAGTGTTTGGGGCAAGCCACGAAAACAGAAATTTATATTTTTACAAATGCTTAATAACTTACTCAGCTGTTGCCTCTGCTTCCAGCAAACTAGGATCCTTTCTATAGAGAGCAATGATGATACCAATATTGTCATAGAAAGCAGCAAAGTGAATTGGCATCCAACCTCTTTTTTCAGAAAGCGTGTAATCAGCTTTGAAACAGAGTAGACAGATGGTTGTTTCCAATGAGCAAGCCTGTGCAGCCAGATGTAGAGGTGTTGGACCTAAAATGGATGGACAATTACTTAAGTGATCAATATCTAACATGTCTATCTAAAACATATGTCTTTTGGGGGCACCTGGGTGGCTCAGTGAGTTAAGTGTCTGCCTTCGGCTCAGGTCACGATCCCAGCATCCTGGGATCGAAGTCTGCCTCTCCCTTCCCCCTGCTCTTGTTCTCTCTCTCTCTCCCCCTCTCAAGAAAATAAAATCTTTAATAAATAAATAAATAAATAAAATAAAATGTCTTTTGATATCCATCCACAGAGCTTTTTTTTTTTTTTTTAAAGATTTACTTATTCATTTGAGAAAGCGAGAATGAGAGAGAGTACATGAGAGGGGGGAGGGTCAGAGGGAGAAGCAGGCTCCCCGCTGAGCAGGGAGCCCGATGCGGGACTTGATCCCGGGACTCCAGGATCATGACCTGAGCCGAAGGCAGTCGCTCAACCAACTGAGCCACCCAGGCGCCCCATCCACAGAGCTTTAATACTATGATATAAAAGCTCCAAGATAAGCACTAAAAGGATTAATTTAGGCAATTCTATATGTCTTTAACTCAGGATGTCTGACCATTAAAAATCAATCCTTCTTTATAAGTTAAGAATAACATTGAAAATATTAAATATTTGAAAAATTAAGTCAATGTATAAAATAGTCTTGTGATCAAATAAGCTGTTTCTTGTTTAAATTATTTTCCATTTTATTTAAATGTTTCGTAGTAGGAAGTAATATCCTTTGAAATTGAAGGAAAAATACGCTCACAAAAGCCCTCCATGTTACAAAATCCAGTGGGTGTTTTTCAATTCTTACCTTAACCTCTCAACAGTAAGGTTCTTCCTCTTTAAAATATTTTTTTCCCTTGACTTTTGTGATATCATAACCTCCTGTTTCTCTCCTATCCCTCTGGCTACTCCTTCATAATCTCCTTTAGAACGTTCTCACTGTCCTGATGCCTGCATGAGCCTTAAGGCTCTGTCTTGGGCCTTTTTATCTTTGCAGTGACTTCATTTACCACCTAAAAGTTGGTAACTCCCAGGATTATGTCTCAGATCTGTTTTTATCCTCCAAGCTCCACATGTTTTTCTCTAACATCTCACTAGGTGTCTCCACACACCACTTCAAACTTAACATGTTCCAACTGAATTATCTTTCCCTCCAAACCTGGTCCTCTTTCTCTGCTGCCTAAATCAGTGAAGAATATCACCATCCAGCCAGTTCTACAAACCAGTAACCTGAAAGACTTCTTAGTATCTCCTTCTCATCTCATCTCCATAACCAGTCCATCACCAAGTCTAAGTATCTGTACAACCTATCTTTACTGCCACCACCTCCCCACTCTAAGCCTCCCACCTTGTTCTTGCCCTTCACCAACCCATTATTTCAAAATATAAATCTGATCTTCTTATCTGCTGGCTTAAAACTTTTCAGTGGCTTCTCAAGGCCATCTGATCATGAATATAGGAAAAGGATCCACTGGCTCCAATTTAACCTGAACTGCAAGCTATCCCCCTCCCACCAAAAAACCCACAACATACACAACTTCTCTTCATCTGGGCCTTCTTGCAGCTCCTCAAATGCAGGGTAGCCAGCCACATGACCCAGCTTGCCCAGGAAAGGACTCATCTATGCCTGTTGCCCGAGGAGGATGATTAATAGTGCCTCTTCCATTTTCAAGTCTCCCTGATTTGGATGGTGAATTATCCGGTCACCTTGGGCTATTCCTGCTGTCTGAGAGCTTCCTTCTCCCAAACAATGCTTTTCTGACCAGCGTCCAGCTAACTCATATTTCTCAGCCTAAATGGTAATTCCTCAAACAATGCTTTTCTGACCAGCGTCCAGCTAACTCATATTTCTCAGCCTGAATGGTAATTCCTCAGTGAAGCACTGGTTTTCTCCCAACTCAGACACTTTCAATGGCCTCCGGCCTGCCTTCCTTGTCTAAGCTTTGTATCATAGCTTTTGATCATCTGTAATATCTGACCTGATTTATCTATCTAAAATCACTGCTTAGCCTTCTAGTTTCTGGTCAGGCATGGAAGGCGCTTAAGTCACCATTCTGTCCTAACAGCAAGTAGAAAACTAAACAGACTGAGAAATCAACAACTCTTCCTGGATATGATTGAGAAGTGAGGTCTCAGGGCAAAAATGCTGCCCCCCAAAGTTGGAGATATAGACAGACTGATAGAGAGGAGCATAAGTGACTGAAAAGAAACCTCCACAGGACCTAGTGCTAGCGTAGTAAAGCTGCCTCAGCCCCTCCAGCCAACCTAGTAGTCTTTAAGTTTTAGCAATCACCCTTGGCCCAAGTGATTGATTAACCTTTCATTGTTTAACTATAGATTATGCATTCTTTCCCAGAAAGAACAGAAGGCTTCTGCACAACACAAAACAGAAACTGGAACCTCTTGCACGGCCCCTTGGCACTAAGGAATCAGACCGCTCTGCACAACCCCCTCTCACAACCTCCAGGCACGAAGATAATGAAGATAACGTCTATAACGGACACCACTGAGTCTGCCTGTAATTAAAGAAATGTAATTAAAGAAATGTAGCTGATTTACAGTTAACTGCCCTAAACTCCTTCAAAAATCCTTCTTGGGCCAGGCAGAAACCTTGGAGTTGGCCTTTGGACAAGTCTGCCTTCTCCCCAGGTGGCCAGCCTCCTGAATAAAGTATTCCTTTCCAATCAAAACCCGTCTCTCTAGGGGCACCTAGGTGGCTCAGTCATTGGGCGTCTGCCTTCGGCTCAGGTCATGATCCCAAGGTCCTGGAATCGAGCCCCGCATCGGGCTCCCTGCTCTGCGGGAAGCCTGCTTCTCCCTCTCCCACTCCCCCTGCTTGCGTTCCCTCTCTTGCTGTGTCTCTCTCTGTCAAATGAATAAATAAAATCTTTAAAAGAAAAAAAAAACCTCGTCTCTCAAGAATTGGCTTTTTGAGTAGCAGGCAGCTGAACCTGGGTTTTGGTAACAGTAGGAAAATCTGAACTATAATTGACAAATTGCTGGTGGCTCATTGTGGATAAGTTGAGGAGTTAAAACTCGAGGGGGACCCAGTCCCAGGGGGTCCCCATGCTTTAGTGAGTTTTAACTCCAGAAGTTTGACCAGGTCCTCATGGTAGATATCAGAGAAAGATCCCGTCATGCTTGTGGGGTGGGGGTGGGGGAGGTGGGGGGGGGGGGCGGAGAGGCAGGGGTAAAGGAACCATTTTGAGATATACCAAAGCATTCCATTTCTCTTAACAAGGCTTGCCCTCAGGAGAAACTATTTTACCAGAGCCTAACCTGCTGGGTTTTTATCAGAGCCTAACCTACCTGGGGGGAAGGGAAATACCCAACTCTGGCCCCCCTCCAGCCACCCTGCCACACCTAAGGTGGGGGCCAGGACTGACGAGTACATGTGAAGTTCACAGTCCAGGAGCACAGGCTCCCCAAAAGACTGAGACCTAATCATACTATGGAACCTGGTGGTTCATTTCAATCAACAAAAGGCTGTTAGCTGCTCTCAGCAGTAGAAACATATCAAAATGACCTGACGGGTTTTTTTAAACCCACACAAGCGTCCCTACCTGCTCTCTCCTTCTCTTCTCCCCCTTCTTCTTCTTCTTCTTCAAAAAAATTTCAGCACAACCTGAGGGCAGGAGTACTATTCTTATATCCCGCTCTTACTACTTTAAAGTGTGCTTAATTGGGCACCTGAGTGGCTCAGTCAGTTAAGCGTCTGCCTTCGGTTCAGGTCATGATCCCAAGGTCCTGGGATTGAGCCCTGCATAGGGCTCCCTGCTCAGTGGGAAGCCTGCTTTTCCCTCTGCCTGCCACTCCCCCTGCTTGTGCTCTCTCATCTGACAAATAAATAAATAAAATCTTAAAATAATTTAAAAAATAAAAAATAAAAAAACAACAGAGGTAAAAAAAAATACTACACATTCTATAGTGCACAGGAAAGTGCCCCACAATAAAGAATTATCCAGCCCACAATGTCAACAGTGCTACAAGGATGAGAAACACTGGCCTAAGACATGTTAGAATTAGGGAAGTTCTGGAGGGGTTTAGGTAGTCTGAAGAAACTATTCTCTGAGAACCCTGGTCGAGGGAATAGATGCTCTATTGGGACCTGAAAGCCATATTTATTCCTTTTTTCCTAATATCTGTATTACATGACTCTATTAATTCCGCCAGTGATTGTCATATGCTACCCTGCATCCATCCATTCATATATTCATTTAACAACTATTTCCTAATCACTTACTAATGCCAGGCTTTCTTCTGGGCACTAGAATATCATGGCAAAGTGAACCAAATCCTTGCCCTTTATTGGAGCTTATTCAAGTGAGGGAGACACAATAGAGAGATAGTATCATATAAGGTAGGGATAAGTGATACTTAGAAAATGAAAAAAGAAAGCAATAATGCAGGAAGCATACTATTGTTACTCAACTGCAAATTCCTACAGGGTGGGTGGGCCAGATAAACTCCATGCCCCCCCCACCCTTTACTCCCCACCCTGCAGAATTTGCAATCCCTGTCCTTTGGCTTTCTGTCGGTGTCTGCCAATGGGGATCGCTGGCAGGAGATTGGAGAAGGGAGGAGAATGAGGTCAGCACGCTTATCATCTCTAAGATCATCTCAGGTTAGTTGCATTCCTCCACCAATGGAAGATGTCTGGTTTGAATAACTGCTGCCCTCCCCCACTAGACTCAGGTCTTTGCAAATGGTTTCTTTAAAAATAAACTCTCCTTGGCAAGAAGATGCAATGTGACAGTCTCTTCAATAAATGGTGTCGGGAAAACTGGACATCTACATGCAGAAGAATGAAACTGGGCCACTTTTTTTCACCACACACAAAAATAAACTCAAAATGTATCATAGACCTAAATGTGAGACCTGAAACAATAAAAATCCTAGAAGAGAGCATGGGCAGTAATTTCTCTGACATCAGCCATAACAACACCTTTCTAGGTATGTCTCCTGAGGCAAGGGTGACAAAAGCAAAAAATAAGTTATTGGGACTACATCAAAATAAAGAGCTTCTGCACAGTGAAGGAAACAATAAACAAAACTAAAAGGCAGCCTACTGAATGGGAGAAGATATTTGCAAGTGATATATCTGATAAGGGGTTAATATCCAAAATATATAAAGAATTTATAAAACTCTACACTCAAAAAACAAATAAGCTAATTTAAAAATGGGCAGAAGACACGAACAGACATTTCTCTAAAGAAGACATCCAGATGGCCAACAGACACATGAAAAGATGTTCAACATAATTAATTATCATGGAAATACAAATCAAAACCACAATGAGATATCACTCACACCTATCAGAATGGCTAAAATAAAAAACACAAGAAACAATGAGTGTTGGTAAGGAGGTGGAGAAAAAGGAATCCTCATGCGCTGTTGGTGGGAATCCAAACTGGTGCAGCCATTGTGAAAAACAGTATGGAAACATTCCTCAAAAAATTAAAAATAGAATTACCATATGATACAGTTATTACACTACTGGGTATTTGCCCAAAGAATTAAAAAACACTAATTCAAAAGGATACATGTACCTCTATGTTTATTGCAGCATTATTTACAATAGCCAAAATATGGAAGCAGCCCAAGTGTCCATCGATAGGTGAATGGGTAAAGAATATGTGGTATGTATATATATAATGGAATATTACTCAGCCATAAAATGGAATGAAATCTTGCCATTTGCAACAACATGGGTGGATCCAGAGGATATAATACTAAGTGTAATAAGTCGCTCAGAAAAACACAAATACCATATAATTTCACTCACACGTGGAATTTAAGAAACTAAACAAACAAAGAAAAAACGAGACCAAAAAACAGACAAACATTCAGAACAAACCAGGGAGGAGGTGGTTACCAGAGGGGAGGTAGGTGGGGGATGGGTGAAGCAGGCAAAGGGGATTAAAGAGCACACTTGTCATGATGAGCACTGAGTAATGTACAGAATTGTTGAATCACTATATTATACACCTGAAACTAATATAAAACTGTACATTAATTATACTGGAATTAAAAAAAGATGTTAAATTCCTGAGTTGGAAGAATGGCTAAATCATGCTATGATTCACCACTTTCACATCAGGTCCACTGTATTGCTGCCTGTATATTCTGGGGATAAACAAACCAAACTGAAGTTGGTGGTCACTGATCAACTAAATATGACTAAAACCTGAAAAAAAATAACCCTCCTTGAATTATCCCATATAGAGTATGAAGGCATAGTCTCTTAGATATAGAAGATACAGCCTTCAAAATTTTTCATGATTCTCTGTATTCAATACTTAGGTCAAATCTCTCACCTCAGTCAAGAATGCCTCATTCCTCAGACCTCACAGATTGTTAATGTCACTAGATGGCAGCATATCTAAATAATATTAGCTGCATTTATTTATTTATTTCTTATGACATAAAAATGACTTTGGGGCCTGATTTTATAAAAATAAGTACAGGTAACTGCAAATTCCACAGTAAAAAGAAGAAAAAAGAAAAAAACCCCAAGACGTAAGAGGAATATAAATAAATGACCATGGGTAGAAAAAAATGTATACCTCAAAATATAGACAAAACATCACTATATGACATTCTCATGTGACAACATTTTGGAGATTATATGCTATAAGGAGAGTTTTAATATATACAATAACCTTTTCAAATGCACCAAATATTTACTTATGTCTTACCATTTCTTTCTTTTCTCGTGTCCATTTTTGATGACTCTGTTTTAAAGGGGAATACACAGGGAAGTATGATTATTAATGTACAGCAGTTTCCTGAGTTAGTCAAAATAAACTCATATGAATAAGAACAAAATGGCTATGTTTGGATACCAAACGCAGGATTACATCAAACAGGACTGAGTTTAAGCTTTGGTCAAGCCATCTGGGCATGGTGCATGCCCCGATATCATGGCAGAGCAGCCTGGGGCGCTGCCTCTCAACTGTCTGATCAAAACTGACAGTTGGGGCAGTTCTGTGTTGTAAAGTCATAATGCATAGACATTGCAGGTAGAGTTATACATTTCCCATACTTCAAAATCTATCCAATTCTTAGCAAATGGAAATCAAGTAGTCACAAGATGAACGAGAGACTTCAATTTACCAAAGATTTTTTTCACACCAAAAAAGGTTTAAAACAGAACACATCTTTAAATAACAGAGTACTCATTACATTTAAATTTAACTGAGTTTGTGCTCCATGTTAATCAAATAATAGAAGCATCTTAATATCAAAACATTTTAATCACACTGGTAAGAGTACAGAATTTATTAGTAGTCAATAGGATTAAAGCAGAACATTTTGTTTTGGTGTGTGAAAATTTAACACAACTTTTTAAGATAGCTAGCTAAAATACAAAATCATCGTTTCTTATTGCCAATATTGTTGTATCAGCTATTCCTGATATTTTATCTCTATTTCCCTCTTCAGTTATGGAGGACTTCTGCTTTCATTTTCAACGCTATCATTTTTATACTGGTTAAATTTATTCCAATGAATACATATATAGGTATGCATACCTAATAATCAGGAAAAATGGCTTTTTAAAGTCAAAACTAAATTAGCCTTGGGCGCCTGGGTGGCTCAGTTGGTTGAGCGACTGCCTTCAGCTCGGGTCATGGTCCTGGAGTCCCGGGATCGAGTCCCGCGTCGGGCTCCCTGCTCAGTGGGGAGTCTGTTTCTCCCTCTGACCCTCCTCCCTCTCATGCTCTCTGTCTCTCATTCTCTCTCTCACAAATAAATAAAAAATTAAAAAAAAAAAAAACCTAAATTAGCCTTAAAGGGGCCATTAACCTAAAAAAATTATGGATGAATTTTTTGTTATGAATTATAATTTATGTTTATGTATTGTGAATATACTATTTCCTGGTTGAGAACTCTGGGATAAGAAATGGATGTCCGGCTGGGTTCTCCATTTATCTACCTTTTCTCTGAATTTCTATAGTACATCACTGTATATTAATTATCCCAGTAATTACCAAATGCTACCCTGCATTCATCCGACAACTATTTCCTAAGGCTTTCTTCTAGGCACTCGAATATCATGGCAAACAAAGTAAACCAAATCACTGCCTTTAAGGAGCTTATATTCAAGTGAAGGAGACACAATAAACAAATAAGTAATACTATATAGGAGATCAATAAGTGATATACTTAGAAAACTAAAAGGAGCCCCTCTGAAATAAGGGAAAAAAAAAACTCAACTTTGCTCTAGGTCCCAACACCAAATTTTAATCTTGCTCTAAAATCAACATGCATTCTTGGGGCACCTGGGTGGCTCAGTTGGTTAAGCAACTGCCTTCAGCTCAGGTCATGATCCTGGAGTCCTGGGATCAAGTCCCGCGTCGGGCTCCCTGCTCAGCAGGGAGTCTGCTTCTCCCTCTGACCCTCCTCCCTCTCATGCTCTCTCTCTCTATCTCATTCTCTCTCTCAAATAAATAAATAAAATCTTAAAAAAAAAATCAACATGCATTCTTAATTCTGAATAGGGGTAATAAGTAAAAGAAAAACAGTTTAAATTTTAAAAACTTTACGGTACCTTGGCTAAACATAATAAAGCGTCTCTGGTTGACATTGAAGTTAGCATTGCACAGTTGACATATAATAGCAACTCTGTTGTGTAAAGCAGCGTGATGGAAAATAGCATAACCTGCTTCATCTGAAACATTGATCGTCGAGCTTGAGGTTTTACGGCTAAATGTATGGAAAACAGCAGATAATCCTCTTTCAACAGCAGACTTCATACCAAATGGGATGCTCTAAAATTATTAAGAGGGCCAGAATAAATTTTTCAAAATATACTTAAAGTTTAGCTTAAGGAAAAAAAGGACAATAAATATATATTAATATGTTTATAATAAATGTAATGTTAATATATAACATCATTAATAAATATATATTAATATAATCACAGGATTGGTGCTCAGTTACAGTAGAATTTTCACAAGATCCATGTGGATAGTGTCTCACTGGACAAGGATTAAAGTTATTAGAACTATAAAGAAACATTGAGAACTTTAAAAAATATTTTTGGGAAGTTTTTTTCTCCCTCTTTTTTTAAGGAGAAGTTGCAGATTCTTCTTTGGAGACAATTGAAACAGGATAGATGATTTTCTTTCTGAACTACTTAAACAAACGGAGATCACTGGGTTCCTTTTCTGATTCAAGAACAATCTAATTCAGAAATCTAGGAAATATATATAGTTACAGAGATACAATTTGTCCTCTTTGCTCTAGGTCTCAAAACAGAGAGGTAAAAACAGTACACTCTTCTTTGAGACATTCTGACTCCTTAATATTTTAAAATTAAATGAACAGGTTATTAAAATGTTAAATGTACGGACACTGAGATGAATACATGGTAAATAAAGGCCAGTGTATCCATTGAAACGGGTGAGCTCACCACTTATCAGTTCCAGAAGCTGTACATGAAGGCTTGTTGAAACAGATAGAGCGATTTGATTCAGGATGACAGGTTTGTTCCTCAGGTTTGGTCCCCAGGACTGAAGCCTGACTGCCATTTACCAGCTGTGTGATTTAGGGAAGAGCCTTAACTCGCTGCACCTCAAATTTCTCATTTGTAACGTAGGAATGATAACAAAGTACTAGTACCTTGAACAAGTTTCTTAAAAGGATTTATAAAGTGCCTGGCACACAAAATAAGCACTCAATAAATATTAGCCATTATGAAGGTTGGTCACAATCCAGTTCATTAACAGATGATTCTGTAACCCTACCAGAAATTTATAATCCAGAATTATACAGCATCTAAGCTGCTAAAATGTGGAATTTTTATTTCATATGGAAAGCTTTATTTAACCTAATGTTTATCCCTAAGATAAAAATCTGAGACATAGACTTATCTATAATAGCATATTATCTATAATAGTTTCCTACACTAAATTATGTGATAATTACTGAAATACCTTGCATTTCATAGCTTTTTTGAAACCAAATTTTTTCTTAAATTGTTCATGTAATTGGGCATCTGTTAGTGGAAGTCTTTTCGGTTTCAGATTGTTCACGACTTCATTTATGGCTCCCCACCACTTTGTCTTATATAGTTGATGATAGTAAGTTTCAAGTTCAAAACAGATCACATAGTAGCTATTAAAATATAAAGAAAAAAGATATATCTTTCTGACTTGGAAGTAATTTGGTACTTTTTTCTATACTGACTAAGCTGTATTTTTCTATAATAATTAAATATAAAACTGTAGTTTAAATTGTACTTGACTGAAAAATAAGGTCTTAGGGAAATACTATGTTATGAACTGGTCGGAAGCTAATATCCTCTCCTCCTTAACCTTGACTTCCATCCCAGTTTTCTGAATATAATAGACTTCTGCAGGGATGGAGGCATATTTGAGGACCTGTTCGCATTTATTTGAGGTTGTCATTCTTCCCATCCACCATCCTCTCCTCCCCAAAGGAAACTAGACCACAAAAATATAAACTAAAGGGTGTCGGGGCGCCTGGGTGGCTCAGTCGTTAAGCGTCTGCCTTCGGCTCAGGTCGTGATCCCAGGGTCCTGGGATCGAGCCCCGCATCGGGCTCCCTGCTCCACAGGAAGCCTGCTTCTCCCTCTCCCACTCCCCCTGCTTGTGTTCCTTCTCTCGCTATGTCTCTCTCTGTCAAATAAATAAATAAAATCTTAAAAAACAAAACAAAACTAAACTAAACTAAAGGCTGTCTTCACCCACACCTTGCAGATACAGTGCCAGTCCAAGTGGCGGGACTTACCACATTTCCTGTGGGCCCCGACTTGTGGAGGTGCCACCTTCAAGGATGGGGCCTTGCCTAACTTACTAGAAGCGAGGAATAGATATTCTGAATCTTACTCAGATTTGAAGGCTTTCAAATCACGGCAGTGATAGGTTCCAGGGCCTTAAGGAGCTGTATGAATCATACCTAGATGCCTGATTTACAGTGGACGACTAAACTAAATTTCTAGAAGAAGACAGCTCACCTTTCTTTGGTGTCATACACACTGCTAAGAGTAGACACCACAGGCAGATACCCCAAGTCCCATAATTCTGCCTCCACAGATGTGGGCATAGGGGATCACACTGATGATATCCTTTGGTCTCTGAGTGGCCCAGCACCACATCGTAGAGTCCCAGTGCCTACAACCTCTTTTTTTTATGGACTTCTCCAGGGAGCTGGCTCTCGCTGTGGTAAATTGTTATGGGGTCAGAAGCTGCTGACTACACCTGGGGCCCTGGTACTCAGTGATGTACTGTTAGATCACTGCTGAGGCAATGAAACAGACTTATAAATTTAACAAACACCAGGGGAATGTGGGTTGATTTCTTCTAGAAATTCAATTTACTTAATCCAGTGCAAATCAAGCAGCTGGAATCAGCAGGGGGCTATCCTACCTAGAAACTGAAGAAGCAAGAGGTGGTAAAGGTGGCTATACCCTGAGAACGTCTCTGCCACAGAATTCTGCGGACGCCCCCACCCAAGGTTGGATACACAACCTGCACTGGCCCACAGAGAGATGATCTTGGGAGCACAGGAAGCCCAGATGGCCAGGGCCATGAAGGAGTGCTCATCCAAGTACTGCATAATGACATACCACTGTTCTTACTCAAAACCTTAGGTGTAGTCATCAGCAGGGACTATAAGGGAGCCTCACTTTTAAAATAACTCCCTTCAGGGCGCCTGGGTGGCTCAGTTGGTTGGGCGACTGCCTTTGGCTCGGGTCATGATCCTGGAGTCCCGGGATCGAGTCCCGCATAGGGCTCCCTGCTCGGCGGGGAGTCTGCTTCTCCCTCTGACCCTCCCCCCTCTCATGCTCTCTCTCTCTCATTCTCTCTCTCAAATACATAAATAAAATCTTAAAAAAAAAAACTTGTAGCATAAAATGATTATATTATAAGAAAGATCTCAAATTCTAAATTCAAAATTTTAATCTACTTTAAGAAAAAAGAGCAAAATGAACACTGAGGAATTTTGCAGTAAGATAGTAGTATAGGTATTATTTCCTGATTTTTAAAAAAGTTTTCGTGTGGGGCACCTGGGTGGCTCAGTTGGTTGGGCGACTGCCTTCGGCTCGGGTCATGATCCCGGAGTCCTGGGATCAAGTCCCGCATCGGGCTCCCTGCTTGGCGGGGAGTCTGCTTCTCCCTCTGACTCTCCCCCCTCTCATGTACTCTCTCTCTCTCTCATTCTCGCTCTCTCAAATAAATAAAATCTTTAAAAAAAAAAAAAAGGGGGCGCCTGGGTGGCTCAGTTGGTTGGGCGACTGCCTTCGGCTCAGGTCATGATCCCGGAGTCCTGGGATAGAGTCCCGCATCGGGCTCCCTGCTCGGCGGAGAGCCTGCTTCTCCCTCTGACCCTCCCCCCTCTCATGTACTCTCTCTCTCTCTCATTCTCGCTCTCTCAAATAAATAAATCTTTAAAATAAAAAAAAATAATAACTCCCTTCATATTATTCTGCCTGGGAATCGGCACCCAGCTTCTGAGGAGCTTCCAGCACCACATTTCCCTGATATACCACTGGCATATTAAGTTGATTTCTGACCTGCCCCCTAATATCCACAACAGTATCACAATGCTGGTATGCTCTCCCCTAAATAGGACATTTTAGTACTGGAATAAATTAATCTTTTTGCTCCAGTCATTGTCACCTTAATAAATAATTCATGAGTTCTTGTAGTTTTATGGGTGGTCAAATCCTGAGTACCTGACTGTGGTCCCTACTTTTTGATTCTGGTATGGTAGAAGAACCCAACCTGAAACCAAAATCAATCTAGGACTCCGATGTTTCCAAGCATGCCTGGAGGGCCAGTGGAACTTATCCTATTTTCGTAAGGGACCAGGGTTGTCTCTGGAGATAAACCATTCTGAGGAAAGAGAATATCAAGATACATATGCTCAGTCCAATAACAATGCCCTTAAAATCAAAGAGGGGAGATTTTAAGATGGCATGTTTTCAATCATTCAGATTATTCTCTGGTCCCGCACCAACACAGAAATGATCCCTACATCACAGAAAAGAACAACTGTTAGGAAAATGACTAAAAACGTTGTTTTTGCACCAAATTGTTAGGGGTTCAAGGCAGCACTTCCTTGAAACCAGTAAAATTAGGAAAGAAATTCTCCTTGCTTCATTGGATTGGCTTCAACATGTCTCACAGTTGATGTATGCTGTTGAGCAGGCATGAGGAGGAGCCAGCCCCAGAGGTGACACCAGATCCCCAACCAGGAGCAAAAGCATCACTAATGCAATGGCGTTAGTGCTGAGCTGCCTTCATGGGGCCTGTGGAGTGCCTGGAGCCCAGCAGTGGATCATCACAGAGAGCTCAGGCAGGAAAGAAGGAGACTGAAGAAATCTTAGAGGACCTGAGAGCTGATCCAGGAGCATATGAGAGTCCTAGGAATAACTATGTGGGGGTGGCTACTCTGAAACTGAAAGTTCTCTAGTAACTGGTATAGGAACCAGGAAAATACTGATTAGTATTCCACTTGTGGTTTTTACTTTTACTCCATGCTGGCTGGGTCTGGGAAACAACTCCTGCTGATTTTGAAAGCCTGTAAATTCAAATCCAACTAACTACAGTTCACCAACACTGATGACCAGATGTTGTGCATTAGTCAGAAACTAGAGAACTAATTCCACTGTGGCATCCCATTGCAACAATATGACTGGATCCCTTATAGTTCAGTGGCAGTGTGCTTATGCCAGCCATGCTTCTTCATCCACAACCACCTCTCACCAAGCACAGCCTTCATCTCACCTGATTCCCTCATTCCAGAGTCATTAGTGTCCAGCCAGACACTACAACCTGGGAAAATAAAGCATTATTCGGAGGTGCTTCCAGGATACTATTTAGCTTGGCAAGGGTTGTACCTTAGTATGTCAAGAGGTGCTGGATCCCTGAGCGAGAGATTTCCTCCTCCAGGAAGATGCACACTAACTGTCCATTCTAGAGGCATGAGATCTATTACTTAATTCCCTCTCAAATCATGGAGGTCATTAGCCACATGGTCTTTGACTTCATCTCTAGTACCACATGAGCATCCAGGCAGTCTTAATGGAAAGAGCCACATTTCATTGTGTATCCTGCTCCCTCTGCCTTGTTTCTGGTATTTTCCTCATTGCCATGCATCTTGAGAAAAATTTACAACCTTTGTCTTTACTTCTTCATATCCTATGAACTCTGCCCAACTTTACCCAGCTCATTACACATAGCCTATAACCAGAACTAATTCTCTTACCAAGTCATTGTGAAACTGAGTGCTCTCTTTAGTCTTAAGTTTACTTGCCCTTTTTCTCTGTTGAATTTGATGGTTTAACTATTTCCATATTTTAAAAATTCTCCCCATCTGGCTTCCATGCTATCATACTTTCTTGGTCCTCCTCCCTGTATCATTTCTTCTCAGTCTCCTTTGCTCTCTCTCTGCTTCTCCCCACCCCATTTAAAAGCTGCTATTCTCCAGAGTTCTAGACTTGGTCCTGTTCTCTAAACCACTTCCCTGCCTTAAAAAAACAAAAAACAAAACCAAAAAACCTCTCCTATATACTTTTAAATCTCAAGTCTCTACCATCTAATAATAATGCCCCTAGCTCTACTTTCCATATTTCCAAACTTCAGTGTCCAAGATATGAAGATCCAAGAACATAATTCATAAAAGACCCTAGCAAAACTTAGAGAAACATCCAGCTTCAAAAGATGACAGGCATAACAAGACCCAGCAGAGAAAGAGGATTTTAAATCATATTCTTTATGGAACTACAGGGCTTTGTGCTGAGTCCACTGCTTTTCAGTAGGTCCACAGGATTTGATCTTCACCTCCATCCCCGTGTAATCACAGTGATAGTTATAAGAACTAATCACCATCTATAAGGATTATTATACAGAATGTACCAAAGAGCATGAAGAAATAAATACACTATTTAATATTTTGTTGAGTCTGTATTTTATTCATGGGGGTTATTGTTCTAGGATCTCTCTGCTGAGGTATTAAGTTAACCTTTGCATTTTGACACTTTCCTTGTTTTCTCCTAACTTTCAACAAGTTGTGGCTACTGTGAATAATTACTGAAAGTTCCTTACCTTTTTCCATTAAGTTCCATGACTGGTATTGAGTAATGTTCTTTGTATCCTGAATCTTCTACAAATGCATCAGCAGCACAATCCCGTATTTTTTCTAAATTGTTCTAAAATATGAGTTATGTTACTAAAAACATATCTTTAAACAAGTCTAAACAATTATGGCTTCTTTTAGATGAAATTTTATACTTGCAAATGATATATTTTTAATATAATATCCCACCAGACCCTAATGATAACCACATGTATCCAATTCCTACTTCAGGAGTGAGGAAAAAATACAAAAGAAAAACAGTGTAAAGAAGGTAGGAAAGCAATGATAATTCAAACGTTATGTTTATATTAAATTCTAGATTAAATTATTGTTCTTAAACTCTAGAGGATCTCTTTTCTAATACTAATCTTCAAGAAAAATGGAAGACTAAGCAGTGAATGTTGAAGGATTTCTACTACACTCTTTGATTAACTATTTTAGGGCACATATGGTCCATTAGAGGTCTATAAATTCTGTAAGGATAGTTGTACCTAGCTTATTTGTCATTTCATCTCTGACACCTAACATACCTCTGATATAGTTGCACTTAATTCATGTATGTTACATAATGTACGAAAAGATTAGTGAGTTAGGAAGATAATCACTTGGAGACTGGCCTAGTGCCCATACCAACAGAGACTCTTTCTGGATGGAGAATAAGATAAAAGAGTTGTGAAATGACAAACCATTTCAGAAACAATAATAATTTAAACCTTAAAATCTTCCAAAGCATTCTCAATTGAAGGTGTGCTGATATCAAATTCAATTCCTCCATGAACATGAAAATATTGATCCTCTTTGTAGTGAAAATGCTGGCATTTAAAATCTCGTCCATAAATAAATGGAGGCAATTCTCGCTCTGTCTTGACCTTGTCATCTCCAAAAATGAAAACAAACTTTAATTTAAAAGTGAAAACAACACACACACAATCATACTTTGAAGATCTAGATTCTTATTTACGTAAACCCAGCGAAAAAAAATCCACATTAAAGAAAATCTTGGCAATTACAGTCTCTAAAATCATGGCCTTAGTATATATTTTAAACATGAAAATATATTTATAGCATACATTTTAGTTTCATTGTATAGACATTTCAAGGGAATAGTCAAACCATTATTCTACTTATTGATTTCTATGTGTGAGTTCAAGACTAATATCTTACCCCCCTTGTTAGAAAATATTTGAAACTATGCCTCAGAGAATCTTGGGCTAAATAAACAAAAACTTAAACTGAGCTGGTTCAGGCAAAAAAAAGACATTAAAAAGAAATAGGTGGGTATCTCTCACTGACAAAAATAACCAGCTCACTTTTTTGGAAAGTAATAAAACCATACATATAACATTTATTTTAGAAAAATAATTTTCTAAAACTCCAGTAATGATTAGGTTTGTCCAATATTTTGACTTCTTAGCAGAATATGGTTTCATCAATGTAAAGCATATAACGTATTTTGAGAAATGTAAAAGGTACAGAAAAGTACAAGGAATAATATAACACCCTAATATCACCACCTGGAACCATTAACATTTAGTCATATTTGCTTCCAATAATCTAAGTAATAAAACATTACAGATATAGCTAACATTCTCTTTAATGAAGGGCCTCTTAGTTCCATACACCTGCCCTCTTACCTCCACCCGAGGATAAGAATGGTCATGAGCCCATTTTTAAGTAGTTCACAGATAAGTGTAATAATTTTCACCGTTTGAATGCTTATGATACAAATTTTCATTAAATGATTTGAAAATTTCTACTGAAAATTTGCCACCTAAATAGAAAGCCCATCATAATAAGCCTACACGTTTGGGCACCAATGAAAATATATAAGTTGTGTGCTAATCTGGGTGCAGGGAATAGTTTGCACTACATGCCTGTCAAATTCCATGTAAGTATGGTCCTATTTCAGCTCTCTATTCTTTTACATTGGTTTATTTGTGTAAACAGTGCTAACACACTAGTAAAGTTTTGAAATATATTTTCATTTCTTTTTCAGAAATTTAACACCATTCATGATCCTTTACTGCTCCATATTAATTTCAGAATCAATTTATAAACTTCATTAAAAACACGATAGGGATTTTGTGTAGAAGTTCACTGAATTTATAGGTTTATAGGTCAGATATGATACATTCATAGTGTATCATATGTCCCATCATGAGCATGGCATATTTCCTTATTTTTCTCAAAATTTGTTTTAAGTCTTCTAATAGCCCTTATAATTGGTATAAACATATACCAAGTACTATGTACATATAGGAAATATTTTTAACTACCTTGGAGACATTAAATTTTGTTTTGTTTTGTTTTGTTTCATAACAGGCTACAACAAGGTTATATTCCTGGACTCACCTACTACAAGCAAAATTGAATTTAAATATAAATTTAGATTTATCCAAAGATGGCAGAGAAGTAGGAGACCTAAATTTCGTCTGGCCCCAGGAATGCAGCTAGATAGTTATCAAACCATTCTGAACACCTACAAACTCAACAGGAGATTGAAGAAAAGAATAGCAATTCTATGAACAGAAAACTGACCACTTTCTGAAAAGTAGGACGTGCGGAGAAGTGAATCTGAAGCGATATTCAGGAAGATAGACCTTGGCGGGGAGGGAGCCTCCATCAGCTGCTTCTGGCAAGTGATAGAGCAGTGGAGCACAAAATCGGAACTTTTAGAAGTCGGGTCCACTGAGGGACATTGCTCCAGTGGCTAAGCGGGGGGTGGAACCCTTGCTGGGACAGTGTGGTCTTGGGACCCTTGGGTCACAGAAAGACCAGGGGTGCCTGAGTGCAGCAGAGCTCCCAGGTATCAGAGTGGGGAAGCTGGCTGCAGAGACGGAGCTGAGGCGCGGGCTCTCAGCTTGGGGTTGCCATAAATTGTGATCCGCGGCACAGTCAGGCCACTGCTCTTCCAGCAGGGACCCAACAAGCGGCAGATCCGGGGAGACTCCCCTTCCTCCCCCGGGAGGGGTGGCACAGGAGTGCACCACAGGGCTCTGCTGGGTTTGGAGACTCCACACGGGGTCATGCACCAGAGATAGAAATGCTTGGTCATAGGCCAGGTGAGCACGGAGTGCAGCCAGAGAATGGGGAGACAGGACTGCTTTTCTCTGGGGGCTCACTGAGGAGTGGGGTCCCGAGTTCTTGGCTCCTCTGGGTGGAAATTGGGAGGCCACCATTTTCATTCTTGTCCTCCAAATCTGTGCAGAAAGCTTGCAGGGGACAAAAGCTCCCAAGAAAAAACCCGAGCAGATGACTTAGCCTGGCCCTGGCAAGGGCGGGGCAATTCTGCCTCCGGCAAAGACATTTGGGAACCACAGCAAGAGGCCCCTCCCACAGAAAATCAGCAAGAACATCCAGCCAAGACCAAGTTTACCAATCAATGAGAACGGCAGAACTCCAGTGCTAGGGGAATATAGCACATAGAATTCATGGCTTTCCCCCCATGATTCTTTAGTCTTTCAAAGTTAATTTTTAAAATTTTCTTTATTTTTACTTTTTCTATTTTTTAAAAATTTTTCTTCTTTTCTTTTTCAACCAACATCTTATCAATTCCTTTTTTAAAATCTTTTTTTTTTTAAAGACTTTATTTATTTATTTGATAGAGAGAGACAGCGAGAGAGGGAACACAAGCAGGGTGAATGGGAGAGGGAGAAACAGGCTTCCCACTGAGCAGGGAGACCAATATGGGACTCGATCCCAGGACCCTGGGATCATGACCTGAGCCAAAGGCAGACGCTTAACAACTGAGCCACCCAGGCTCCCTAAAATCTTTTTTAATTTTCATTTTTACAGTCATATTCTATCCCTTCATTGTATTTAACCTTATTTTTTTGTATATATGTGAGTTTTTCTTTCTTTAAAATCTTGGGATACAGTTTCTTCTAACAGATCAAAATATACCTTAATCTAGTGTATGGCTTTGTTCTAGTCTCCAAAAGTTTGGGCTCATTCCCTGCATATTTCGGACCACAGTGCTTTGAAACTAGAACTCAATCACAAGAGGAAAGTTGTAAAGAACTCAAATACATGGAGGCTAAAGAGCATCCTACTAAAGAATGAATGGGTCAATCAGGAAATTAAAGAAGAATTAAAAAAATTCATGGAAACAAATGAAAATAAAAACACAACTGTTCAAAATCTTTGGGACACAGCAAAGGTGGTCCTAAGAGGAAAGTGTATAGCACTATAAGCCTTTCTCAAGAAACAAGAAAGGTCTCAAATACATAACCTAACCCTACACCTAAAGGAGCTGGAGAACGAAAAGCAAATAAAGCCTAAACCCAGCAGGAGAAGAGAAATAATAAAGATCAGAGCAGAAATCAATGAAATAGAAACCAAAAGAACAGTAGAGCAGATCAACGAAACTAGGAGCTGGTTCTCTGAAAGAATTAATAAGATTGATAGATCCCTGGCCAGATTTATCAAAAAGAAAAGAGAAAGGACCCAAATAAATAAAATCATGAATGAAAGAGGAGAGATCCCAACCAACACCAAAGACGTACAAACAATTATAAGAACATATGATGAGCAACTATATGCCAGCAAATTAGACAATCTGGAAGAAATGGATGCATTCCTAGAGACGTATAAACTACCAAAACTGAACCAGGAAGAAATAGAAAACCTGAACAGATCCATAACCAGTAAGGAAACTGAAGCAGTAACCAAAAATCTCCCAACATACAAGAGCCCAGGGCCAGATGGCTTCCCAGGGGAATTCTATCAAACATTTATTTATTTATTTTTAAAGATTTTGTTTATTTATTTGACAGAGAGAGACACAGCAAGAGAGGGAACACAAGGAGGGGGAGTAGGAGAGGGTGAAGCAGGCTTCCCGTGAGCAGGGAACCTGATGTGGGGCTCAATCCCAGGACCCCGGGATCATGACCTGAGCCAAAGGCAGATGCTTAACGACTGAGCCACCCAGGGGCCCCCTACCAAACATTTAAAGAAGAATTAATACCTATCCTTCTGAAACTGCTCCATAAAGTAGAAATGGAAGGAAAACTTCCAAACTCATTTTAAGAGGTCAGCATTACCTTGATCCCAAAACCAGACAAAGACTCTATCAAAAAGGAGAATTACAGACCAATGTCCCTGATGAACATGGATGCAAAATATCTCACCAAAATACTAGCCAATAGGATCCAACAGTACATTAAAAGGATTATTCACCACAACCAAGTGGGATTTATTCCTGGGCTGCAAGGTTGGTTCAACATCCACAGATCAATCAATGTGATACAATACATTAATAAAAGAAAGAACAAGAACCATATGCAGAAAAAGCATTTGACAAAGTACAGCATCCTTTCTTGATTAAAACTATTCACAGTGTAGGCTGTTGGTGGGAATGCAAGCTGGTGCAGCCATTCTAGAAAACAGTATGGAGGTTCCTCAAAAAGTTGAAAATAGACCTACCACACGATCCAGCAATTGCATTCCTGGGTATTTACCCCAAAGATACAAACGTAGGGATCCAAAGGGGTACATGCACCCCAATGTTTATAGCAGCAATGTCCACAATAGCCAAACTATGGAAAGAGCCACGATGTCCATCAACAGATGAATGGATAAAGAAGATGTGGTATATATATATACAATGGAATATTATGCAGCCATCAAAACGAATGAAATCTTGCCATTTGCAGCGACGTGGATGGAACTGGAGGGTGTTATGCTGAGCGAAATGTCAATCAGAGAAAGACATGTATCATATGACCTTACTGATATGAGGAATTCTTAATCTCAGGAAACAAACTGAGGGTTGCTGGAGTGGTGGGGGCTGGGAGGGATGGGGTGGCTGGGTGATAGACATTGGGGAGGGTATGTGCTATGGTGAGCGCTGTGAATTGTGCAAGACTGTCGAATCACAGATCTGTACCTCTGAAACAAATAATACATTATATGTTAAAAAAAAAAAGAAGAAGAAGAAGATAGCAGGAGGGGAAGAATGAAGGTGGGGAAATCGGAGGGGGAGACGAACCATGAGAGACGATGGACTCTGAAAAACAAACTGAGGGTTCTAGAGGGGAGGGCGTTGGAGAATGGGTTAGCCCGGTGATGGGTATTAAAGAGGGCACATTCTGCATGGAGCACTGGGTGTTATACACAAACAATGAATCATGGAACATTACATCAAAAACTAATGATGCAATGTATGGTGATTAACATAATAATAATAATAAAAACTATTCACAATGTAGGGATAGAGGGTACAAACCTCAATATTATAAAAGCCACTTATGAAAAACCCACAGCAAATATCATTCTCAATGGGGAAAAACTGAGAGCTTTTCCCATAAGGTCAGGAACACGGCAGGGATGTCCACTATCACCACTGCTATTCAACATAGTACTAGAAGTCCTAGCCACAGTAATCAGACAACAAAAAGAAATAAAAGACATCTGAATCAGCAAAGAACAAGTCAAACTCTCACTCTTTGCAAATGATATGATACTTTATATGGAAAACCCAAAAGACTCCACCCCAAAACTGCTAGAACTCATACAGGAATTCAGTAAAGTGGCAGGATATAAAATCAATGCACAGAAATCAGTTGCATTTCTATACACCAACAACAAGACAGAAGAAAGAGAAATTAAGGAGTCAATCTCATTTACAATTGCACCCAAAACCATAAGATACTTAGGAATAAATCTAACCAATTGGCAAAGAATCTGTACTCAGAAAACTATAAAATACTCATGAAAGAAACTGAGGAAGACACAAAGAAATGGAAAAACGTTCCATGCTCATGGATTGGAAGAACAAATATTGTGAAAATGTCTATGCTACCTAGAGCAATCTACACATTTAATGCAATCCCTATCAAAATACCATCAACTTTTTTCAAAGAAATGGAACAAATAATCCATAAAATTTGTGTGGAACCAGAAAAAAACCCGAATAGGCACAGGAATGTTGAAAAAGCAAAGCAAAACTGGCGGCATCACAATTCCGGACTTCAAGCTCTATTACAAAGCTGTAATCATCAAGACAGTATGGTACTGGCACAAAAACAGACACATAGATCAATGGAACAGAAGAGAGAGCCTAGAAATGGACCCTCAACTCTATGGTCAAATAATCTTCGACAAAGCAGGAAAGAATGTCCAATGGAAAAAAGACAGTCTCTTCAACAAATGGTGTTGGGAAAATTGGACAGCCACATGCAGAAGAATGAAACTGGACCCTTTCCTTACACCACATACAAAAACAGACTCAAAATGGTTGAAAAACCTAAATGTGAGACAGGAATCCATCAAAATCCTAGAGAACACAGGCAGCAACCTCTTCGACCTCAGCTGCAGCAACTTCTTCCTAGAAACATCGCCAAAGGCAAGGGACACAAGGGCAAAGATGAATTATTGGGACTTCACCAAGATAAAAAGCTTTTTTTTTTTTTTTTAAAGATTTTATTTATTTATTCATGAGAGATAGAGAGAGAGAGAGGCAGAGGCAGAGGGAGAAACAGGCTCCCCGCGGAGCAGGGAGCCCGATGCGGGACTCGATCCCAGGACCCTGGGATCATGACCTGAGCTGAAGGCAGACGCTTAACCGACTGAGCCACCCAGGCATCCCAAGATAAAAAGCTTTTGCACAGCAAAGGAAACAGTCAACAAACCAAAAGACAACTGACAGAATGGGAGAAGAGATTTGCAAATGACAGATCAGATAAAGGGCCAGTATCCAAATCTATAAAGAACTTATCCAACTCAACACCCAAAGAACAAAGAATCCAATCAACAAATGGGCAGAAGACATGAACAGACATTTTTCCAAAGAAGACATCCAAATGGCCAACAGACACATGTAAAAGTGCTCAACATCACTCAGCATCAGGGAAATCCAAATCAAAACCTCAATGAGATACCACCTCACACCAGTCAGAATGGCTAAAATTAACAAGTCAGGAAGCAACAGATGTTGGCGAGGATGCAGAGAAATGGGAACCCTCCTACGCTGTTGGTGGGAATGCAAGCTGGTGCAGCCACTCTGGAAAAACAGTATGGAGGTTCCTCAGAAAATTGAAAATATAGCTACCCTACAACCCAGCAATTGCACTACTGGATATTTACCCCAAAGATTTAAATGTAGTGATCCGAAGGGGCACGTGCACCCCGATGTTTATAGCAGCAATGTCCACAATAGCCAAACTATGGAAAGAGCCACGATGTCCATCAACAGATGAATGGATAAAGAAGAAGTGGTATATATATATATAGAATGGAATATTATGCATCCATCAAAAAATGAAACCTTGCCATTTGCAACAATGTGGTTGGAACTAGAGGGTGTTATGCTAAGCGAAATAAGTCAATCAGAGAAAAACAATTAGCATACGATCTCACCGATATGAGGAATTTGAGAAACAAGACAGTGGATCATATGGGAAGGGAGGGAAAAATGAAACAAGATGAAACCAGAGAGGGAGACAAACCATAAGAGAATCTTCATCTCAGGAAACAAACTGAGGGTTGCTGGAGTGGAGGGGGGTGGGAGGGATAGGGTGGCTGGGTGATGGGCACTGGGGAGGGTATGTGCTATGGTGAGCGCTGTGAATTGTGTAAGACTGATGAATCACAGACCTGTACCCCTGAAAGAAATCATACATTATATGTTAATAAAAAATAAAATAAATAAATACAAATTACATATATATAATTATTTTATATTTGATTTTTGTTGAAACACTTACCTGAAAAAGGTGGAAGCAGACTACTTAAATATGGAACTTTCATCTTCTTTTTTAAACTCAGTAGAAAGGGAGTCAGAAAACATATTAACTTTAGGTATCCTATCCCTCTTCTGATTTCTTTTTTCTTCTCAAAGTGTTTTTGAATAATCTTTTTCTGGAGATATAATCTTTGCTGTAGTCTCTGGTAGGTACAAATATCAAGATGATCTTGATTACATTTTATAGCATTCGTGAGCCAATAGGCTGTTTCAAATATAAAAACATTTTCATGCTGTTGAACTTGTGTGGTACTGAATGTTAATTTTAGCATGATGTTTTCAGCATATTTCATAAAAACAGCTTTTTCTTCAGGGCCATTGGGGTTATATGTTGGATCTTCATTCATGTCTTCATCATAGATTCCATTAAAGTCTGGATCCTTCGTAATATCAATCAGACCTTAACAGTAAAAGAAAAAAAAATGTAGATAGTGAAAACATCATACTTGGCTTCTGTATAAATAGAGGAGATTGAACACCGGGTTTCATCTTGAAATCCTACTAAAGTGACAATAAAGGGATAATGAGATGCCAAAAAATTTGTTAAAGATGAAAAGCACGCGGATGAGTGGTAACCATGCAGAGTAAAGGAAGATGAAAGCTTGTAGAATTAGAATAGATTTCCATTCTCTTTGGAGGCAAGAAACACATGTAAGTCCCATATTTAATCAGGGTAACTATGGAAGAACAAGAAAATGTGATCTCCCTTTAAGCAGGGATTCAGTTTTTCACTTGGCTAAAAGTATAATTTGCTTTTTCAAGCCTTCTGTTACACATTTCTTGTTTTTGCTGATATCAGAAGCTAAACATATACAATAGAGAACTTTCCTGCTAACTAATCGTGATGAAATAAATAAGAATTAAAACTTGATTTTACTCTAAGTGACAGATTTCCTGTTACATTTTCTTCCTATTTATGATGAAATTAAGGACTTCCTTGTTGTCAAATTGTCTTTTTAAGGACAGTTACACTTATGTTACCCTTAATCTAAGCTTGAGAAAACTGCATAGAATCATAAAATATGTATTGATAGAAAATGTGGAGTCTGTAACATATGTGCCTTAAAAGTGCGAATGATAGATCAATGTGCCTCCCTTTCTTTTTCCTTTTTGTCCTTCCTCAAATCTATCTAAAAAAAAAAAACAATAAAAGCCAGAATACACTTGGATTTTTAAATGGTCACTATGATTCACTTCCCTTTTGCACAAGTTAAATTAAGAAATTAAAGTATTTCTGAAAAGTATTAAAGTATTTCTAAAAGAATCTGAACATAAGCCATAGTATTTGCTGACATCTCTAAAACTTTGGAGCCTGAGGTGGCTGGAGCCAATAGGCAGCAAGTCAATTCTTCTCACCATAGAAAGGCAGGAAATTGGAAGGACGTGGAACCTCTCTGACCGACAGGTCCTAGTGTTAGAATTAACCCCCCTCCCCCACTCCAACAGGGGGAGGAGGGGGAGGGGGAGGAGGCTTAGAAATTGGAAGCACGTGGAACCTCGGAGGACAGGTCCTAGCGTTAGAATTACAAAAAAAAAAAAAAAAAAGGAGGGGGAGGAGCAGAAAAGATTGGTTCAAAGTCTGATTAAGGTGCAGTGAAACCCCCAGATCGCCTTCCCCAGATAGCACAACACCTCCTTCTTCTCTAAAAGGTTTGAGCAGCTGAGCTGAAAACCGGGAACAGTGAGAGTCTGCGCGCTGAAGAGAGCTCCAAAGTCCCTTCCCCTCCTCTCGCCCAGGACTTGCCCTCCACCAGGCAGGAGACTGCAGGAAACAGATCGATCAAAGAGTTAAGACTTACAGATAGAGCATTTAGGGAGAGGCTCCCCAGCGAAAGGACAAGGTTTCTTTCTGATCCCACTACAGTGCAGTGTACCAGTGAGCAAGCCCTGTTCCTGCCGCACTCCTAAATGAGAACAAACTGCGAGCATCTCCACATAGGTGAGGAGAACCTCTCAGGTGAAACAACAGGGACTTGAATTTGGGCGGAGACGAGAAGGGGAAGAAGAGGAGGGGGAGGAGGAAAGGCGGGAAGGGAGGGGAGGGAAGGGGAAGCGAGGGGTGGAGGAGGCAGCGGGGCGGGGCAGAGTGGCGGAGGGCTGAGAATGGGGGAAAGGATTTTGGAAAGCCATAACCGAAAGTGCCTAGAAAAGAATCAGCCAGTTTAGATAGAAAGAGGAGACTGAAGGTGTGGAGAGAGACATCTCTAAGGGAAAAAATGGAATTGCTGCACCACCTGATATTTGACTTTACTGAGAGGAGTTGGAAATGGAATTGGAAAACTTAGCTAATTTTTTTAAATGACACAGTTCATGTCTCCCAAAATAAAGTTATTAAAGAAAGGAAATGTGATCCCAACACGTAATGCAAATCATATGTACAAAGTCATAATAAAGTAAAAAAACGAGAAAGGATTTAATAAAAAAAAAACTGGATATAACTAAATTTGGAGGATGAAGAAGAGGAAACACAAGACTCCATTGTTTTAACCTCTATGTTAATTTCTTTTAGTCTTATCTCCTGCCCTGCTTTTGCTCCTGAACTCGATTCTTTCTCAATGCCTAATACATGTCTTTATCTGAAGGTCACAGAAACACTCCTAAACTAAATTCATCCTTCCTCTCCCCCAAATCTTTCTTTCTTTCATGGTTAATGCTATTTTTCTATCAGTTCCTCAAACTAGAAACTCTAGAGTCTCCTTCAATTCCTTTTCTCTCACACTTTGTTATTAATTGCTTAATTTCCACATGTATTGAAAGTTTACATTGTGCCAAGCACAGTATGAGGTGCTGAGGAATTTAAAGAAGAAAAAGACCTACTTTTCTGTGCTCTTGAGGAAGAGCTTAAGGGCTAATAAAGGAGACAGATGAAATCAGTAATTTCAATACAAAAATGATACAGTGTGCATAGAAGAGAGGAGGCTGTATCTGAATCAAGTCTTGAGAAATGAGTAGTAATAACCTGGGGAAGAATGTGGAAGAGTGAGGTGAAGTGACAGGGAGAAGCCAATTACAGATAAAGGACAGGGAATGAACAGAGGCATGAAGAAAAACAACAAAAACCATTTCACTTTACCAGTTGTGAATTTTATAGATAGAGAGATGATAGATAGATATAGATATATATGTATGTATTTTAACTAAAAATCATCCCCTCCACATTTTTCTATCACTAGAATATGTTTTCCTTCTTTCCCCTCATCCCACAAACCTAATGTAATAAATCAAAGAATCCAAGAATTACTCAGATCAAGAAACCCTCCATAATTAAAATCCCCTACATGGGGCACCTGGGTGGCTCAGTCGTTAAGCATCTGCCTTCGGCTCAGGTTATGATCCCAGGGTCCTGGGATCGAGCCCCGCATCGAGCTCCCTGCTCCCCAGGAAGCCTGCTTCTCCCTCTCCCACTCCCCCTGCTGTGTTCCTTCTCTCGCTGTGTCTCTCTTGGTCAAATAAATAAAATCTTAAAATAAATAAATAAATAAATAAAATAAAATCCCCTACAGAAAACTGTATAATATGACTAGATTTTGGTGTGCTCTGTTCTTTACAGCTGTTGCTACTGTTTTTTAAAAAAGTGGTGTTCGTTGGTCGTTTTATAAATTGCAAATCGGAGAGGTAAAGAAAGTTTAACATGGCCAGACTGATTCTTAGCTGTCTGCCCTCCTAGAAAAAGAGTTGGCTTCCTGCAAAGTTCCTTGGACATCCACATTAGCACAATGTTTAAGGCAATGACATAGTCAGTTGCAAGGCTTGAACCCAGTCTCCCAGTCATGGCAGTGCCATTTCTCCAAATATGAGTGATGATCTAGAAATTATTGCTGTTAGCTTGTCATCATATAGCTACAAGGCTTGGATCCCAGTTCTCTGATCAAGTCAGTGGAGGAGTGGTATTCCTTCTCTACCTCAAACACTGAGGAGGATAGGGCTGGAGCCAAGTTTCCATGAGTCACACTGTATATCAGACACCTTTTGTTCTTTACCTCACTTCCTCCTAGACTGTATTTTTCACTCCAGCTGTTGTTGCATTGACCAGCTTCACAAAGACATAACCTGAATGTGCTTTGCTTCTGATGCACCACATGGTTCTTATTTTTGCCCTGGGACTTCCCTACCACTGCTGTGTTAGACTTTTGATGGAACCCATCCAGTCATTCTGATGCATGAACAAATCTAGAGTGTGAGGGCACTGACCAATAGAGAAGAGGAGCCAGGGAATACATACTGCCCTCTTCTATCCCTTGGGCTGACAACTCTGAAATGTATTCTATGGGACTCCTCAGAGAGTCCCTACAAAATGGACCTCCATGGCCCAAGGGGTGAAAACTCAGCAGCGCATCCTTGGATTGATGTTCCCTCCTTTTCTATTCACTTTTCCTGTCCCTCACTTCTGTTCCTTGGAGTCATTTCCCATAAACTATCCTGACTTTAGCCCTCATTTCAGGCTCTAATTTGGGGGTAACCTAGGCTAATACACATTGCTCTTGTATCTGGCCTCTGACCTGGTGTTTCCTTGATCATGCAGCATAAAAGCCTCACAGCCTGAGTCTGGGTTCCTGTCCCCAAGTCTGACACTTGGCCCTGCAAGATTTCACAGTGATGCTTCGAATGTGGTACATGATGGGGAACCAATACCTGTTCCTGCTTCTATGAGTTTCGCCAATACATGTCTTGTGTGTGTTCTGCTTGGCCATTCACTATTGTTTGCACTATACCATTGAAGCATATTTAGTGGTAAATCAGGTGGAAATGAACCACTTTTATCTGAATTGTACATGTAACTGGGGAAAAATTATCTGAATCTAAAAAGGGCATGTTGTTTCCTTACCAGTCAAATCTCTCAACTCTGGCCTTTGCCTGGCTTGACAAATACCAAGTGGGAATGATGGTTCCAAGTAATCTTTGTAAAAAGGGAAGAAAAGCAAACCCAATTTTTGTCAGGATTTTCAAGTCTCAAACATCATTGGAAACCACTATCAATTCCTGCTGATCCTTAATCTCCATGGAGCATCATCTCGGTCAGGAAGGGCAAACCATGCAGCTTAGTTTTCCAGATACATTTTGGCCAATTTGATTAAAGAGAGACATCATCTGGCTTGTGCAATGTTTCCTGCTGTCTTCCAATGATCAGCCAATGGATCACTTGACAACTTCTAGTCATCATCTACCAAAAGGACATCTTAATTTAGCTATATTTTATTTATATTACCTGAGCTAGCCTTGGAGGTCCTAAACTACCAGTAATGATAGTACTTCTGGGCAAACACTAACATGTTTTTAAGACTTTGGCTGTGCCATATTCTCTTCAATAATGCATCTACATAATGCCAAAATGTTAGTGTCCTTTAAGAGGGAACTGTCAAGGGAACACAGAAATGAATGGAATTCACTAGATATTACTGGCAATACTTTGCATTTCTTCAACCTTATCACCTCAAAGACCTGAACCACAAGAAGGGATTTGTTAGTTCCAGTTCCAGCTATAATCTTTTAGAAGCTACTGACCCTCCAATCCTATGGTACTCTGCACTTAGCCAGGTAGCATTAGCTTTTACTCCATTGACATCACAGATTGAGTAATTCTCTCCCAGAGGAGAATTTCTGCCTTATACTCACCACACTCGGGGCCTGTTCTCAACAGAAGTTGATTACCCTGCATGGAAATGAGAGCTATTAGCTATCTAAACTACCCTTGAGACACAGAAGTACTGTCTTCAAGAGACTGTACTGCTTGCTGGTACACTAAGGCAACATATCTGAAAACCCAACCCAAAGCAAGTGCATCAGGCTGCTGACTGTCATCAAGCAAATCTTATTCTCAGGTACTTGAACGTCACAGCAGTCCAGCCGCAGATACAGTAAATAGTATAGGTAGCAAACACTCACTTCTGTGGTTCAGGTCCTAACCAAGATTCAGGAGTGTTCGGTGATGTGTATTACTGAAGGTGGTGGTCGGGAATAACTGCCCAATTGTAGCCATTGTACCTAAACATCACCCTGACTGGACATGTTTGCTGAGGAGCTGCTCCCTCAGTTCACAATTATTAAATCCCTTTGGAACAACCCTGGTAGACTTAATTTCCAACCTGAGCAACTGGTAATGGTAGAAATCCCCTCAAGGGGTGTCATTCGGGGGCGCCTGAGTGGCTCAGTTGGATAAGCAGCCGCCTCTTGATTTCAGCTCAAGTCATGACCTCAGGGTCGTGGGATGGAGCTGGCACATCAGGCTCCACGTTCAGTGGGGAGTCTGCTTCTCCCTCTGCCTCGCCCCCCACCCCAGGCTCATGCTTCTTCTCTCTCAAATAAATACATAAATCTTTAAAAAAGAGAGGGGTGTAATTCAATTCAATTAATTTAACTCAATTTAACAAATATTAGTTGGTGCCTACTTCGTGTCAGGGACTGTCTTAGGCACAAAACATACACAGATAAACAAGGCAGGTAAGGGGCTTTTTTTCATGGAGCTTTTATGTAAGCTTACTGCTAACTTTTTTTTTTTTTTGCTAACTTGTTCTTAACATCAGGCTTATTTTTGTGTCTTAGCTAAAAAAAAAACTCAGTGAAAATTTGTAAAATGAATAAATCAAACTAGAGCCCTTTATGAACACATATATGTGCATTTTGTATGTGTGTGTATAATTTTTGACTTAGCTATCAATGACAGAGAAGGAAAAAAATAAGAAAACAATGAAACAACTCCATGAAACTACCTTACCATATTAACTGTATTAAATATTCAAAAGATCACAATTCTTCCACATCTTATTGAGAAGCTAAGAAACTACTGATTTTGTTTTCAAGGTATTTGCTTTAGTAACCAGACTTACATTGACAAACTAAAGTTGTTTTCAGGTAATTTTCTCTCCAGTTACATGTACAATTCAGATAAAAAGTGGTTCATTTCCACCTGATCTACCATTAAGAGGTTCTGTTATTAGTTCTATTTAGCCAAGGGAAATCTGGCTAATTAGGGGAGAATATTAATCCTTTTCATCTTTAGTGAGGTTATGCAGAAACTTATTAAGATTATGTATAAAAAACTGAATAAAAATTGAAAATACTATATATTGAATATCAACCCCCTTAAAGTGCAGCCAATTTACATGCAATACACAAATCAACAGATCTGTTCTCAGAATAGCCAAGAAAGGAAACGTCTGAGTGACATTTCATTCCCGAAGGACAAACGGTCATCCTTTTTTAGTTTCAGGCGAGATTAAAATCTATGTAAAATCTATTGCTGTGCTCCCTCAAGTGAAATTCTAACACATTTTTTTACCAGAATTGAGACTTATTTTCAAGCCTGTGCCCACAAACTGTGAAATCTATTTAGAAAATGATTAGATATATTTAATCAATGAAAGCAGTTGGGAACACTGAACCACTCATTTCCCAATTCACTCCCCATTCCACTTGGCTTACTACAAAGGAACTTAGGGGATTTTTTTTTTTTAATAGCTCAATAAAACATTTACATATATTGGGGAGATTCACCAGGATTTAGTGGTATCTGTTGTGAATATACAGGCTTTAGAGAAATATGGCCCTAAGAAGGAAGGAACTTAAAAGTTAGGTGAACCAAGAACAAATACTTATTAAACCAAATGCTACTAAAATACCAAAGCTTAGATTGCTGATGCACATCTATTCTTAACTTCAATTCTCCTATCATTCATTTTTGAGGTTTATAAAAATGGCAGTGTAGATGACTAGCCAACCTGGCAGTCATTTCGTTTCCAAGTTTGGAGATTTTTCTCAGTGCACTCGAATTCTACTCTTGGCTCTATTACTGATTTTCCTACTTAGGCTCTGTAAGACAAGGAGTATAAACTGAAAACTCCAACTGAGACAAAGATAAATTACTTTTAAATAAAAAGATGGCTTCCAATAAAAATAAAGCATGTTAGATTCTCTTACCTGCAGAACTAAACTCTGCAAAAATATCTTTATATGTTTGAGGCTTTCCATCTGGATCAATGTCCATGATAGTACGCCACAATTCAGAGAATCTGGCGCGTTTCTCTTTGGGCATGTATATTCCATGCCACAGTGCTTTCAGCATGTAGTCAATATTGATCAGAATTTGCCCAATTCTGGTATCATAATAAGCTGGTGGTAACTGACAAGAAGAACTCTGATCATAGTTAGCTTCTAAACTGATTGAGGGAATTTGATTTAAGCAATAAATTCCAACAGCCAACTCCCTTATGATTTGATGGACTTCTCTATAGTCTAAGAGGGCAGTAGGGTCCACAGGAGTCAGCAGGATGGCAGTGGAGAAACCTACATTATTCATTTGAGTCATAATTCCACATGGGAGGTCCAGTTGAGAGCGGACGTCATCTTTGGCAGACAACCAGCTGACTAGGGCAGTAGTTAGCAACTCTTGTACTTCACTCCGGTCATATTTTTCAAAAAAAGCGGAAGCATTTCTCTGTACTGCTAAGTTTTCCAGGTAGGTTTCTTCATCTTGAACTTGATCAAGTCTAGGTAATCCTTTTTTGGGTAATCTTAACATTTCTTACTATTGTAGGTGGCCTTTCTGAAGTTTCTGCAATAAACCATAAAGGAAAAGACAGGCAATGAAATTTGTCATGGTAATGAAGCTGGATTTCTCAAATAAATCTGTAGCTTTATCTGTATTAGGTTGTTTCATGGTCAACCATGACAGTTTTCAATCTTTTTTTAATAACATTTTTAACAATTGAGGTGTAATTGTCATAAACATTAGTTTGAGGTCTACAACACAATGATTAAATATTTGTATATATTTTGAAATGATCACAATAAGTCTAGCTAACATCATCACCATACATAGTTATGAAATTGTTTTTTTGTGATACCTACTTTTAAGATTTGCTCTCTCAGAAACTTTTCAAAATGCAGTGCAGTATTACTAACTATAGTTGCCATGCCATACATTACATCCCCATGACTTACTTATTTTATACCTGGAGGTTTGTACTTTTGACTCCCTTCCAGCTTCTCCAACCCCCCAACCCCCTCCTCTGGCCACCACCAATCTGTTCCCTGTATTTATGAGCTTGTGTGTGTGTGTGTGTGTGTTTTAACTCTACATATAAGTGAGATCATACAGTATTTGTCTGTCTTATTTCATGTAGCATAATGCCCTAAAGTTCCATCCGTGTAGTTGCAAATAGCAAGATTTCATTCTTGTTTATGGCTGAATATTCCATTGTATACATTTAACCACATTTTCTTTGTCCATTCATCTGTTGATGGATGCTTAGGTTGTTTCCATATCTAAACTATTGTAAATAATGCTGCAATGAAGATGGAGGTGCATATCTTTTTGAGTTAATGTTTTCATTTTCTTCAGGTAAAATCCCAGACGTGGAATTGCTGGATTGTATGGCAGTTCTATTACGATTTTCAGTCTTAAACTAATTACACCATAAGAAAGTTGAGATTTGAATTAAAACAATTTAAAAAGTGAAATCTTTAAACATTAATCATGTTCTGCTTTTCAAAAGTCAAAAGATACTAAGAAGTATGTCAAAAAGAAATGTTTATAGAGAAGGTACTGTTGCATACCTATTCTTTTTTGTTGGAGAAGCCTTTTTGTATATGTTTATTTTGTTTTTAGTTTTTTTAAAGCAAGAAAATAAAGACCTGCTTAAAAGAAAAGGAACAAGAAGAGCCTATTTAACTTTCTGTTTCTATGTAACTAAATACCTTGCTGTTCTTGGAATAAAAATGATCATAACCACTATTTTTTGGGCGTCTACTATTTGCCCAGCTCTTTATACATAATATTTTACTTATTTCATTTAATTGGCGCCTCTCATACAGTGATTCTTAACATTTGCCCTGCATCGAAACCGCCTAGAGCTTGTTAAAACATTGATGGACCCTGCTTAAGAGTTTCTGATTCAGTCCGTTGGGGTGAGCTGGGTAATTTGCATTTCAGAAAAGTTAGAGGTGATGCTGATGCTGCTAGTTCGGACAGGACGCTTGAAGAAGCCAACTCTTCGAGGTAGGACTTGGTATCCCCGCTGTGTAGACGCAGAGATGGAGACTAGGAAGGTTACAGAACGTGCCTATGGTTTCACACCTAAAGAATCGGAACCAACCCGGGTCTGGTCCAAGACCTACGCCCACATGGACACGAAAGAGGGGAAAGGACAGGGAAGGGAAGAAACCTACTTTGGAATGATTGTTTTCTTGTCCAGGAGAAGGAAGCTGCGTCCACTCTGGTCCCCAGAATATTCGTGGCAGCCGGGGACAGCCGTCGCCCTGAATGGCTTCTCACCTTCAGGAGGCCCTGGTGGGCAAGGTCAAGGGGGAGCCTCTGCAGGTAGGATCTGAGAGGGACTCTCCTGCAGCGACCGCCGGGAAGGCCCGCTCGCCCCGCGCGATGGCGCGGCCCTCCTGGGAGCCCTCCGCCTCTGGCCGGAACCCGCGCGCGCGGAAGCCCTTGGTCCTCGGGCGAGGACAGCTCGGCCGCGCCGCAAGGGGGCGCCCCTGTGCGTCCGCGGGCAGTGCTTCGGCCGGCGTGGCGCTCGCTTGGCCCTGCTGAATTTTCCGACACGTGTCCCAGCCCCTCCCCTCCCCTCCCCTCAATCCCGCCTCATGCTCTGAGCGCTGTGCTTCCCCATCACTTTTCACTTTCACGATTTTCCTCTAGGAAAACGCAAATCCAGAGTGGCAGAGGTGAAGGCGCCATGTTCCTGACTTGGAATCCCACCTGCATCATTATTCTTCCACTCAGCAAATATTTATCGAACGCTTATTATGAGCCAAGCACCATGTCCCGGAACGTGGAGACCCTGGAGAACAGGACAGACACATTAGCTCAAGGGGCTTATAGTTACACAGATAGTCATACAATTATATTTAAACAGGGTGATAAATATGAGATGTAATGACAGCACACGAAAGAAATCAAACGGAGACCAGGGGCTGGGAAAGGCTGCCCGGAGGAAGTGATATTTTAAACTGAGCCTGGAAGATGACAAAGGGCTATCCAAGCAGAGCTGGAGAAATAGCTTTCCAGGGATGGGCAACAACAGGTGATGAAGAATCCAGTTGAGAAGAAAGTTGAATTTTTTGAGAAACCAAACAAAACCTTGCCTAAAGAACTAGAAAGACGGTGGGCACAAAATTAGGCCATAGAGGCAGGTGAGGGCCTAATCACCCAGGTTGCTGAGTTAATGATTTTGAGTTTTATTCTAAAGGTTTGGGCTAGGTTGGTGGCCGTAGATGCTAGGTACAGGCTAGAGTGTGTGGCAGTGGAGATGCAGGGCTGTGGATGGATCTGAGAAATAATGAGGTGGCAACATTGAATGTGGGTGGTGTTTAAAAAAGAAAGTGGTTAGGGTCCCTGCTCGGCGGGGAGTCTGCTTCTCCCTCTGACCCTCTTCCCTCTCATACTCTCTCTCATTCTCTCTCTCAAATAAATAAATAAAATCTTAAAAAAAAAAAAATTATGATTGCTGTTCCAGGGCAGGGATGTAAAAACGTCACTGCTTCTTTAACAGATTTGCATGTTTGCACTTATGAACAATCTATATAGATTCTTCTACTGACATGTTTTTTGCTCAGTACCAGATGATTTAAGTGTCTCAAATCTTGGGAAAATTATTTTAAGGACTAACACAGAACTTCATCCCAGGGTTTATGGAATTAAGTAGTAAGAAGGTTCTAAAGAATTAGGCTCTCTGGGGACAAAACAAAATGCTGGAGCAGATGACCTGGAAATTCCCTACAGAAGTTCAGTTGGATTAATACATGCAAAGCTCATAAAGTAGCACCTGCCACATAATCATCACTATATAAATGATGGATGTTTTTAGTATTGAACTATATTGTCACTATAAAAGTTATTATATTCAAATCTAGGCTGCTAGGCAAACCTCTTAGTTTATTCCTGATAGGAGGAATGTCAATTTGGTGTTTGGGACCACATAGATACTTGAAGTTGTCTGCCCTCAGGTAAAAGGATGAAAGCTATTAAAGTTAGTATCTAAATATGGTTTGAACATTACATTTCCCAGAGGATAAATTCAGAGCATGTGAAAGTCTCTGACAGATTTCTGTTTGTCAGTATCCTAAAACTGCTTTCCCATCAAGATTAAAAGAATCAAAGTATGGGGCGCCTGGGTGGCTCAGGCGTTAATCGTCTGCCTTCGGCTCAGGTCATGATCCCGGGTCCTGGGATGGAGCACTGCATCCGACTCCCTGCTCAGCGGGAAGCCTGCTTCTCCCTCTCCCACTACCCCCTGCTTGTGTTCCCTCTCACTGTATCTCTGTCAAATAAATAAATCTTTAAAAAAAATAAAAAATAAAAATAAATAAATAAAAGAATCAAAGTATGTCCATGTCCAGAAAGGGTGTCAGTCCTAATTGGGGATAGACCCCAGTGACCTTGGTATGGTTGTCACAGCTGACTAATGTGGGTGGATGTCAGGCCAGAGTGGAGTTGAGACATAAAGGTGCAGAGGGTGAGTGTGGATGGGAGGCAAGAGATGATAAGCAGAGGAAGATAAAGAACCAGGTATGTGCATTCTAAATTGGTTAGACCAGAATACTAAATGATGATAGGAAGGATCCTACAAAGAGGCTGAAGATACAGGAGAGAGGAATGTAAGATTCCTATAAGGCAAGAAGGGTTGGGATACAGAGAACAGGTGGAGACACAGCCTTTTGACAGTTGTTGGAGGGTGCCTGGGTGGCTCAAGTCATTACGTCTGCCTTTGGCTCAGGGCATGATCCCAGGGTCCTGGGATAGAGGCCCACGTAGGGCTCCCAGCTCGGCGGGAAGCCTGCTTTTCCCTCTCCCACTCCCCCTGCTTGTGTTCCCCCTTTCGCTGTGTCTGTCAAATAAATAAATAAAATCTTAAAAAAACAAACAAAAAAAAAGAAGTTCTGGTGTTGGAAAGTGTAGGCATTTCTTGTCCTGATGACTGATTCTCTGTGAAAAGCCCAGGTCATGAGCTGAGAATGAGGCAAGGAGAGAGGCTAGAGATTTTGGGGACAGGAGGACGCTTAAAATCATCAGAAGCTCTGAGTGGGAAAATTAGCTGCCTAAAGAGATGTAACAGAAGTAACAAGTGTTGCTCAGGAGTGTGAACCTCAAGCAAACTGTTTAGCTTCTCTAAACTGTAGTTCTCTCATCTGTCAAACAGCCCTGTTTCAGCCAGGCTCCTAACAACAAGAAACTGAGTTATTTCTGCGTGTAGCTACCAAGAGAAGGGTCGGTAAAACCTGCTTTCTTCTTTTAGTGTTGGTGGTGGGACATTACCATGTAAGAGCTCAAAGTAATGTTAGTATCACAGCTTCAAACATCCAAATTGTTCTTTCAAGTATTATCTCTTTTTCTCCAGGGTTAATTTGACTAAATTGGTTATATTAAGTTATATAGCTAAGTAAAAATTCATGTAATGAACCTTAATACCACATTATATAATAATAGAGCAGCAGAGTGTTTTATTTTTACATAATCATTATTCAGTAAATATTGTTACATTGTGAAGAATTACGTTTTAATCTCCTTTTCAATAGAAAGCTTTTCTAAGGAAATGACTTGGAGCCTTTCACATTTATCAGATGCCTTTTCATTACTCTTTTCCATTTTTGCAATTCTGGATCCAAACTGCATGGCCCGTTTTGGCAGAAGAGCAGAGGTTGTTAAGCCAAGTTCCAATGCTGCAAGACGCAAAATTAGTTTTTCACCAATTCCACGGGGGAAAGTCAGGTTTGCCTTTTCCCAAACTGGTAGGGAATTTAGAAAGGAGACGACATTTTCATCCAGGAAAGGAAATCTAAAATAAATAGATAAATATAACCACTATAAAAAAAAATAAAACCAATGTGTTATGATTATTTTTTACACTTTATTCAATGTTAAAATTTATAGCATCAAATTAATTTTTGATGGCACTGTTTTTCTCAATTAAAAATATTCTGGTTATTTATACAATTTTACAGCTAAAATTTAATCACATAGGCAAATATTTCATATGACTAATTTTAATAATATGCTACAAAATAAATTTTGCCTCAAAAAATAAATAAATTAGGCCTACGGTTAGAAATAATCTCAAATTGTTTCACAAGGTTTCTTTGGGGATGCCTTGGAAAACGAGTACAGTTTTTTTTTTTTTTTTTAAGGTTCTATTTATTTCTTTGAGAGAGAGCCCGAATGGGGGGCAGAGTGGGGGAGTGGGGACGGAGAAAGACAAGCTGACTCCCCGCTGAGCAGGGAGCCCGATGTGGGATGCGATCCCAGGACCCTGGGATCATGACCTGAGCTACAGGCAAATGCTTAACTGACTGAGCCACCCAGTGCCCCACAAGTACAGTCTTGACTCAATTATTCAATCTGTGTCTCTTTATCATGTCAAAAGTAAATGAACTTTAGAGGTATGAAATCAATACAGAAGGGCTCTATAATCCTGAACTTGTGAAACATTTACTTATGGTAAAATTTTATGGTTATCAAAATTGTTTAGAGCGCCTGGGTGGCTTAGTCAGTTGAGTGTCTGACTCTTGGTTTCAGCTCAGGTCATGCTCTCCCAGTCAGGAGACAGAGCCCCAGTGGGGCTCTGTGCTCAGCAGGGAGTCTGCTTCCCCTCTCCCTCTGTCCTTCCCCCTGTTCGCACTCCTGCATACTCTCTCTCTCTCTCTCTCTCTGAAATAAATAAATCTTTAAAAAAAAAAATTGGGGTGCCTGGGTGGCACAGTCCGTTAAGTGTCTGATCCTTGGTTTCGGCTCAGGTCATGATTTCATGGTCAGTTGTGGGATTGAGCCCCGCATCAGGCTCTGTGCTCAGCGGGGAGTCTGCTTGAGGCTTCTCTCCCCTCCCCCCGTGTGTGCCTGTGTGGGTGCGTGCACACTCTCTCTGAAATAAATAAATCTTTAAAAAAAAATTGTTTGATTACCTTTAAGCCATTTAAATGGAGGCAAATGGTATTAACAGAACAAAGTACTGTTTTATTTAAAAAAAATAATTTTCTGCCCTTTGGCTTCCCTAATTTCCTACAAAATTCTGGGTTTTGTTTAAAATACTTTAAAACTCTCCCTCCAATTCTTTAAATGCAGTACTGTTACAGTAGTGTTTCTGTTTTATTACATTTTATTCTAGCTCATGTAGAGAGACTGGAAAGGGTAAAGGCATTCATTATGCGGAATATTTTGTTTTTTTGTTGTTGTTGTTTTTGTTTTTTTAGATTTTATTTGACAGAGAGATAGCGAGAGAAGGAACACAAGCAGGGGGAGTGGGAGAGGGAGAAGCGGGCTTCCTGCCGAGCAGGGAACCCGATGTGGGACTCGATCCCAGGACCCTGGGATCATGACCTGAGCCGAAGGCAGACGCCTAACGACTGAGCCACCCAGGCGCCCGTTATGTGGAATATTTTGTAAAAATGAATTAATTACAAAAACAAATTTATATATAAGATAATCTAATCAACTGAGCACTGCTAATATGTATGCCAAAATACATAATAAATTGATATTGGATCTAGCCACTATCGTGGTATTTGTTAAATCACAATTCTGTATCTGCTGTTTGAAACATTCTTCATATGCACTTTTACATAAGGGTATCACATGGGGCCTTTAGAATCAACGGCTTTTACTAAATAAAATAAATTCCCTTTTCTCTGACCTACCTGAAATAAGACTGAATTTCTCTCTCTCTCTCTCAAATACATACACCCTTCAAAAGGAAAACATTTTACAGTTTTTACATGGTGGTATGTAATATATGTAAATTATGTATATTCTATATTTAGTAGATATAGAACTTCGATATTTTCTTTTTTTTTTTTTAAGATTTTATTTATTTATTTGAGAGAGAGAATGAGATAGAGAGAGCATGAGACGGGGGAGGGTCAGAGGGAGAAGGAGACTCCCTGCTGAGCAGGGAGCCCGATGCGGGACTCGATCCCAGGACTCCAGGATCATGACCTGAGCTGAAGGCAGTCGCTTAACCAACTGAGCCACCCAGGCGTCCCAAAACCCAACCCTTTAAATACCTTCTCTCAGCATTCCATTACCTCAGTTTTACAGTCTTTTCCACTGTACTATGGAAAACAATCACGCCATTGTTATTATCTTTGAAAATTACCAAAAAGACATCGCTTAGAATATGAGTTCTGGAAAACAAGTGCTCCCCTGACCCCTCCCCAGCTTCCCCTCTGATGGACGGTGTTTGTAATATAAGGCCAAGATAGTATTGTTGCTACGGTTATTCATTTCAACAGTCTCCAGAGAAAAAGAACCGAAAAATCTCCTTTTACAGTCTAGTGTCTCTACAAAATTACCCACAGCACTTACGTAAGTAGAATTACCTTGCTTCTTTTCCGTGATCACCGATAACTCTGTCATCACGACCAAGGTTTCTAGAAGATATTCGTCCCAGTTCCATCTCAATTTCCTTATTTAATCCTTCCATTCCATGTGTCTGAAAGCGGACACGATGGCGAGAATAACCTGCAAGTTGCTCATCAGCACCAATTCCAGTAAGAACTACCTGTAACAGTTTAAAGAAATCCGTATTTCCAACATAAGATAAAGAAAATGACTAAAATAAAAGCAAAGCTTAAAAAGTTACCATCTCAAAAATAACATTTTCTGACAAAAACACAAGGATAGTCATAAAATAGTAAAAATATGCCCAATTTTTGTCTTATACATCGCACTGTAGGTTAAATGCAATTAAAATATGCTCTATTCTTGCAATATAAATGCTAATAGCTTTAAAGGGTGAAAATGAGGGCTCAGAAATTCTGAGTACAGTGTGTCTGCCGTGCCTTACCTTTGCACTGCTCTGATAGGATTTCACTTCATCCTGGGTCACTAACCAACCAATTCCTCTAGAAGCAAACCAGACTGCACAGCCAATGCTATCATCCAACACTGTATCCAAGGGCTGAACCAAGTGGCATATTCGAGTTCTTCTTAATTCTTGCAGTTCCTCCAGAGAAACATTAATTTCAACGAAATTCCAAATCCGGGAAGGGTTAGCAGCTTGTAGTTCCTTTAGTCCCATTCTGCCTGTGATACGATCCGGTACACTGAATTGTTTATCAGGACCATCATCATCACCACCAGCAGCATTATTTTTAGAGAATTCTTCAGAAGATATTTCACAATGACTTTTCTGTTTTTTCCTCTTTGTGTCAAAACCAGTTAATAGGGTCTTTTCTTTAGTCATGAAAGCCACATTAAGAAGATCGATTGGTTCATCTAAAGGTATATGGCGGTCAGCAAGGGCTGCAATAACCATGGAATCGATACCCCCAGAAAACAGGATTGCAACGTTTGCTTTCCTATCACAAATTTTCAAAGCCTCACTTGGTGTCAGGTTTTCATCCCTAGGTAAACACAAGACACGTCTCCTCACTGCAATACTCAGGACATCAATGAATTGCTGAACTACTTCCTTTGTGTGTCCATCAGTAAGAAAGACCTGAAGTGTTTCCCTTGTAGGAGGGACACTAGCGGTGTTACTGCAAGGAATCTCAAGGGGAGCTTGTGGTAACGTCATATTTAAAGGAACAACAGGTTCTTTCAGATACAGTTTGGCTTCATTTGCTACCACTGATGCAAATGCAGGCAAGTTTGCTGAAATCTGAATCAGGCTATTAACACATTCTTTGATAACATTCTCCCCAGAAACAGATTTCCAAGGGTACAATTTTAAAACCACAGATTTGGAAATGGAAGCAGACTTGAGATCAATTCTGAAAATTCCAGATGCTGGAACTTCTTGCCACTGACTGCCCACTCCGGAGGTCTGAACGCCAACTGAAGAGAGGCAGAAACTCTTGCCCAAATTACTAAAATGCCAAAGCAGGCTACGGCGACCAAAAAAATCTCTACCAAACCATAGATGATGACTGGACGCTTGGTAATATATAAAAGACCAAGGACCTCGGACTTCTGAGAAGAGCGACAAAATATCAGCTTCATTCTTACAATAGGAAAGGTAATTAAACATTATTTGAGTATCATTCTCTTCAGCTTCGACCTTTATGCCACTAAAGACTTCTCCATTCCACAGGAACACATCACCCCTTTCATCTTCCACAGGCTGGGCAGTCAAAACACCTCTTAAGTGAAGGACATGACCAGAAAATAAACACTGGTAGCTAACACTAGACTTTAACAACTGTTTACTACTATTGGGTCCCCGTCGGTTAAGATTATACAGTAAATCCTCTTTCAAATCTTTGCTGAAATGCTCAACAGAAAAGCTTACAGAACAACAAATGCCACACATTGTTGTGTGAGATCAAGTTGATTATTTCTTGATTTTGGTCTTCTCTGAGTTTTCTATTTCTTGGTATTCTTTTT